GGTTCCCTTACAAACACAATTTCATAGCTGTCAAGTGTCCCTTATTTGAAGGGACAGTCCTTTATTCCAGCGCCATGTCCCGCTGCTGTCCCTTATTGATGGATGTCGCTTAAATGTCCCTTAAATGATGTCCCTTAAATTTCAAAGGAAGCAGCTCCTCTCCCTCCCTCCCTGCCGGCCAGGGAGGAGGGAGGCTCCAACTGTGTTGCTTGGCTGTGTTGCTCACCCAATAAGAAGTCTAACAATGACTGGAGGGTGGAGCTTGCATGCCTTGTGTGTGGCTAGTTAATGCAAGCTGAGGAGGTTTTTGAAGGCTGGACGCCATTTTGTTGCACGTGCTGCTGCAAACTTTGCAGTGCAAAGCCAGGCTGGGGAGCCATCTTAGGTTGAGGCTGCTTAGGCCTTGTGGTGCATGTGATTCAGATTCTATTCAGTTGAACCTCTGGTTACAAAGTTGGTTAGACAGTGTTCTCGAAGCATGAGTTTGACCAGACTGCAGGAGGACAGGAAGACTGGAGTGCCTGGAACAGGTGAGGCTGCAGGTCTCTTATTTTGGCTGCTGGTCCCTTATTTTCAAGGCTGCTGGTCCCTTATTTTCAAATCTGTAAGTTGACAGCTATGCAATTTGCTCAACCCTTATCACACACATTTCAATTTTCATTGTATAATTTCAATAATTTCCCCAACAAGCGCATGTCGTCAGAGAGGCACATTGTGTTCTCTAGTCCAAGGTGCACCCCTACAGAACAGATGGTTTTTGAAAAATGCATTTGCAATCTGGACTGGAAGATTATAGGTTTTATTTAATCATTCATTCAACATATTATTATTTTTAACCCACTCTTCATCTACAGAGATACCAGGGCGGGGTGCAGAACATAAAGCAGAAACAACCGATCCAATTATAAAGTAAAGTACAAGGCAGCACTGAAAAGAGCTGCAGCTCAAGATAGGAAAAGTGGTGATAAGGGAACACCTAGCAACTTTAAATGAATTCAAATCTCCAGGGCCTGATGAGCTGCACCTAAGGGTACTCAAGGAGCTTGAGGATGTAATCTCAGAGCCTCAGTCTAATATTAGAGGATTATTGGAGAACAGGTGAGGTCCCTGTAGATTAAAGGCAGGCAAATGTTCCTGCATTCAAAGGGGGAAGGGAGAAGACCCAGATGCAATGGGCCAAAGGATCTGGTTGTTAGCTAAAAGGTGGAGATTGCTCTGCCAACAGATTTAACAGGTTTAAGACCACCCAGGGACTCTTTAGGGCATGATTCCAATATTGCAGGAGGTTGAACCAGATGATTCTTGGGGTTCCTCCCAACTCTACAGATTCTAAGGCATTCTAAAATGCACCATCAAATGAAGCTGATGAAAACAGAAGACCATCATCAGCTGCCAAAACGTCAAATCTATGGGCAAACAAGGCTTAGCCTGGTGCCAAAATGGCAACAATGGTGCCAGTCATACTAGTAAAACAGGTAGGGAACCTCAGTGTCTTCATCTTACCCTCAGGATTCTCCCCAGGACACAACTGTCACTGATCCTTGAGTGTGCTTGGTGGGCCAGGCTATGTCTTTGGACTCTTAACCGTGCTTCTTGGTTGCCTGGATAGATGGCAGAGAGCGTTTGTGTGTGTGATGAAACTAGCCTACCATATCAAATGTACATTTCTTGCTCCACCCACTTTTGCCTCTAACCCCACCCACCACTAGTGTGTGGCCCTTGAAAGGCTGCCCAGAAGGGAATGTGGCCTTCAAGCTGAGAAAAAATTCCCACCCATGCTGAAGAAGGAATCTGTCCTGTAGACAGGGTGCCACCACAGAGAAGACTCCATTCTCCCCTCACTCCCCACTCCCAAGCCTTTTGGACCAATGGCCTTCAAGGTACCTTAGAGCAATAGGCTTCTAGCATTTCAGACTTGGGACTCACTTTTTGCCCAAACCAGCTTTTGAGGACCTTGAGATACCACTGTATCCTGTTTTTATGCTTTCATTGTAACACCATTTGTTATATTTTTCTTTTGTTTTAATGTTATGATGAACAAAAAAACTTAAAGGAACACTGAAAGAGGCAAAGATGGGTGCTATGTGGCACGTATTGAAATCTCCCTCTGGTGCTCTAAGAGTGGGAGGGGAGCACTTTCCTCATTATCAGCACCCAGTCATGAGACAGGATGAAGGCCCAGGCTCAGGGAATGAACTTTGGGCATGATTTTGAGAGTTGCTATTATATCCCAAAGACCGTTTGTGTACCTTCCCCAGCCATCTGTTGGCAGAGCAATCTCCACCATTAGGCAGAGTGAAGCATTTGCTTCAGGTAGCAGGGGCTTAAAGTTTGCCTGGGCCCCTGCCAGGTGGCAGGGAAAGGGCTTGAATCTCCAGATTGTGAGAGGGATAGTAGTAGTAGTAGTAGTAGTAGTAGTAGTAGTAGTAATTGAGAAGACTGTGCATGCAGCTTGCAAGTTTAAGCCCAACAGGAGCTGGCTGCAATACATAGACACTTGGGGGTTTGCCCTCCTCTGTTCCCCTCTGCCAGTTAGGGTTGACCTCCAGGGACCGCCTCCAAGAAATTACCAGGGGCCACTGCTGGATCTCAGGTTTAAGCCCTGGAATCTCAGGCTCTGGGATGCTTCTGACCTGGAAAACCTACAGGGGCAGCAGCTGCTCTCCATTACACCCTTGAGTCTCTTAACCTGCCCTCAGGTATCCTGTGGGATTTTGTTCTGTTTGCAGAGTTGGAGTAAGATTCAGTTGCCAGTCCAGTGGAACAATGGTGGTTCAGCATCTCTGCCTTTGCCTCTCTATTGAGAGATGAAAAGTTGGCCAGCCTTGGTGGCAGAGTGTGGGTGGTGTTTTATGAGTAATTCTGTCGTTCCCATCTCTTGCTGGTAAAACCTTTTCCTTTTCCATTATCTGTTGGGTGTTCTGTTTATGAACTCTGATTGATGGCAAACCAAGTGAAACAAACATTAAGGCATTGTGAGGTGTTTCAGATTTAGCTTGATATGACACATCTTGCAGCCCTGAAAGGTCCACTGGTGCAAAGGTGTGGCATTGTGTGACGCACACTGAGTCACAGGGACAATTTTTCACAAGTACAAAATATCTATGCCCTTAAATGCCTACTTCTCTAAAGCAAAGGGGAGGGGGATTGTTGATGCTTTTGATATATTTATTGTATCCCTAATCTTAAAATGTTTATGGAAATGGTTTGATTTGATGGTTCGCTTTTTGTTTCATTTATTTAAGATTACATTTGCTGCTTTTGTATTTATTTAATGTTTTTCACGCCGCAAGCCACCTTGAGTATGGTGTTAACTATGGAAAGTATATGTATGTATATATGCATTATGTATGTATGTGAAGGTAAAGGGACCCCTAATCGTTCAGTTCAGTCGCGACGACTCTGGGGCTGCGGTGCCCACCTCGCTGCACAGGCCAAGGGCGCTGGTGTGCAGCTTTTCCTAGGCTCTGTGGCTTAACCCACAGCGCCACCCGCGTCCCCCTGCATGTATCTTTTACAGCAGCGTGATTTCAACAAGAGGGAGCGCTGCGTCTCGGAAGGGCCCCTCGTGGTGGGTGAGGGGCTGCGCTTACGACCTGCAGGTTCGAATCCCGGCTCGGCCACGGAGCCCCTCGGGGCCTCTCGGACTCCCTGGCGGGGTTGCTGGGGGGACGCGCGCCCCCCTGAGCTCCTCGGAGGAAAGGCGGCAGCGAGGCCAGGCAGCAAACCTTCGCCGCCGCTGCGCCAAATAAGCTCCGCCCTCCGCTGCCGCCACCGCCCTAAGGGGCTCCGGGGTCTTCCGTGTCTCGCGGCGGAAGTCCGCCCAGGGGGCGCCGGGCGAGAATCTGACCTTCCGAAAAGGTCTCTATGATCGACGAGCTCCTCCCCCGCCCGCGTTGCCATGGAAACCTCAGCGCCTCAGAGCGGAAGTGGCGACACCGACAAAGTCTGGACCGGAGGCGCCTCCCTCGCCAGACCTGCGACCCACTGAGGAAGCTTTTTCTGAACGGCCTAGCCGGAAATGACGTCGTTGTCGGCGCCCGCCTGCCTCGGGAGACAGAACCAGAAACGTCAATGAGCCGCATGGTGAAGGCGGGTGGACAGAGCGGCGGAAGTGCGTTTCGCACGCCGGAAGTGAGGCCTCGCTCTTCCTGCGCCGGCGCAGATGTCGCTAATAGCGCATGCGCCCTGTTGCCGTAACAGTTTCCTTTTCCCTCCGCCCGCCCGGTGTCGCGGCATCGACTGTCCCTTCCGCTCCCTCCCGGAAGCCGCGTGAGCGGTACTGCTGCGTAAGCCTTCCGGGCAGGCGGGCGGTTCCCCACCCCTGAGCAGAGCGCGGCGGCCGGCCATGGCTCAGTGAGGCGGTGGCGGCGGCGGCGGCGGCCGGGGCTTGGCGCAGGTGAGGGGGCGGCGAGGGGCCGGGCTGGAAGGCTTGGCGGGCCGGCGAGGGCATCTCTGAGCCGTCCCTCGCGGGCTCTTTTCTCTGCTCCTCCCCGTAGGCAGGACGGAGCAGGCGGCGGAGGCAGGAGCAGCCGCCGCCGCCGCCGCCTCACGGGCGCGCGCACCCCGCGATCCCGCGCGGCCTTGAGCCCCCTCGCCCCGCCCCTCCCCCCAGGGCAGAAGCCCCTTGCGAGGGACCCGATCTCAGGCGCAGGCTTCCCTCTTCCTCCTCTTCCCTCTCAGGAAAGCCAAGCCCACCTTCTCCTCGGCGCGCCTCGGCTTCACCCCGCCCCCCCGGAATAAGATTCCTCCTCTGGGCAAAGGCAGCTGCGAGCCCCCCTGGAAAAGGTGGGGGAGAAGCCCTATGAGGATTCCCCACTCGGCTTCCCTTCTCCCCGCGGCTTTCCCCGATTCCTCTCGGGGGCGTGCCAGCCCCCTGACTCGGCATTCCTCTGCCCCAGCTGCTCCTCCTCGTCCTCCTCTGCGCCCACCTGCCCGCCAGCTGCTCCCCGGCTCGCGGCCTCCCTGTTTTATGCTGTGCAGGGGGATCGCCAGCGCCCATGAGGGAGTACAAAGTCGTGGTTTTAGGGAGTGGGGGGGTGGGCAAGTCGGCTTTGACCGTGCAGTTTGTCACCGGGACGTTCATTGAGAAGTACGACCCCACCATCGAAGACTTCTACCGCAAGGAGATTGAAGTGGACTGCTCCCCATCAGTACTTGAAATCTTGGATACCGCAGGGACGGAACAGTTTGCTTCCATGCGTGATCTCTACATTAAAAATGGCCAAGGCTTCATCCTAGTTTACAGTTTGGTGAACCAACAATCTTTCCAGGTAAGAAATACTGTTTCATCTATGCTTCCTGCCCCCTCCCCCAGGACTTTTTGTGCGTTTCCCCTCTCCCCAAAAATCTCAAGCAACTGAAAATATATTTCTCTGTTAGGAGTGCAACTAGACTTTAAGAAGCTGTTATCCACAATCATAGTTTGGCAGCACTGTGGTTTTTTGTTGTTGTTGTTTAGTCGTGTCCGACTCTTCGTGACCCCCTGGACCAGAGCATGCCAGGCACTCCTGTGTTCCACTGCCTCCCGCAGTTTGGTCAAACTCATCCTGGTAGCTTCAAGAACACTATCCAACCATCTCGTCCTCTTTTCCTTGTGCCCTCCATCTTTCCTAACATCAGGGTCTTTTCCAGGAAGTCTTCTCTTCTCTTGAGGTGGCCACAGTATTGGAGCCTCAGCTTCAGGATCTGGCCTTCCAATGAGCACTCAGGGCTGATTTCCTTCAGAATGGATAGGTCTGATCTTCTTGCAGTCCATGGGATTCTCAAGTGTCTCCTCCAGAACCATAATTCAAAAGCATCCATTCTTCGACGATCAGCCTTCTTTATGGTCCAGCTTTATGGTCCAGACCAGTGTTGTACAACTTCCATACATCACTACTGGGAAAACCATAGCTGTGGTTTTAGCTAAAAACACCAAACTGTGTTTTTAGCTGAACATTATTTACCAAAACATACACAAAAGTTTTTGAATATCTATTCATATAACTTGTTTTCTTAAAAATCTGACCACACTTTGTTACAGAAGACAGTTGGGGTCAGAAGGAATGACTGCAGATACTGATTGCTAAAAGCTATTGACATGTTGTGAGTTGTGTCAGGATATGTCAGATGCTTTGTTGTTGAGTTTTTAAAGAGTGAAAATAGTTTTTGTATTGGTGGTGGCTTAGGTAACGTAGCAGTCTTCAAATATGCTCAGTTCACAACCATAAAACAATTTGCTCTTTGCCAGTTAGCTCTTAACTGCTTGAGTTCCCAATAATATTTGGGGGGGGGGGAGAGAGTCTGAGCATGCTATTGAAACCTTCATGTCTGAAGTCCAAGCATGCAGAGCTGCAATTGGGCATTTTAATAGTGATTCCTGTAACCTGGAGTGGGAAGGAATGCATGGGAAGGATTAGAAGCTGGCCCTCCCTAAGAGCTGTGCAAAGACTCCTTCCTGGCACCAGCTAACTTGCTGAGTTGGGTGGACTCCAGCTTCTTGGCAGACTCTATTACACCCACGCAAAGAGTGGAGTATATCCGTGGTGGATGCATAGCTAGAAAAATGTTTATCTTGATTCCAGGCTTCTTTCCTTGGTATTTCTTTTCTATTGCACTTGGCTGCCTCTCTTCTCTGCTCATGATATCTTGCATGTTCTAGCAGAAAGACAACTTAATAACCCCTCAAGACCTCAAGCCTCTATTGAATCCTCAAGTGGGGCAGTGGGACCTGCTTGCACCGTGTGCGTGTGTCTTTTTTTAGCACTCCTAATCAAAAGGAAGTAGGCGTGAGTCTTCCCATGCAATTGCATTAATAATTGTAGCTTTCAATACTTAATTATTTCTGTACCTTAGAAGTGTGCAAGATCCCATAGATCCCGAGTGACTTATTTATAGTCACACTCTCCCCATGCTCCAGTGGAGGCTTGCAAAACAACTTGTGGACACCCTCCCCATATGGGTTGCCAGGTGTCGTGACAGACCCCTTGTTCTTACAGACCCAGAGACTTGGAAGGCTTGTCAAGCCTCTGACATGCCGCCATCTGCCTATCTGTCTTTTTTGTTCTCATGTGTCTCTTGTACCTGTGTTGTACAGTTTTTGACAAGGACCTTTCTTCATACAAAAATATATACAAATGGGTTTTTTAAAAGCAAAATAACATACTTGAAGGCATAGCACAAATCCCTTCCCTGAACCTGCCATTCCCACAGGGATATTTCTGCCCCCTAAATGAAAACTGTCACTTCATGCCCTCTCAGTGGAGCCAGATCTGCTTTCTGGCATGTAGGCTAAATCGCTTAACATTTGGTCACAGTTGCACTGGTTTGCTGTCTGAGCACTGCTGCAGCCATGAGGGTTTCAATGGCTTTCTTTTCTTCTTCAGGACATCAAGCCAATGAGGGACCAAATTGTCCGTGTAAAGAGATACGAGAAGGTTCCTCTCATCCTGGTGGGGAATAAAGTGGATCTGGAGTCGGAAAGGGAGGTTTTGTCGGCGGAAGGTCGCGCTCTGGCCCAGGAGTGGGGCTGCCCATTCATGGAGACATCTGCCAAGAGCAAGACCATGGTGGATGAACTCTTTGCAGAGATCGTGAGGCAAATGAACTATGCATCCCTGCCTGAAAAGCAAGACCAGTGTTGTACAACTTGTATTGTCCAGTGAAAAAGAGAAAGCAGAACCTCAATCATGGCCATACCAAGCAGGTTGGTGGAATCTCCATGGATAGCAGAATACCACTCAAGGGTAGGAGGGAGCTGTTAGGCTCAAGGTGGACTACAGTGTCTTCTATTATTATTATTATTATTATTATTATTATTATTAAACAAACTGGGCAGTAGCATTGTTTTTGCAGCAACCCTGTGACTGAGAAGTGAGGAGTGGCAGCGCATTTGACAGTGTAGGGAGCTTGACCTATGCTGTCCAGTCAAATTTGTTCCTGGGCCAGGATTCAGACTTGTGCTTCCCAAGGAAGCACTTGACTCCACTGGATCTCTCAGAAACGCACTTTGTTCAGTTTCTTGCCAGCCTACATTGCCATGGCAGGTGGCTTCTGCTGGACATCTGACCAATGTCTTGTGGTTTGCTGTCGCCCTGAATTTTTTGCTCTGGCAATGAGTTTGACTAGCTTTCCTTTGGAGATCCCTGCTATTGTTCTCAGTTGCCTTACATTGCATCAGACTGTTGGTTCACCTAGCCCAGCGTGGCCTATAGCAATTGCTGATGGCTCCCCATAGTCTTGCACAGAGACTGGCCTTTCAAAAGCCTTTTAGCCAGAGTAGCAAAGGGTTGGAGCTGCTGCCCTCTGTTTGCAGTGCTTGCATTCTGCCCCTCTCAAGTTTGCCCAGAAAATAATTGTTAACTTGCCCCAGTTGAATGAGGATCATGTGAATGCACAGCAGCACCTCAGTTAACTTGCCTTGAAGCGTACACCTGCCTTTCGGTGGAGAGCCACTGGTTAGGCCCTAAAGTGCTTGCATTGGGTACCAGCAGAGTGGACCTCTTTACCTTATGTGATCATACAGGCTATTCAAAAGTGTTATGGAGTTTCAACAGTAGTTGGTGAGGTGGGAAATAAGTGGCAAAACCACATTATTTGCAACAGTGCCTAGTAACTAGATTAACAAGGTGCACAGGCTACTGATAGTTCATAGTTAGTCCTGATAGTTTTTTGGAACCTCATGAGCGCACCAGCAGGATGCAGACTAGCGCAGAAAATGAGGTGGAGATGCAAGTTGATGGCAGCCATCGGGCTGCCTCATTTAGCCCAGTGTGTAAGGAGGGAGGCTGGCCTGAGGTACTTGCCTCAGCATCTGTTTCCTGGTTTTCCATCTTTTCTGGTACCTTCCAGATTTTGCTGGACTGCAGCTGCCATCATTCCTGACCATTGGCCAGGCTGCCTTGGGCTGATGGGAGCTGGAGTCCAGCGAAGCACCCAGCCTAGTCCAAGGAGAACCACTCCAGAGGCAGCAAGTCTTCTCTTGAGACTTTCCTCCTGCTGCCTGGCTTTGGGTATAAAGATGGCTGTCTAAAAGGAATGTGGATATGGGCCTTCTGAGGTTGATCAGACCCCAGAGTCCTTAGAATCATAGAATCATAGAGTTGGAAGAGACCACAAGGGCCATCGAGTCCAACCCCCTGCCTTGCGCAAGCTGCTCTAAGCATATTCCCTGTCATGCAAATCACTTTAATAATAGAAGCATCTGAAGAAGCGGAAGAGTGCCACTGCTGATTCCTACTGTGCTTCTGCATGATTTGAAGCTGCCTCTTGGCTCAAAAGAGGCAAGAGGTTACGAAAACAGTCTGATGTGTCAGCTGTCATTTAAATATTCCAGGGTGGTTGCTGACTGTGTTCTGCAGTTTAAAAGTTTGTGTTGAAACTCACATCAGTTGCTGCAAATGGAATAACACCGGTGACATTGTGCAGCCTCTCCTTTGCCCTGGTCTGAAACTTCCACTCTTAAAAGGGGGGGGGGGGCTTCCAGTGAAATACCAGTGGTCTCTCTTCTGTTATGTCAGGCTGTTTGGGGCTGGGGGGTAGACTGCCTTCCTTGCTGAGGGATGCCATTTGCAAATTCTACTTTGCCAGGTGTAACACTGTCTGAAAAGCATCACTGCCTGCTTTCTCTGTGCCACTCACAGTATTGCAGAATCCTGGCCTTGATGATGAAATTGGCTTACATGTCAGGGGAAAATTTGTGCATTCAAATGAAGCATGAGAAAAGGGAATGTAAAGGAGCCTTGTGTGCTTGATAGGGTGGGGGAGCTACAGAGGACAAGGCGAAAGGGCCTGACTGAATCTCAACTACCTTGGGGGCAAGGTATGCCCAGAAACAGTGGGCGTGGGCTGTTGCACCAAAGTAGTGGAGTCTGTTTAATACAAGGATAGGCTGGCCCCTGGCCCAATCACTGATCTGTATCCTGAAAGAGCCGAGCCTGCCTTTGATTTGCTCTTTGTCTTAACTGCAGATAAAAACTCAGAGGAATTTGCACAGATGCTGCTTTGGAGAAACCCTTTCAGCCCAGGCTGCAGAACTGAGCCTTGCTAAATGCTGTCTCTCTCTTTAGAGCACATTTCCAGGCGTGGGTGCAAAAAGGTCAGCGGCGGCCATGGACATCCGTAGGCCTGCGACAAACGCTTAGCATGTTTACCACACATTCTGAAATCTGTTCTTTATCTCTCAGTCCTTCTCGTTCTTTTTAAAATAGCTTTCTAAATTCCTATTAATGGCTAATATGCAAAAGTTCATTTTAAAAATATGTTTTGATTTCTTTAATTGATTTCCAGAACTTGTATTTATTAAATTTTAAACTCAGTATTACCTACTCAATGCCTTTTTAAGTGAAAGTTTTAAAGGAGAATAAAAGTGAGCCTTAAACAAGTGGTTACTTCTGTATATTACCTCACATCCGTGCTTGATTTGCAAAAAGAAAGTTTTCTTCTCCTCCAAAATGTCACTGGTTGAAACTTCAAAATGTTCTGTTTACATGTGATGGTGTCATAGATATGAGTCATATTGTACGGATGTTTTTAACATCACATTTCGCTAGCAGCTGTGGTGGCTGGTCATTGGTCTTACATGAAGATAGGAAGTTATTGGACTGGGTCCGGAGCTGACCAGCACTTTGTATGTGTTTTCCTTCTTATCACATGGTATTCAGAGTTTGTTTGTTTTTCCCCTTTTAAACTGATGCAGCACTCATGTTAAATCACCAGGACATTTTTCAATTTCTGATATTGTATTTCTCGGCAAAGAATAATGAGTTGCCCACGGGGCTTTTGTTCAAAAGCAAACTTGGGTTTGCCTGACAGGATTAAGATGACATCAAATGCAAAAACAAAAAAACATTTTCTAGTTCTTAAAATACTGTTTCTCTCCTAATAATGTTTTGAAGCAATATCTGTTTGCTTATTTCCTGCCCACTCCCCTGGTTTCCAGTACTCTGAGCTGGCACAGCGGGCAAGAGTGTTGAGCATCAACTCCATGCACGATTGCATTACACAGCCATTGCCTTCTGCAGAGTTTACCTGATTTAAACTATTTTGTCTGGATACTTGAAAACTTAGAACAGCAACACAGGTATTAAGCAGAATGAAAAGTATATAAATAGTTGAAGTGTTGAGGTAGGAGTTTTTTCCAGCAGTGATTTGAGAAACCGCCTTTTCCTCCCCACAGTCTGAATAACTGTGGCTCATTTACCTGTATCAAACTGTAGGTTTAAGAGCCTAGCTTAATTAATTTGAACATGCTTGATAAATACTGGCTTGTCCTATAAAAGCCAATAACCTGTTGACAATGAATTCTTGCAATTAAGTACTAGCCTGAGATATGAGGCAACTATAACTTCAAAAAGAGGCACCAGCATTCTGCATGTTTAGTCTCATTTGAACCCTATTGAGAAAAAATCAGTTTTAAGTTTAAAGCTTCAGGTTACCAAATTTGCAATGGGGTTACTAGAAATTAATGTTAGGTTTGCACTTTAATGGAAGACTTCAAAACTGAAGGCTGTTCTCAAAGTATATTTATATGGTAACATGTTAGTAGTGCCAAGGGAACAGAGGATCCAAATAATCTAATTTCCTAAGAGGGCAGAAACCTTGCATTGCCACCAAACCCTTTCCCTTTTGTTTCTTAATTGATCATTTGTTAAAATGTGATTTAAAATTCTTAACTGACATCAGCAGTTGGTATATTACCAGGAATGGCTAAACTTATGCCCAGTGTCAGTTTCCTCACTGCAAATTGGAATAAGGGACCAAATGTTTAGCTGAGGCTTCCTCTTGGGTTGCAGTGAGGAGTAGCTTTGTGGAAGTAGCTGATAACGCAAGGTGCATATTTGCAGGACCCCCAGGCCTGCCTCCTGGGTCTCTTTGTTAATTGAAAAAGTTGTCTCTTAAGCCCCCTTTTAGCTTCATCAGGGCTTGTTGAGGGCAAAGCTTCTGGTGGGCTGCTTCCTTTGACCCTCCAGCATCTCTCTTGGGTGTTCAAATCACTGCAGTGGGACTCTCCAAACAAAGGCCATTTTCAGAGGTCTCCCAAACCACCCTGGGATATCTGTCCCCTAGACTGAAAAGTGGCAGCAGAACACAAGATAATTCTGAAAGAATTATTGTCTCCCTTAGCCACCTTTTCTGTTGTTTGCATGGTGGGTGTTGAGGCCCTGCTCCTCTCCCCCCAGAGCAACTGGCCAGGGTCCGTGAATGCAGCTGTTTTTTGGGAGAGAAATACCCCCCTGGGTACAATTGTGACCTTTTGCATGGACACAGCTGAGAGCCGTGATATGTGTGAAAAGTACCTAAAAGGAAACCTGAACTTAACCAGTGTGCTGTACCTTTTATTGGTGAAAAAGTAAAACCTGGAAAAATTAGTGAATGCAAAACTTAGAACTATGATCTAATGCATTGTAAACTAAAAACCACCTATTACCCCCCCCCCGGATTTCATTCATTCATTATTTTGTAAGACGACCCTACAGTCCACCTGTTTGTAACTTTTTTAAATAAAATAGATACCTGTATTAATTACCAAAACTGCATCACTGTTGTTTGTCTTGGTAATATCTATGCTAGGGGAAGTGGCTGGGTTTCTAGAATGAGGTAGTTGGTGTGTACCATATAATTGCAGCTGTGAGCCAGAGTGCAAAATTAAGTTTCCTAAGAATCTGTGATTCGTGTGTGTGTGTGTGTGTGTACACACACACCATATTCTAAAGCAGATGTGAAGAACCCCTGGCCCTTCAGCCCCAGCAAGCATGGCCAGTTCAGCAGGAGAAGGGCCAAATATTCCCCATGCCTGTTCCAAAGTGTCTGCCGGAATACTGGAAATGGGCAAATGTCTTTTTTTCCCCAACAAGGTGAGGGAAATACAGTGGTGCCTCGCAAGACGAAATTAATTCGTTCCACGAGTTTTTTCGTCTAGCGAATTTTTCGTCTTGCAAAGCACGAAATCCCATAGGAATGCATTGAAATTCAATTAATGCGTTCCTATGGTCAAAAAAAGTCCAAACAAAGCCAAATTTGGTACAACAAGAGTTTATTAAGTGCTCTTTAAAGTCACACATACAGTGGTGCCCCGCAAGACGAATGCCTCGCAAGACGGAAAACCCGCTAGACGAAAGGGTTTTCCATTTTGGAGGTGCTTCGCAAAACGAATTTCCTATGGGCTTGCTTTGCAAGACAAAAATGTCTTGCGAGTTCCTTTCCCCCCTTTTTTTCCCTCCCCCCCCTTTTCCCAAGCCGCTAAGCCGCTTATCAGCTGATCCGCTAAGCCGCTTAACAGCTGATCCGCTAAGCCGCTTAACAGCTGATCCGCTAAGCCGCTTATCAGCTGATCTGCTAAGTCGCTTATCAGCTGATCCGCTAAGCCGCTAATAGCCCTAATCCGCTAAGCCGCTAATGGGCTTGCTTCGCAAGACGAAAAAACCGCAAGACGAAGAGACTCGCGGAACGGATTTTTTCGTCTTGCGAGGCACCACTGTACTGTAAAGAGCATTTCAAAAATTGAAGGAACAATAAATTAAGTTTCTAAACATGACAGAAAAACATTTAAAAATCAACAAAGTGTACAGTACATTTTCTAAGACTCTGGGGGACAACTCGAAGAAGGTTCCTCTTCCACTCTTTGCTTCTTGCTGAAGAACCCCCTCCTCAACTGTTCCCCCAGCCACCCACCACACAGAAATTCAAATCCAGAAATTTTTTTAAAAAACAGAGTGGCCCAATGGTCACAGAAAATCATAAAAATGCAGAAAAAAAACCACACAAGCTTCCAGATTCTTGCAAACCCCTCCTCAACTGTTCCCCCAGCCACCCACCACACAGAAATTCAAATCCAGATTTAAAAAAAAAAAAACAGCAGAGTGGCCCAATGGTCACAGAAAATCATAAAAATGCAGAAAAAAACACACAAGCTTCCAGATTCTTGCAAACCCCTCCCCAACACCAAGTCCTTGAATTCCAAACACCCCAACCCAAAATCCAAAACCCCCCAAAAAAGTTTTAAAAGTTTAACTACCACACCGCGTTCTATGAGTTGCTCCTCGAAGTCAAGTCGCAACTGTATTAACGGTGTTAAGAAAAGGAAACAAACTTGCAAGACGTTTTCGTTTTTCGTCTTGCGAAGCAAGCCCATAGGGAAATTCGTCTTGCGAAGCAGCTCAAAAAACGGAAAACCCTTTCGTCTAGCGAGTTTTCCGTCTTGCGAGGCACCACTGTAGAGAGAATTGAGGAGGCAGATGTGAGAAACCACAACCTGGTCTGCTTGATGTCAGCGGTTAGGTGTAAAAAAACTCAGGCTTTGCAAAGCTGGGGGCACTGGGTCAAGTTCATCACCTTGGTTGAATTAATTAAACTATAGATTTAATTGGATTTTGAATAAATGTGCAATTAATTGTTAATGCTTTGAATTTTATTGTTAACTTCCCTAGTGGGTCCTGCAAACTGCCATTTGGATAATGGTTTTGACAGATAGGATAGGGGGCACTGGGAATTTAATGGAATCAAGGGGGTGGCAACCGCAAAAGGTTTGTGAACCACTGATTTAGAGTAAGTCATACTAGACCAGCATTTATCCTTTCTTCTTTATTAGAGTTTGTAGTGTGGTAGATAATAGATTTCTATATCTTGACTTCAGCAAAGCATTTGATAAGGCCTATGATGCTCTTGTTGAAAAGTTGGTGAAATGAAAATAGGTACCTAGAAAGATGAAACAAACATCATTCTCTTATCTATCTATTTATCATTTATCTACTGGGTGATAGAATTGGTAAGGATTAACTGGTTGAAGAACTGCACTGAACAAGTGCTCTTCCATGACGTCTCTGTGTCAGCCTGGAGAGAAATGTGTTGTTTGACTTGGATGAAGGTATAGAGGGATTGTGGATTAAATGTGGAGATGGGTAATATCATGGAACACAGCACCACAATTCAAGATGATCCTGGACATTAGCCCAGATGGTGTGGCAACCAAGTTCTATGAGGAAAGAACTAATGGAAAGAACTCTTAAGGGGAAGTTAAAGGGAGACATGATAGCTGTCTTCAAATACCTGAAGGGGTTTTCTGCTGGAGTAGGGGTGTCCTCTCTTCCCCCAGAAGGCTGGAAGGGAACCAAGAGGTGGGAACTTTGGCAGGGGTGTGTGTGGAATTAGCTGGAAGCTTCCTAATGTTAAGAAGTGTTCAGTGGTGGAACAGACTGTCTCAGAGGTAATGGGCTCTCCTTCACATTTATGCACAGGATGAACAGCCTTCTGTCAGGTTGCTGTGGTTGCACTCTGCCTTCAGAAGGGGCTGAACTAGACGATCTTCAAGAAGATTAGGTCAGGGGTCAACAAGCTTTACCTCACCTGGGCCGGTTCACTCCAGTGGAGGTTCTTCTGTGGGCCAGATTGCATGCGCGATTTCTGGCGTCAGCACCTGCGCAGACATGATCTCCGGCGCCACGGAAGCGAGCCCCCGTGCTGTGCTGTGTCGGTTTAGCGCAGCGCACGGAGACTTGCCAAGCAGGCGGCTCGGTACCAGGGCGGCTCATGGGCCAGTTAAACGACCCCCTGGGCCTCTTGTGGCCCATGGGCCTTAGGTGGCCAACCCCTGGATTGGATGGTTTTTTGTCGTTTCGTTCTGGGTTGGATTCAGCAATGAGTCTTTAATGGGCTGTTTCTGGTTCAGACTAATAACAGTGCAAAACCAAGTTTGCCACATCTGAACCATTTCACTAGCAGGTTGCATTAAAAAATGTATAGTGCTTATAGGCATATGTAGTTAATAAAACTGAGAGATTGCATCTTAATCCAAATATTAAATTATTTAAAATGTTGCTCAAAACCTTAGAACAGTTAATAGAGGATAATAAAGACTCAAGGATGAAATAGCAAGCTAATCTTGTATTACTATAAAAGGTGTAGTGGTGAAGTATATTGATTATATTTTTTAGAAAATATTCATTTTCTTAATTTCAAATAGAGGCTTGGGGTGTGCTCAACCACAGGAATGCTCAACACTGGTTAAGGTTTCATTTCCTTTATGTTCTATTCTGACATACTGCTTTTAAAAAGGCTGCTAGCACTCGTTTTTGGGCAAAAAGCTTAGCAACATAGTACTTTTCTTTTACAGGACAAATACCTCTGAAACCCTTCCATGAAGTAGGAACTAGAACCAACTCTTCTGACAAATGCAGGGTGGCGTTTTTAAAAAGTATCTCTGAGCAATGGGCATTAAACAATAAATTAAGCCAGGAATGTAGGCAGGCCAAGAGAGGAACACAAAGACTATTTTTCAGAGCTTTGATTTCAGTCTATTTCTTATGTAAACCTAAAGGATACATCCCATCTAATGACCGACCTTTTGGAATGGACTTCAGCTCACTCTCCTGAAGTGTCATGAACTTGTGGCTCTTTACTCTTGATGTTGAGCCGAGCATGTGTTGAACCCAAGGTGAACTGTTCCGGAAGCTCTGCAGTCACCATCTTGCTAGTCAAGATAACCCCACAATTAATTTGTACTGGTTATAACAATGAGCTCATATATGCTTATATTTCCTTGCTTTGATATAAGCTAATGGGCTTGCTTTGATGTTCTCCTTATCTGTGGGCTTGGAGTGCTGGGCTCTGAGCCCAGAAAGGGGAGCTGATGGTAAGACTTGGGTATTTGCCACCTATGCCCTAATCAGGTGCGGAAAAGCCACCTGCTAACTGTGGTGTCTATCCTATGTCTGTAAAGGCTAGTGCTGTGAGTCTGCACCTTTGTTTTAATAAAGCATTAGAATGCAACACTGGCTTTTCTGACATCCTTCTTTGGTATCCCTGCATCCAACCACTCCCATGCACTGGCAGAGGAAGAGGAGTGGGGGGGAGTATACTGCCCCCGGCAGCACGATCCTGGTGGGGTACCATTGCAGCTGCCCCCCCCGCCCGCGCTGGGTGCCACGCCCCTGCAGGCGACATGCCAGGCCCCCAGGACACACGCCAGCCCCGCCCCACCTGCTCTCCGCCCCCCGGTGCCAGAGCATGAAGCTCTGCCACTGCTCCCATGAGCTCTCCTTTGGGCTTGAGGTTCAGGGCAGAGCTACTAACCTTGCTTTGTGTGTCTTACAGTGTTATGGGGTTTCTTTTTTACCATTTTAATTTTTTTTCGTGTTTGGCCGCATCCTTCCTTGTTACGATTTTAAAAAATCCAGTCGCAAATGTAGTTATGCAAAAAGGTATCTCTGAACACAGCCAGAGTGCCTTTCCTTTGCCTGTTTTTAAAGCACACAAGCCAAGGTGTGAGTGGCAAAATTGCACATCTTCTGCAGCAAAGGGAACTGTTTCCGCTCAGACATGAGCTCAACCACTTCCTCCTCTACAGATCCAGCTCAAGGCATGGTCCGTGCCTGCCACAAGGCCAAGGACAGGGAGGTGGCAGAACGCTCCACAGAAACAGTGCCAGAAGTTGCGCAAGATCAGAGCAAATTACAGCAAAGAGGAAATTATATATTTTTAATTGCTTTTTTTAAAAACATGTTTGTCTTGCTCTTCCGCCGTGGGAAAGTGGGCCCTCATGCAAAGTAGAAGGACACATTATCGTTAACTCCGGTTGAGAGAGTGTGGCTGCTTCAAGGTCTCGCCCAGTGTGCATCATGGTTGGGTGAGGACTGCTCACTGTGAAATCCAGTCTGTCATCTGCGTCACACAATGGGCTCTCAGCATGACTAAGCACAAAGGGCCACACCCAATGGGAAACAACACCAGTGAACTTCTCTCAAATGCAAGCATCCAACAACTGCTTTTCTTAACTTGCCCTCAGCTGCATGTGATATTTGGTAGGGTGGCATAATGTAAAGTGCATGATGTGGTACAAAATACCAGGTCAGGCCCTTGGTCTGACCAGCTCAGTGTTGTCAGCACTGACTGGCAGCATCTCTCCAGGGTTTCAGGCAGGAGTCTCTCCAAGCCCCATGGGAGATGTCAGGGATCAAACCTGTGACTACAGCATGCAGAGCAAATGTTTTGCCGCTGAGCTACAGGCCGTTGCCACCAAGAGGTGGGACATGGAAGCATATGCATCCCTTTCAGTAGGACCATCAAGAGTGTTCAGCTGGGGCTGTGTCCCACGCCACACATTTAAAACACATGGCTTCCCCAAAGAATCTTGTGAACTGGTTTTTAAGGGTTGCCGGGAACTGTAGCACTGTGAGGGTTAAACTCAAATCCCCACTCAGTTATGTTGTTCCCTGGGTGACTGGTCACTTTCTCAGTCTTACTTAGCTCACCTCCCGTTCACCTATCTTCCTCCCTCTGCCTTCTCCATTTTGCGTCCCGGGGCTGAATTTTGTAAGCCCAATGGAGGCAGAGACCTGTCCTCTTGTATTTTGTTCAAGGCTCATGTTAATTGGCTGGTGGTGCTAGACTCTCTTCTGAGAGCTGCTTTATTTCAACATAAAACTTAAGAGCACTGAATGCTTTAAGGAGAGCCACTTGTTCCCTTCTGAGTGTGAGTTAGTCCACTGCTAATTCGGAGGAGCTTCATTTAGAAGCCAGCATCTGCAGGAGGACTGGGATTTAAAGGGAGTGCAAGAGTGCAAGCCCAGAGGAGTGCAAGGCTGCCTCCAACGCATACACAACACGAAACTGAAAATCTGACAGCTTGGTAAAAATAACCAGAAGATGGTGCTCTTTTAAAGCAAATAAATGTCTCTTCCACTGACCAAAGGCACAGTCGCCTTGCAAAGCAACCTGTTCCAGAAAAAAATAATTAAAATATTCCACCTTCAGGAACTTAGAAAGCTGTCTTCTGTTAGGAAAGACCCCTCTAGCTCTGCATTGTTTACACACGGACTGGCAGCAGTTATTCCTTGGATGTTATGGGCAAAACACCCTCATTTCAAGGAACAGGGTCACACATTTCCCCATCCAACTGTCTTTGTAAAGCCAGCCCCATAAATGCTGCCTGATAAAAATTGTTAAGATGTAAGTGCACAACAGAGAGAAATCTGGCACACATGTGGTCCAAGGTTACTTTTTAAAACCTTGTGCCTTGTGTCTTTTGCCCTTGCCTGTATGCATCCAGTCTCTGATGGTTCCTTCTATGAGTTCTTTGAAGGGAAAAGCTGCAAATATTCAATTTCTCCAGCAAAGAAAAGTTAAATTTGGTGTGATTGAGGATGGCAGGCTCATCAGAAGGATGAAGATAACATTTCTTGTGTTGTTGAGACAAGACTGCAACCACTCAGGCTGTTAAACATTCATCAGTGTGGGGCAGATCTGTTCAGACAACCACCTGGTTTAGAAGTCATGTAGGGATTTTGCTTCATAAGGGGGAAAGCAGGAAGAGAAAAGCAAAAGACTTCAACATGCCTCCACTTACACAAAGTACTCCTCTCTTGTAAATAACCAGTACCTGTAAGCCCATGGATAACTGCAGTCCTTTCCCACGTTGCTATATGCTGGGTCATCAACTAGATTCTGATGGAAGAATGGGTCACTGCAGGCCCACCTGGCATGACCAAGAGTTATGGGTGATTGGAGTTGAAGTCCACTTATATCTGGAGATCCACTGGTTCCCCATCTCTAATCTTTTAAAAAAATCTCTAGTTCTCATGGTAAAAAACAAAAATAAAACAAGTTCATATAGGTCCAAGCTGCAGGTGCTGAACTCTCTGAAATTCTGAGTCTGGCAAGTGGCTGCTCCTCGTGCTTCAGTTGTTTATGGAGCAATGAGGACTGGTTCAAACCCAGAGCATCTCTAGAGAAATGCAGTTTCTTACTTCTTAGCATAATACTAGTCTCTTAGCATTTCAGAAACTCAGGAAAGCTGCAAACAAAAGAAACCCTTTTAGCTGCCTGGCGATTGTGATGGTGGCGTTGGTGTCTACCTTCAGCACCTTCCCTTTCCTGCTTATGCTCCAGTTGCCAGCACTTGCCCTCCTGCAGAGACTGAAATCCTGTATGAATCAGAACAGGAGCAAGCCCAGCCCCCCCCCCCCGCCGCTGCCGCTTGCATCCCAGAGTGTCAAGATCTTGCCAACTGCTCAGCTGCCTGCTCAAGGATGCTGCACCTGAAGGTCCAATTTTTGGATGACTCCCAGAAGATCTTTGTCGTTGATGTAAGTGGATTTTCTCACTGTTATTAGTTTGTTATTGAGACTCTTGGAATGTCTCTGAGCTTCCTAGCTGCTGCCTCATTTTGGCATTTAAAAAAAAAGTGAAATCACAGTTAGGTGGCAAAGGTGAACATGTAACGAGGGGTAGCTAACGCTCTTGGGGGGTTGTAGTGTTTATTGAACAATATGGAAAATTTAATATTTTTTGCAATAATTCCCTGTTTTTATGTGATACGGAAAGCTTGAGTTTGATGACTGAACACCAACAATAGTGTGCACCAGAAAATCTTTTTAACGGAAAACGTAAACATGTGTCTGTGTGGGTCAGTTCAAGAGGCTGCCAGGGGGAGAGGTTGTTGGTAATTTGTTTTCCCTTTAAAAAAACACCTCTTTATTATAGAGAAATTGAAAAATAAAATATTTTTGGAAGAAAGCTATATCACTTGCTCAGTAACATTGAAACTTCTAAGGAAGACTGCATGGAATTCTTTGAATTCATTTAATATATATTATTGCAAAATCAATAAAATTATTTGAAAGAAAGGAATAATTAGAAGCAACAATTAAAATAATGTTATTTAACAATATTAAAATGATAGGCTTGCCAAAAATCAGTATTCAAATATTGAATCTAAAGTGTAATCACCATACAGAAAATTAATTCTGTGTTAATGTGTTGTTCTTAAGCTGCGCCTTTTAGTGTGCAAAGTATTGGGTTGCTGTTCTTCCTTGTTTTCAGGATTCTAATGTCTTATCTTAAACTTGTTGTCTCTGTTACCCAGTATCTTAATCAAAGGAAGGCACTTCAAAAAGCTCTTATTTAAAAGCAGCTTTATATTGTCAGGTAAAAGGTCAAGTTAAAATGTATCCCTTTCAAAACCCAATTACCTCCATAGGTTGGTTATATTGTTCTGTTTCTGATTAAATTTAGACATCTTGCAACATGCTTCTCTGCCTGCCTTTTTCCCAAGCCAATGAAAGACTGGGATATAAAGCCTCAGTTGGTAGAATATGAAACTCTTAATCTCAGGGTTGTGGGTTTGAGCCCCGTGTTGGGAAAAATATTCCTGCATGTCAGGGAGTTTGACTAGATGACTCTCAGGGTCCCTTCTAACTCTGCAATTCTGTGAGTCTATGTTCTGCCATGATCTCTCATCTGGGTGAGGTTTTATTTGTAAGGAGAGGTAGGTGCAAGATAATATCCAGATCAATAGTATGGAACACAGGAACAAGGAAACTGCCATCGGTCCATCCAGCTCAGTGTTGTCTACACTGACTGGCAGCCACTCTCCAGAATTTCAGATGGGGTTCCTCCCAGTCCCACCTGGGATTGAACCTGGGACCTTCTGCATTCAAGGCACATGATCCTCCCCTGTGGCTTCACTTCTGGCAAGTTCATGGGATGCAGGGGTCAGAAAAATATTTGGGTTTATTTTCTTTCTCCTTCAGCTATTGAGCAATATTTTTTAATATATATAAATATTTTTATTCATTTTACAATACGAAATTATAAAAACACATAACAAAATTTTTCACAAATACATTCTTTTGGACTTCCCTCAGCTCTCCTGCGAATCCTCCGTTTTAATTCTTGCTTACACATTTCCTAATTTAATATTGCCTTTTAGAAAACCTTCCCCCTCCCTACTCCCTTTTTTTACAATATTTCTAATATTCTCCTTCACAGAACTTCTTGCAAACCGGCAAACGTTGTTTGTTCATCGCATATACTTTTCAAATAATCTACAAATTTACTCCAGTCCTCGGTGAACCTATGGTCCCGTAGATTCCAGATCTATTGAGCAATATTTATATGCTGCTTATATACCACTTTACATAAAACAATATAAAGTGTTCATTAAATATACTGATAAAAATGCATTGTTGCTGTCGCAGCTTTAAAGATCTCCTTTAATACTGCAAAAGTTTGGAGACACAAGATGCAAAGAAATGTTTTTTTAAAGGTTGCTAACAGTGACAAGGAGCACATCCTGTCTGGCTGTTCTCATTTAGAAATGTAAGGAATCTCAACCAATAATCAGTTGAATTTCAGCTTCTCTGTACCTCCAGCAGCTTTTCGCACCTTGCCCCTCCATATCTGACCCAGACATCATCGTTTTTGCTCTGCACAGCATATTATTGCAACAAATAGGTTCCATTAAGGCCCTGTCTTTCCTTTTCAAACCTCTGAAACCCCCCCGGCACATGATGCACTTGGAAGCTAAATGGCTACAATAAATGAGAATCTGAATTAGCGAGTCTTTTGGAATAGAAAAGGGGCCTCAGGTTATATTCCCAACCAATCTTTCACAATAACTAGCTTTGTGGCTCTTGTTAGTTACAAGTCCTGGATGAGGTCAGGAATCTCTTAGTGGATGTCTGGTAGGTTTCAGGGCTGGTAAACAGGACCCAACTGGCATCCTGAGAATGTGGGTTGCCTTGGTCTTTAGAGAGCTCTGCATGGGTGCAGTCCAGCCTTTTCCGACCCTGCTGGCTCCCAGATGTTTTGCACCACAGATGTTTTGAGAGCTGTTGTCCAAAACATCCAGAGGGCACTGGGGTTGGGGGAGGATGGTGCAATGCAACTTCATATGCATCTGCACCAGGACTGCCGAAAGCCGAGGGAACTCCAACTATAAACGTCCCTTTAACACATGCATGCACATGAAAGCTTATACCAAGAACAAACTTAGTTGGTCTCTAAGGTGCCACTGGACAATTTTGTAATATATTCCCTTTAACACATTACTCCCACAAAGAAGCTTCCCTGAGTATAAGTGGCTGCAGAGCTTGGGCATCTGAAGAAGTGAATTCTCTATTCATGGGCCCATGCATAAACTGGAACCCTGGGGTCCTGCATATGTGGAGGCCTAAACACACAGAAGGTCAAAACATATATGGTTCCAATATCCACACAGCCAAGCTTGACGTTTGGGCATAGGAAGGTGGAGAGATGTGCAAGGAGTGGGGCAAGGTGCCACTTCCATGAGGAACCCCTGCCCAGTAAATTTCTCTTTATGTTAAGCTTCAGGGCATGGTGGTTTGTGGCATTTTTCAGCAGCTGAAATGCTTGACGATGATGGAACACTTCATATGAACACTCAAAGGGCTGCACTCGTGGCAGAGTGAGTGCTTTGCAGGCAAAAGGTCCTTGGTTCAGACTTTGGCATCTCCAGGAAGGACTGGGAGAGAGGCCTCTGCCTGAAACCCTGGATTAGATAATACTCAGCAAAAGGCAGAATTAACAATATGGACTCCAATACCATAGCAATCCAAAGAGGCACAAGACAAGGATGCCCACTGTCTCTCTTCCTATTCATCTTGGCCCTGGAACCCCTAGTAATCCGACTCTGAGCATCCCCAGGTATCAAGGGTGTGGAAATAAAAGGTAAAACCTATAAACTAGGGCTCTTCGCAGACAACCTGATGGTCACTACACCAGACCCCATAAACACAGTAACCTCTCTAATCAGAGAACTCAACACATTTGCAATAGTGTCAGACCTACAAGTAAACTTTGCAAATTCTGAGGCTGTCACCAACATCACAAAGTTAAAACTCTGCCACACCAAATTCAAATACTTAGGGGTACAAAGAAACCAGAAACCTCAACAAACTATATCTCCACAATTACAATCCCCTGTGGTGACAAATCAACAAAGATTTGAGGAAATGGAACAAAACCAACTTCAACCTCTCAGACAAAATAGCCATGATCAAAATGAGCACCTTCCCACAACTAACCTACCTATTCCAAACTCTCCAGATAAAAACCTGGCAAGCCAAAGGCCTACACTGTCTAAAAGACTTCTACAAAAACAACAGACCCATACCAACACCCAAATACTTTGGCTAACACACCATAAACTACATGCCTTCTTAAACAATCCAGCAGTAAAATCAGCAGCCACTAGGCCCTTGACCACCTTCAAAACCTTCTCCTCAGAGCAGAGGGACACAGCAAAAGGATGGTATCCACAATATACAAAATACTGCTCCAAAACCCAACAACCCCCCTTGATGCAATCAAATAACAAATGGGAGCACGGCATAGGTTACGAAATTAACCCCACACAATGGACTACAATGTGGTCTAAACCTCCCTTTAAGTCCATCTCAGCGATGGTACCTAACACCACAGAAACTGGCGCTGATACGCCCAGGAACTTCACCAAGATGTTGGAGAGGCTGCACATCCACAGGCACATACCTCCACATGTGGTGGGAATGTCCCAAAATCCAACCCTTCTGGGCAGCAGTCCTACAAAAAACTAACAGTTATTAGAACTCACCCTGGAATTAGCCCTACTGAACATCTTCCAAGATCATAATGACCATTCACATTATGCAGATCTTACAACCCACCTGCTCTCAGCAGCCAGAAGCCTCATAGCCAGACACTGGAGAGATCTGTCAGGAGTAAGCATGGACCAGTGGTATCAAATTGTATGGGAAACAGCCTTATTAGAAAAACTAACCAATAAAGTGAAACTGACATGGGGACAAATAGAAGAAGACGCCTTCAACCCAGTATGGCTCCCCTTTATCACATACACAGGCCAACAAGACAATGACAAGAATCCACCGACAGCATAGGAATCAATCTTTTGACTTACCTGACCCAACAAGCCCCCCCCCCCCCCCACAAATGCAAACAAACCCCACTGCAGCCAACCACAGACAACCAACCACACCCTGGGACCCTAATACCTCTCACTATACCAAGATAATGTAATAAACGAACAGAAAGAGAACCTACCCAGTTGATGCTGACACAACCCCACCACACACACATTATACAAAAGAATACGAGCCTCACCACCCCACCCCTCCTCTCCCCACTCTTCTTCCCCAACCTTATACTGTACTCAACACTAATGTCTCACAACAAATGTAACTGATTTATAAGAAAGACTGTACAATCTGAAAAAAGAGACAAGGCATGTACTTTTGTAAACCAAGAAAATCTTTAATAAAAATTATTTGTTAAAAAAATAAATACTGAGTCAGGTGGCCCAATGGTCTGACTGTATAAGGCAGAGCCCTGAGTTTCTATTCCCAACCAAGTTGAATTCAGCTGGTTGGGGATTAAACCTGCCCTGGCCTTGGCTCAGTGGTGCTGACTTCTGCTTTGCAAGCAGATAGTTTCAGGTCCAATCCCCAATATCTCCAGGTTAATCTCTGAACAGCCACGAGATGGACCAAGTGTCTGACTTCAAGTGAGGAGTCTTAACTGGGTCCCAGTTATTCTCAACTGGGTCTCAGCAGCTATACAGAAGGTTTTGGGGAAAGTTTTTTTTAATGGTCCCCACTCACTTATTTGTCTACTTTATGTAAATGATAGAGGGTTGCTTACATGGTGGAGTTGTGCCCTCTAAAGAAGCTTGAAAGTAAGTAAGTAAGTAAGTAAGTAAGTAAGTAAGTAAAGTTTCTCAAATGGCATGGCAGGGATTAAAAGTTACTTGTATTTCATATTAAATCATAGATGAAATAATGGAAACGTAGAGTTGGAAGAGATCCTGAGGGTCATCACTAGTGATGGCTCAGGCACTGGTCAATAGATGTCCATAATGATTGTGCTACCTGCACCTTTGCACTTCACCCGCATTCATGATGAATGTGGAGGCTGGGATAGGGGAAGGAGCAAATTTTGTCAGTGGCAAAATATCCCCAGCAGGAAAATCAGATCTCCTTATCACAGCCAGGGCCTCATTTGCAGAAGCTTCACAATAAATTATTATGTATGTATATCATGAAAGGGACACGGGTGGTGCTGTGGGTTAAACCACAGAGCCTAGGACTTGCTGATCAGAAGGTCGGCGGTTCGAATCCCCGTGACGGGGTGAGCTCCCGTTGCTCGGTCCCTGCTCCTGCCAACCTAGCAGTTCAAAAGCACATCATGTGCAAGTAGGTAAATATGTACCGCTCTGGCGGGAAAGTAAATGGCGTTTTCGTGCGCTGCTCTGGTTCGCCAGAAGCGGCTTAGTCTTGCTGGCCACATGACCCGGAATCTGTCTGCGGATAAACGCCAGCTCCCTCGGCCTATAGAGCGAGATGAGCGTGCAACCCCAGAGTTGGGCACGACTGGACCTAATGGTCAGGGGTCCCTTTACCTTATATCATGAAAGAGTGGCAACATGTTGGCTGCCGCAGACACTGAAGGTGTAATTGGTTTGTTAAACAGGATTATATACAGCACAAGAAGAGCCTGCTGCTGAATCCGGCCAATGGCACATCTAGTCCAGCATCCTGTTCTCACAGTGGCCAACCAGATGCCTCTTGTGGGACCCGAGCAGAAGAGCAACTCTCCCTTCCTGCGGCTTCCTGCTGTTCAGAAGCAATACTGACTCCAGCTGTGGAGGTGGAACAAAGCCATCCTGGCTGGCAGGGCTCTTAATGCAGACCTGCCACATGCAGCATTTCCCTAGATCATAGGAAGTGTGGGAGGGGGAGGAGAGAGAGGGCACTTAAGGGATCATCATGCCAAGTTAATTCACTGTGCCTTAATGCAGCCTGGCTAAGGCTCCAGTCTCCCACAGCCAGGAGTCCACAGGGAAAGCTAAGAATTGGCAACGGCCAAGTAATATATCCTTCATATCCCAACCTGACCACTGAGGGCCTCAGGGGATGGCTCAGATGCAGGGCTCGTAACTGCTAGAGACTGCATTCAGTACCGTGGGCCAAAGCCTGTGGAACTCCCTCCTGCCTGTGATTAAGGCAGGCAGCCCACTGTTGCATGACTTTTTTTGGTCCAGCAAGCATTCTAAGGGAGTGTTGAATATTGAATTTTTATTGTATGTTTAGAAGTGCTAATGGCTGAGAAGTATATAAATGTTTTGAATAAATAAATACAACCTTGGATGGTGCAAATATTTTGACTGTCTTGCTTAGCAACTCACCTTCTTCTGGGCCACCTTGGTCACCAGGCCAAGCCCAAGACATTTTGCCGCCTGAGACAAAACAGAAAATGGCACCCCCCTCCGGCCACAGTGCAAAGATTCTCCGTTCCCTTGCACGGGAAAGGAAGCGCCTGCACCAGATTCCCCGGGTGGGCCCTATCTCATCCCAATTAGATCACAGCAAGAGACTCTCTTGTGAGGAAACGGCAAGTGCTGATCTCCGACTCTGTTCCTCTGGGAGCCAGTGCCCCAATATTCTAGTGCAGGAGGAATAAACAGTGATAATTGTTTTAATTACTGCTGTGATCCAGCCGTTTGGAAGGGAACCGGGACAGCCCCAGAGAGAATGCTGTTATTATGCTGTCATTTTCCAGCTGCCTTCCTCCACCGGGGTAGTAATTTTAAGGTCGTTGTGTGCAGCAAGGGATTATCTAAAAATGTTAGCGTGCATGTTCCACGCTGAGCACGACCTGCGGTGTGTAAGCAACCCCTCAATTTCCTCTGAAGCCAAAGTCACAATGACAGGTGCGTCTGGACACTTGCCAGCTGCAGTTTTCCTAGCAGAGGGGCTGCTGTGCCATGGGGTTTGGGGCTCCTTTGTGTCCCCAAACAAAGCAAAAGTCCCAGTGCCTAACAGTAACTGGCGCTGTTACGTAAGACTCATTCCCCATTTGTAATGAATTAATGTTTCAGTGTGGGGGCCCCCACATTTTGGAGCTTCTTACCCATTGACACCAGGCAGCCACCTTCACTGTACTCCTTCCAACACCTGCTTAAAACATTTTTGCTAAAGCAATCCTATGCAGCCCAGGGAGAGTCGACACAGGTTTTAATCTGGTGTTTTGCTTATCATTGATTTTATTTTTATTTTTTTCTAAAGGCTTTAAAATGTTCTTTTCAACTGTTTTTTTAACTGATGATTTCATTGTATGTTTTTTTGTAAACCGCTTTGAGATTTATTTATTTTTACAGTCAAGCAGTATGTAAAGCTTATAGAATAAGTAATTTGAATTAAGGTTTATCCATCACCTTTCTTGCACATACAAAATCCTCCCATTTTTTATTTTTTTTTTAAGAGGACTTCCGGGTCAGCGCCATCGGTGAATGGCGGAGTTCCTCCGTCCGGAGGAACGGGCTCCGTGGAAACTGGGTCTTCCCGCCGCGGCGAAGGTGGGGACCCGCTAGAAATCCCAGGTGGAGGAAGCCTGGGAACGTGGGGTTCGGCAGGGCACCAGGAGCGCCCCCCTACTCGCAGGGAATCCCATTTAGGGGCTCCGGAGCGAAGTGGGGTGAGAAGCGCGGTGCTGCAAACTGACTGCTACTTTCACGGAGTGAAGCCGCACAGCCATTGCCGGAGAGCGCTGACTTTTTCCTGTGGACAATTGGATTTAAAAAAAGTACCCGTGAGTAGAAATGGAAAATTGGATCAAGAAATTTCTTAATTTGGTAACGAAGCGGGAAGGTTCAAAACAGGAAGTCTGCCTTCCGCTTTTTGTATATAGACTAAAGCAAAAACTTTGTAAGCTAAAGCCTGGAAAGCTGTCAAAAAAGTCTAAATTTTCTTCATTTAGAATTACTGAAACCCCCTTGGAAGCAGGAGAAAAGGGGGAAAACTTTGTTCAACCCTAGTAGGAGAGGGAGTGAAGAAGGATAAGTTTCCACCGTCTATAACCTGGGAACGGGGTGTCAGAGACAGAAATTGTTGGAGAGGTTCATTGACTGTGAATGGGATATTTTGACAGATAGCTAAAGAAGAGAAACAAGCTGATTCCAGTGTTGCCTTTTGCATCCTAAAGAAACAAAATATCTGAAAAATATCTGAAAAACGAAAGTAATTTTCCTTTGTTGGACTTGCCTTAAAAAAAATGGATACAAATAGAAATTGCCTCCTCTAGAGGGAGCTTGTCAAATTGTTGCTGCAGTACACTTGAGGGCTCAACAGATGTGAGATTAAGACCGTGGGAACAGGCTTTTCTGGCCTTGACTAAAGATGAGTTGGAAAGAAGACTAGGTGCTTGCCTTATGTAAGACAAGTGCCCTGCTGGAACAGATGCATGAGAAGATGGACTTGATGAATGAGAAAATGGATTTGACTGTTGCAGTTAATAACTGTGGGCAAACAGGGAATATTGATACAGAAATTATCCAGGGACCAACTCATGAATCTGTACTGACTGGGCAAGTGCAGAAGATAATGGAGGAGGATGCGGTTGCACCCCAAATAATACAAATGGAGAGTCCCAAGGCCCTACAGGAGTATGAGCCGCTGTCATTGAAGATTGAAGTTGGAGTGGGCCAGGGGGAGTCTGGAGTTGAGGAGGTTCCCAACATTGGAGAGACCTTGGAATATGCTTTTAAATACTTTTTGGACTATATTGAGGATTGTGGGGAGTGGGACTGTGGGGAATGGGCGGGTTTGATGAAGGGAGATGGAGACAATTCTGGCTTGGAACCCCCCAGAGGCCTACCCCTCAATGAGAAAGGAAAGAAACTAAGAAAGAGACCAACAAAAGACAAGGAAAAGGGCAAGTATAAACAAGAAGAAGAAGAATTGCAGAAGGGACATGGAAGGGACTTAAGGGCCTCGGACATAAGGCTTCCAGGTTGATGGACTAGATGGAATGGACAGTAAGGACTGACACGATCCGAGACCAGGAAGAAGGGACGTTGGATGAAGATTGGAAGAAAATTTATAAAGAAATTTTTCTAATTGGGAATTGGTTAAAAATTAATGAATATTAGGGAAAATGTTGGAATGAAACTATATGACTTTAGCAGAAATGATATCAGGAGTAATGTATATTTGATAACTAAGATTCAAGCTTTAAGGTGTTTTAGGGTAAGATAAGGTTAAATTAATTAAGGTAATGTGAATAATAGAATATGGGGAAAGATGGAAAGGATTTGTTGAGTTAATTCTTAGATTAAATTAGGTTAGGATGAATCTTTTAACAAAAATTGAGAAAGATGGAAAGAATTTGCTGAAATAACTAATTAAACTAGAATACAAAAAGGGAGGTGTGAGGAAGTCAATGAAACAAGCAAATGGAAGTTTTAGATATGTAAGTTGGGATTTGTGTTGTTTTCTTTTTTCTTTTTATCTTTTTGTTGTATTGTTGTATTGGTTTTTGTGTTTTTTCTTTTCTTTTTGTCTATTATAGTGTTGTTTTTTAATTTTTTTTAATGTTTTTCTTCTTATAACTCTGAAAACTACTAATAAATATTATTTTAAAAAAACAAAATCCTCCCATTTTAGTTAACGTCAAGAAGCAGGGAAAAAGCAAGAGGTGAAAAAGTAAGTTGCATTTGGAACTCAGTGCAGCAGATGGCATCCCTTGGATCCCATTTTATCAGGCCGGCTGTCTTGCATAATCCTGAAACTGGGCCATTTGTGTGGTGGACCAGCATTTGCCATTTGGAACTCCCTCCAGTTATAGGTCATTCAGGTGCAGCTTCCATTGTCTTTTCAGCACCTTTTTCAGCAGGGCTCCTAAGGAGAAATCCCAGGTGGTATCTTGAGCATGGCTTGAACTGTGGAAAAGCGGCATACAAACAAAATGATGTCTGTCTGTCAGTCTATGTCATCTGTTCTGACTACGAAGCTGCTTTGATTGATGCAACTGTCTTGATTATATAACTGTCTTGTTATATTTGCAGTTGCTTTACATATGATGTTAGGTATTATGAAATAGCTTTAGGGCACTTAATAAAAAGTGATTTGTAAATGAAATTTGCCATCAGCATTGCAGAGCACTTCCAGTGGTGGCTCCCCATTTGTGGGCTGCTTTCGCTAGCAAGGCTTGCTTGTCTCCATCGCTGCTTTCAGGAGGAATTTTGAAATACTCTTCCCCCAGGCCCTTGGTGGCTGAAGAATATTGTTCCTAGCAACCTTAAGACAATATGATGGAATAATGTTTCAAATCGCTTTTAGAGGTTTTTAATTCTAATTGTTTTTAGAATGTTTTGTCTGTTTTAGAATGCTTTTGCATTCTAGATAGTTTCTAGATAGTGTTCTGTTTGCTGCCCTAGGCTCTTTGCAGAAGAAGAGAAGGGTACAGATAAACAGCATCATCATCCTCCAATCATAATTGCATTTTTGTGTTTTAGCAGTGCATCCTTCTTTCTTCCCCATCTTGTCTGGATGCATCCAGGGTTTGTTTCATGCATGGAACTTGCCCTTTTCCCTGCTCAGCTGATGATTCAAACATCTAGTGCAGCTCCCGTCATTGCCATTAAAATTGCTTGGAAATCTTGAGCAATCAGCTTTTTAATAGCTCTGTTCTTCTAGCTTAATGATGCTTAATTACCCTTGCTCATCAAGGACCATGCAGCTTAATTAATATGTGCAAATTGCATTGGTGTTCTTGCCAGCCTCATTGGTGTATGCCAGAAGCCAGTCCAGACCTCAATGAAGTGAGCATCAGAGCAGAGTTCCAAGCATTATCTTTAGCAATAACAAATATTGCATTGATTTATTGATTTGTACAATGACTACCCCAGCTTTCAGCATCACGTGGCCTCAAGGATGCAACCCAGTAAATCATTCAAGTAAACACAATTTTACACCAGCTGTAGCTTTTTGGCTGGCTATGATCAGCTGAAAAAATAAAGCCCATCCCATCCAGCCTTATTATATCAGTGCATTGTGGGCAATGACCACATGACCGACTCAGTCCTTGGTACCAGGTGGTTGCATCCAGTGCTCATCTGACTCAAATCACGAAATTAATAGGCATAGCTTCATGAGTGCCCAAATGCAGGTCATGCTGTACTAAAAATGTCAAGACAACTTGACTACAACCAAATGCTTGCGTAATTCAGGCTACCATCATCTTTCAGAAACAAAAGCTTTACATCAGCAGATATTTTTTCCAAAGCTCAGTGGAAATGAAGACACTTGAGACTCTGCAGTAGCCTTTTTGGAAAGCTGTCTGTCTTCAAATTGTTTTCTGCAACACGATGTCCTTGTGGGAAGAGGTTTAGGCCCACCAGGGTAGGTGGGATGGAACTTAATTAAAACTTATTTAAAAAGGCAACTGACAATGAATGCTTGAACCTGTTTGACCAGTTAGGAAGTGCTTCTCTGAGTCAGTTTGGAAGGTGGGGAGGGGGCAACCCTGGTGACGTGCTTGGTTTTCTAATTAAATTTGCTATTTTAAAAATTCTTCCTAAGGGCGGCTCAAAGTGGGATTTCTCTGAGCAAATATTCTTCACCAACACCACAGTCCTAAATCAGGCCATGTCACCAACTGCTTTTGAAAGTAAAAAATAGATTGCCATTCTTTGTGGGGGTGTTGATATAAAGATGGATGGATCTACGGAAACTTTGCTTTATCATTTTTCACATCTTAAGCTTGGTTCTGCATTGGCATGTTTTAACAAAATAATTCTGTTGAAAATTCACCAGCGTTTTAGTGTATATTTCTGCTAACATTCACAATTCTGCTTGCAATTTTCCCTGATATGATTATGTCTTTATACATTATTTCCACTAATATCATCATATACTTTCCCCTAAAATATGCATTCATGTATGCATTTTCCTTTCTTCTTCTTCTTTGGCAATCACTCGTAGCCGAGTAAGATTGTCTTCTATAAAGACGGTTTTAACAGTGAGTCTGTATATGACTGTGGAGGCCAATTCTGGATCCACACGACCTTCCACAGTGGGGACATTAGTTTCTGGGCAGATTTGCCAAGCACGCTTTCCTCTTAGCATGTTTCTCCCTTGCGCCCTGAGTTTGAGTGTCTTCAAAGATAAGTTCTACCAAAGGTAGTTCAGCTGAAATGATCTAAGGCTCTACACCATGTTCATTTGTTTTAATGGGTTTACTTGGACTCCAATGGAGAGCTTCATTGCAAATTTGAAGAAGTGTAAGTTTTGAAGGGACGCGGGTGGCACTGTGGGTTAAACCACAGAGTCTAGGCCTTGCCCATCAGAAGGTCGGCAGTTCGAATCCCCGCCACGGGGTGAGCTCCCGTTGCTCAGTCCCTGCTCCTGCCAACTTAGCAGTTCGAAAGCACGTCAAAGTGCAAGTAGATAAATAGGTACCGCTCCGGCGGGAAGGTAAATGGCGTTTCTGTGCGCTGCTCTGGTTTGCCAGAAGTGGCCTAGTCATGCTGGCCACATGACCCAGAAGCTGTACGCTGGCTCCCTCAGCCAATAGATGAGCGCCGCAACCCCAGAGTCGGTCACAACTGGACCTAATGGTCAGGGGTCCCTTTACCTTTACCTAAGTTTCGAAACAAAGTCTATGTTTCAGTTTGCTAATTGTTTCAGGGATTTGTAGATTATTCGGAAAATTATTGTTAACAACTAAGTTCATTAGCAGGATTAATCTAAAACAAGCAGTTAAGGAAAACATAGAGAATAACTAATAAATGAAACTAAGCGGGAGATGCAGTATTGAAAATTAAAACATAAGAAACCACAGAAGGGGGGTGGGATGGAAGTCAAATTATATTTTTTATTGGGAAATCTAATTAATCTGTATGATTGTTTAAAAAATTCAAAAATATTGAATAAAATATTTTTAAAAATTGTTTCAGGGTGCATGAATTAGAGACACTTGTGTCAAAATGCAAACCAAAACTGATTTATCCCACCCATCCCTGGTCTGATAATCAAGAAATAAGAGCCCAAATTATATGGAGTTAACTACAGAACATCTTATTTCAGACCCTTCAAGTGTCCCTATTTTCCAGGGACATCCCTGATTTAAAGAAGTTGTCCCAGTTTCTGATTTGATCCCAGAATGTCCCCCTTTTCCTTAGGATGTCCCACTGGAGAAATGTTGGAAGGCATAGAGTTATCCATCCCCAAGTTGTCTGAAGGCAATTCTGTATAGGGAAGGGTTTTTTAAATGTTTAATGTTATATTATGTTTTTATATATGTTGGAAGTTTCCCAGAGTGGCTGGGGCAACCCAGTGAGATGGGTGGGGTATAAATAGTAAAATTAACATTAGGGAATGGGACATCCCTATTTTCATCGGAGAAATGTTGGAGGGTTTGTTATTTATGTATTGAATTTATATCCTGCCCTTCTGAAGGAGCCGAGGATGGCAAACAAATTCACGAAAAAAATAAAAAAGCAAAATCTTTCTAGAATGTTTAAAACATTAAATTTTAAAAATTACAATTAAAAACATCTAAACTCAGTTGCAAGCATTCTAGAACAGTTTTTTTTAAAAAAATGATTCTATCCAATGATCTTAGGGTAGCCAGGAACAATATTCAAATACTGTTTTCAAGTACATCTTGAATATTAATAATGATGGAGACAGGTAAGCCTTGCTAGGGAGAGCATTCCACACCCAAGGAGTCACCACTGAGAAGGCCCTTTCATGGGTCACCACCAACAAGGCCTCAGCGGCCAATTGCAGAGTTTGAGGTGATTTGTGTTAGGGAAGGTGCTGTTCTAGGCATTCCTGCATCTCAGCCGCAAACATCTTCTGACCTGAGGTGGTTATGAATGTTTCTCTCTGCACAACTGCTCCCTTTCAGATCTTGACTCTTTGGTCCAGGAATTAAAGTATGTTAACTGTGTTAGGTTCAAAAGGAGGATTCAAAGGACACACAAGCAGAGTCTTCTCTCCCATTTAAGGAGAACAGGGAAATAACTTCTGCTTTGTGTAATAGAGACTTCTGGGGCTGCAGGTTGTGGTTGCATAAGTGGAACAGGAATTTCTGGGCTCCAGCTAAGTGCCCTATAACAAATTACACATAAGGTGTTTCTTTATGTTTAAACAAAAATGGATTAAAATTATTTCTTTTTTTAAAAAAAGAATTGGTTGGACCTGTGAGACTCAGAGCCATAAAGCCCACTAGGTGACTTTGGTCCCGTCCCTGTTTCTTAGCCTAACCTACTTCATGAATTGGGAAGGCCTAGAGAACCATGAACACTGAGCTTGAAGGAAAAGTGGAAAATAAATAAAACAAACAAAAGTTCCTTATTTACTGTACTGAAACAATATTGTTAATCTTCTTGATCTCTGTGTTGTTTACCTCGCTGGCTTCCCTCCTCCCCTCTTTCCCTTCCAATAGCAAAAATCTTCTGGCAAAACATTGTTCAGCCTAAGCTGCAGCCACCTGAACCTCACAGAGAAGGAATACTTTGGGCTGGAGTTCTGGAGTTCTGCAGGGCATACTGTAAGTGAAGGCATTTTGAATCAACTTATAGGGGTGTCACTGAAGGCAGATTGTATATGAGGTGCTCAGTGGTACCACTTCAGGTGCTGGGTTATGTATTGCTCTGACTGAATACCCCTCCACTGAAATGAAATGAAATGTTGGGAAACTAGCATGTACAGTCACGCAAGGGTTACTGAAAATTCTGTGCTCTCAACTGCCGAATTCTGCAACCTCCATAAACAGTGCAAGAAAAGGAAATGCATGTCTCCTTATTTTGAGTAATTGATTCTTGTTATGGGGAAGTGAATGCCTCCCTCCCCCATGCCTCCACATTGAGAGCCACCCCCACCCTCCACCAAAGGATTCCAAAGCCATTCCACAGGGCTGTGAACCAAATGGCACATTATTAAATTTCATAAGAGGATTGACAGATTTTCAGAACATGCTGTTTTTGAAGCCGTCAGTTCCGGAAATTTAAAAATGAAAACCTAAAGCAGTGATTCCCGTGCTTTTCGAGGCCAATGCCCACTTTGTTCCATAAGCTCATCCCCAGCGCCCCCTGCTCTATGCAAAACCTTATTTAGAATAGTGGTTTGCACAACCCACTAAGAAAACGAATAAGACCATGAAATTCAAAACAGTAACAATTAATTGCACATTCACTCAAAATCCAATCAAAAGCATTTTGTTTAATCAATTCAACAAAATTGATGAATTTGATCCACTGACGCCAGCCTTTCAAAGGCTGATTGATTTCCCTTTACACCTCCAGCCAGCTCCTCAGCTGCCTCTTGCCTCTTAGCACCTCCTAAGTACCGTAATCCTACAGCTTCCAAGGGTCGCCACTGCAAACCACAGCTATAATTATATATGGGGCCAACATGCTGAGTGGGGAATACATTATCCAACCCCTGAGGCATCTGAAGGCTGCCCTGTATAGGGAAGTTTTTAAATGTTTCATGTTTTATTATGTCTTTATATATGTTGGAAGCGGCCCAGTCAGAGTGGCTGGGGCAACCGAGTTAGATGGGCAGGGTATTAGTAATAATAATAATAATAATAATAATAATAATAATAATAATAGGTGTCCCTGTTTTCATCAGAGTAATGTTGGAGGGTGTGATGTTGTTGTTTTAACATACATAAACAAAAGCTTTCTGCTAGCCTTCCTAAATGTGCTTCTTTTGGAATCAGCGCCGGAGGTACAATCGACTTTGCGGATGGGGGAGTCTCTGCCTGGCCTCTTTGCTTTCTAAGCAGAGCTATTTAAAGTGTACTCCATTTGAAATGGCTCCCCAGCCACACAAAGAAAGATGCACACAAGCAGCCAAGGCTGTGTTGTTTTTGCTCCCTTTTCTTTCCCACTGGTGAAAATTCTGTCTCAGCCAAACAGACCCCAGTCTCCAGAAGGGAAATCCAGGTTTGGAGGCGGAGAGGGAGAAGCAGGGAATCTAAGTGGCTCAGAGCATCAGTGGTCCAGCTCTGCATCATAAAGACAACAATGGAGGCCATTGACTTCTCTTTGCTTCATTAACTTGCTGGAGTGCAGTGCGGGTAAAAACAGGGCTCTGCATTTATAAGGAGCAAAAGCAGTGAGTCTCTGCCTGTCTGCTGAAAGGCTGTTTTTCCTCCTCAGAAGCCATTCAAGGAGCATCACTCAAGGATATCCATCAGGAAGCTGATTAACTGGGCTGCATTGTTCTTCAGCTGCCAGGGGCTGATGAGTCTATGCATGCAGCAGAATGAGATGGTAGAGTCCTGATGTGGTTGGGCAGACTGTACCACTTCACAATCAAGTGTAAAGATGGCTTAACAAAAAATTTTAAAGCTCTGTTAAAATATAGCTGAAACTAGACAACCAGCATAGCCAGAGGCCCCCCACCTTCCTGAAGCATTTCTGTTCCATTTGCAGGGAGGGCACTGTTGTTACAGCTGTGTAAACACCATACATTTAAAAGCACACCCACCCAAGAACCCTGGGAACTCTAGTTTGTTACAGGTGCTGGGAATTGTAGCTCTGTTAGGAGTGAACTGCAGTATATGTAGTGAACTTACAATATATGTAGATGTGTACACAATATACAGTTAAAGCACATTTAAATCACACATCCCACCAAGAATCCAGGGAACTGTAATTCACTCCTCACGAACCAAGAATTCCCAGCACCCTTAACAAACTACGGCTCCCAGGATTCTCTGGCGGAAGCCATGTGCTTTAAATGTATTGTATGTACACAGCCCTGGATGGTCAGGATCAGCCCAATATCTTTTATGCTGCACTTTTGTCTTCCTACAGGCCTGGCTGGAACTTCTGAAGCCTATAACAAAGCAGATTAAAAGTAAGTATTTTTGTTATCTATGCATATATTTTAAAAATACTTTTCTAAAGCAACACTCAAGGGATGGCAGGGAGATGGAGCACTGATCCAGGGCTCTTCTGGCTCACCTTCTCCTCTCCCCATCAATGACACCTAGGCCACATCCACAACATACATTTTAAAGCACTATGATACCACTTTAAACAGCCATGTCTTCCTCCACAGAATCTGGGGAGCTGTACTTTGTTGAGGGTGCATTAGGAGGCTCCTATTCCCCTCCCAAAGCTGCAATTCCCAGAGTTCCCTGTGAAGAGGGATTGATTGTTAAACCACTCTGCAGAATTGCAGCTGTGGGAGGGGAGCATGAAACATTACCAAAATATATAATATGGAGAAACCCCCTAACTCTCATGCTGTTGGGTGGTTGGCAAAGCTGGCTCAAGACCCTTGGGCACCTGAGGTGAACCACAAAATGGTGTCCCCAGCCCCTTTTGCCAAGGAAGAAGGGGTGAGGGAAGATCTACATCAGGAACAGGGTGCAGGGGAGAGACAAAGATTGGCATTGGGATTGGCTGCCCAGTAAACCCTGCCGCCTGAGGCATTTGCCTTATCTTGCCTCATGTGTGGGCTGGCCCTGTATAAAGATTCACATCAGGATCGGCTGCCCCTGAGGCATTTGCCTCACCCTGGCGGCTGGGCAGCTACACTAGACTTATTTAAAACAGTGATGGATATGCAGCAGGCATCTTCCATGTGTCTCTGGTTGCGCCCAGATCTGATAGTCACTTTGTTTCCTGGGCATGAAATGCTTCCATAGGCCAAGACTGGGGAACCTGTGGCCTTCTAGATGTTGCTGGACCCCAACTCCCAGCTGCCTCTGCAGACAACATGGGGGTGGTTTCATTTATTTACCTGTTGCATTTATATCCCACCTTTTCCTCCAAGGATCTCACAACAACCCTGTGAGGTAGGTTAGGCTGAGAGAGAGTTGCTGGTCCAAGGTCACCTAGTGAGCTTCATGGCTGGGTGGGGGGTCTCAGTGCGGGTCTCCCAGGTCACAGTCCAAAATGCCACCCATTATGTCCCACTGGATGGAGGCCAGAGGTTCCTCATTTCTGTCTCAGATCAGGTGTCTCCCATGCCTGAATGTAGCATTTTAGGACCATGGGGGAATCAGTGCCGCACATGGGGATGATGGACAGTTAGTCTCCATCTTGTCTAGAGCGTTCAGAAAAGCTAATTCTGCAGGCTGTGTGCAAATGAAGAGATTTGTAAATGTTCCCGACAGACCTTTGAAACCAAACTTATGAAGATGTTGTGTTTTAAGATCCTAAGGAGGTTCTTTTCAAATTTATGGTGAAATTTTTCCCAGTGGATCCGGGCCATCTGAGAGAAGAGCTGACAAGGTATGTTTTATTTTTACACAGCCTCTTGGTTTTGTTTTTGCATTTGTTTCATTTAGAAATAATTTCATTTAGGGTTTTTATGAATGGGGGTTTCATTAAATGCTTAAATTAATTCGAAACGTTCCTTTCCCTGATCTCCTATGTAACTGGCAAAAGCAGCGTTTGAGGTATGAAAGCTAGGAGCTAAATGACACCTTAAACCAGGGTTAGGGCACAACAACAGAATGTCTAGGCGTACGTTTTTGATAACAAGAATAAAAGGTGAAAATGAATGAACTGCAGCTAAAATATTATGTTCACTTTTCACATCTGAAGACAGCAAAAAAAACAAAGCTATGCTTCCCCTGCCCACCCCCCTAATATTCTTAAGAGGGCCTTTTCTCCAGTCTTCAGAGAGTGGCTGGAAGTGGGGAGGCAGAAAAAGGTCCTCCTTTCCTTCCACTCTGCAATTTTAATCTGAAATCTCTTTGGTGCATTACTGCGTCCAGAGCTCAGAAACTGCTTGCGCGAATGAAATGCCTTGTCGCAAAACACACCTAGAACAATGGGAGTTTTGAACGCTGCGCAAAAGCACTAAATCAGCCTTTACCAACCTGGCCCCCTTCATATGTTTTTGACCGCAACTCAGACCAGCCCCAGCCTGTGTACAGCAAGGCAGGATGGAGCTGATGGGACTTGTAATCCAAAACATCTGGAGAGCATTGTCTAAATAATACATAACTGCATTGTTCATTTTATATCTATATATACCCATCTAGGTATTGTTGCATTTGAGACAACGAAGCTATGGTGATGATAATATTTATTTATTATTAAAATGATTTATTATATTTACATCCCACATTTCCTCCAAGTTGCTCAAGGCTTCATAACTGGGTGGGGATCTGAACCCTGGTCTCCAGGGTCTTAGTCCAACACTCTAACCACTAAACCATATTGGCTGCTATCAGTATAACTACTGTTTTCAGGACACTTAGAACTGCTTGCATATAAGCGTGGTTTCTCGTGGATGGTGCCCATTGTATTGCAATGGCTATCACAATTTTATTGAAAATGGCTTTTACATGCATTTTTGCTCCCCATGAGCACAAGTGTCCTTAAAGTATAGAAACTTGGTAAAAGGTGCAGTAAAAATCAACAGAGGACTTTGAATGCACCCAAACCCCTACACAGGAAGGGGCCCATATCTGTGCTTCACAATTGCACAACAAGTAGTCAGAAACTGGGACTACGCATTGGGTTCAGCATCCTGCAGGATCCTTAGCTTTCATTTAAAGAGAAATCCAAGGTTCTAGCCCATAAGATATTGAAGATAGGTTTGAAAGAGTGCACAGCAACCAATGAGACTGCAGAAGCTGGATGGGAGGGGTAAAGCAGGATGTGCAGCCATTTAGAGACAAGGCTTAAGTGGTATGGATAACTAACTCCCTTGCCCATTCTGTCTTCCCAGCAAGAACAGATAAACAATTGACAATAAACAAATTGATGCAGATACACTTGTACTGAATACTTTGAGAATCCTCCTTTTAATCTTGCACATGAATCTAAGAAAAATTAACCAAATTAGATCTTCTATTCCTGAAGGCCTGTAAACTGGTCACCATGGTTCTACTGATGACGTGTTGTTCAGGTTGATATTGTCGCCTGCCACCCCAATCTCAGAGCCGTGCAAGATTCCAGGAGTTCCAGACACTTACCCAGGGTTCAGTTTCCTTTGGAATGAGAGACTGTGGTGTCTTTATGATCTATGGTTTATTTACACATATATGCAACCTGAGCCTACCATAGAGGGGCTCAAAGCATTAACACTCCAAGAGGGTCTTGCTTCTCCTATAGCCACACCCTTGGATTAAAGCGGACATCAAGCATGGCTCTGACTCTCTGCCTTCCCAGCCTGCTGCCTTGTCTCCAGCTTTTAGCTCACATAACACAACTCTACACCCTGGCTTTTGTCTTTCCAGCTCCCAGCGAGCTGAGGGAGGGGCCCCCACCCATTTGTCGTCTGGCACAGAGCTACAGTGGTACCTCTGGATGCGAACGGGATCCGTTCCAGAGCCCCATTCGCATCCTGAGCAGAACACAATCTGCGTCTGCGCGTGCATAGGTCACGATTCGCCACTTCTGCGCATGCGTGTGACATCATTTTGAGCATCTACACATGCGTGAGCAGCGAAACCCGGAAGTAACCCATTCCATTACTTCTGGGTTGCTGGAGAACGCAACCTGAAAATGCTCAACCTGAAGCGTCTTTAACCCAAGGTATGACTGTACTTCCTTTGTTACCTAGATGGACCCATAGTCTGCCTCGGTGCGTGGTAGAATCTAATGAATACAGAATGATGCCTGATAAATTGCAGAATTGTTTTAGTCAAGATAAACAAGGGTTGATGCATGTATGTATTTGTGTGTTTTGGCACATGACCACTAGAAAAGGGTCTTACCCTCACATTTCCTGTGGGGCAGGGAAATTTTGAGGATTGTCTTCCTATCAGTAACATCTCTGAAACGGTTTTTAGATACCTGTTCACTCTCCAAATCAAGAAGGATCTGGCCTGTGGAAGACTGCCTTGCAGCGATAACAGCTCGGCCCTGATGGTATCGCACCTTTTGCAGTGTACGTACAGCATTGGCCTGGACATCAGTTAGAAGTCTATACGAGGTTGGCAAAATGCAAAAGTTTCCACAGGGGTCTTGAACCTGCAAATGTTGAGTAAGATGTGAGCCATTCAGCTTTTCTCAGCCTTGCATGGCAAGCTGAACATGTTGAAATTCCGTTTCGCAGCTCCTGAAACAATATGTGGATGGAAGTGCTGCTGACCTTTGCAATTTGCGCTTCACTGAATTTTGTGAGACTGTTCTCCAACCAAATAATGTGCCCCAAAGTATGTATAGCAGGAGAAAGTGTGCATAAGGATGCATGCATTAATGAAAATAACAAACAGATATGCTTGCAAAAATGTATATATCAGAGTAAATGTGTATACCAGGAGGCGTTTGGATTAAGAGGCAGATTAATTTTCATTAGGACTTAAAAAAAAAAAAAAAAAGCTTTGCAAGCTAATGCGAAAATGTAGAGAACTGAACTAAAATGAGAAACTGAAATTGACATCCCGAACCACAATTTTGCATTTTGTTCCAGGCCCAGCCACTGTCTTTCTTGGGTCTGGTTGGTTGTTTAGGGTTAAAAAAAAAAAGTTCCAACAAGCCTGTAGACTCTGTGACTGAAGGTCTTCCAAAGATGCAGTGCTTGCTTTCTTCCATGTAGTCTGCATATCATCTAAATTCATTGCATATATTTTTGCAACTAAAAAGTGCTTCTTGAGAAGCCAGTTTCATTTTGAAAAGAAAAGCTCATTGTAGATTGATTCTGCATTATGCCATTTTGAAAGCAGATGTTGGCAATCCCTGCAATGCGAGACATATTTACACCTGCCCAACGGCATTGTGGGTGGGCATAGTCCAAGACTGCAATTGTCACTTCCTTCTTCATTCACCTGGGGCATGTGGAAAGAGGAAAAGGCATGGGTGTTCAAGTGCACATCAAGCAACCACAACCACCCAGATGGAAAGCCGCATGATGAGGACGAGCATGAACGATTCCAGATTGAGACAAGCTATATTTTTGTGCTATAAACTAGTTAGTGTGTATGCAGCCTAAGTTTATATGGTTTCACATTGCAGCGGCCCTGGGAGATTATCATGAAGAAATGGATCAAAAGCACCTGGAAACGCACAAATATTTACTAAACCAAGAGTGTTTGGTGAACAAGATCATGCATTACCACAAGAAACATATGTAAGTCCTTGTTTTTAAACTACTTGTCACTTTCACCTTTGGCAGAACAGAACCTGGAAGCAGCACTACGGCTGCTGTTTTCTGCACTTAAATTCTGTGTAAGAAAATGTGGATACTACAAATTGTATAAGTTAGGCAAATGAATTCTGCAGCTGCCCTCCCCCTTCAAGCACTACAAACCTTATTCAACTATTTTCTTGGTTTCTGAAATCTCAGCAAACACTATTTGTGTGCCCCTGTGAGTTTCTAGCTCTACACACGAGAAACAAAACAAAACAGAGATTCTCAGGGAGTTGTATGGTGTTTATATCCTGTTCTGTGCCTTCTGCAGAATATTTGCCAATCAAGTGTTTTTTTCTATCAAAGCAGCAGTCTGAGATGTTCTTTAATGATGTTTTGTTTTTACATTTCATAATGTTGAGATGATGGTTGTTCTTCCTCACATTTAGGTCTGACATTTCCACCGTGATGTTCATGGTGGTGTTCATTTATCCACACCACCAGCCTGGGTTAATCTAAGAGAGGGTTACTGACCCAATGTCTCCAACTAAGCTTCACAGGCCAAGTGGTGATTTGAACCCAGGCCTGCTGTCCAAATCTGACAACCACCCCAGACCCTGCGATCATCATCTGAGGCCCTTTTTGGTGTGCTTCCTCCACGAGAGGTCTGGAGGGTGGCACACAAGAAGGGGCCTTTTCTGCAGTGGCTCCCTGTTCGTGGCATGCTCTCCCCCAGGGAGGCTCGCCTGACGCCTTCATTATGTATCTTTAAGCACAAGGCAAAAACCTTCCTCTTCTCCTAGGCCTTTGGCTAATTAAACTATCTGTAGCCTTTTGAACTGTGATAATAATAATAATAATAATAATAATAATAATAATAATAATTTATTATTTGTACCCCGCCCATCTGGCTGGGTTTCCCCAGCCACTCTGGGCGGCTTCCATAGAAACCAAAAATACACCAAAAATGTGGTGGGGAGTATTGTTATTGTTTGTTATTATGATTAATATTTGTGTTTTCTTATTTTGTAAACCGCCCTGTGATCCTCAGATGAATGGCAGTATAGAAATTTAATCATCATCAATGACTACAACAACTCCTAACAAGGATACTCATGGTTAGGAAAAGCACCCCACACATCTGGACTATGGGGGATTTGAATGTGGAGATGGGGGAGAATCCCCTGGATGAGCCCTTACTTGATGGTGGTGCTGAAATACTAATCTTTTCTTTCTAGAGGCAAAACTCCTGCTGAATCAGATGTGCAGCTCTTGGACATAGTGAGGAAGCTAGAGATGTATGGCATCAGGCCCCATCCAGCCAGTGACGGTGAAGGGACCCAGATCAATTTGGCTGTCACTCACATGGGAGTCCTGGTTTTGCGGGTAAGGAGAAAAGCTTCTCCTGTCAATGTTTCAGGAGGTAAATGCAAAGTTGCTACTGTTAACAGCATCCACAGCAAAGTGCCTTAGTGCTGCTGAAGCACTGCTTTTCTGCAATACGTCAAAACAAATTCAAAACAGAGATTCCATGCATCACTTCATATGATGCTTAAAAAAATATATGCAGTGCCCTTCTGTACGGCCCAAATCCTTCTATAATGAGTATTCAGTTGCCTGTTCCATTCAGCCAAGGTTGCTTGTATCGTTAATCAAACGCTTCCTGCTTGCAGGTTCAGCTCATGGTATTAGCTTCCTGTTGAACATGGAAGGAGAAATTAGTGATGAATCTTGGGTGGTGCTTCAGCTTCTTGCTGCTCTGGGCTCACCCTGCTGCCATTGCTGTTTAAAAGAAGAGCCAGCCTCTTTCTTCAGCACCCTTTGATGTGGGCGTCTCCAATTCTGTCTCCCCCTGGAAACCAAAATGCTCCAATGTCAAAACTTGGCATTACATGGTAGCTAGACATCTCTTGACCATATAATCTTCTGCCAAAAATAGTCACCTAATTTTGGGGCAATTACATGGTACTAAGACTCCACAGCATATTTGCAGAGCAAACACATAGTTTGGTTGGTGTTTGCTGTGTAATGTGGGCGCTGAAAGGCCCAGGCAGACACACTTCCAACTGGGGAAGAAGCCACAAAATGAAATCACGATCCACCCAGTGTTATATATCAGCGGAGATCAGAGTTTTCTCAAGCTCAGGAGACCTAAACCTTCCCAGGTCAAGAAGAAATAGCAGAGAACATAAGATTGCATGCACACTGGTCTCTGAGCAGTGAGAGACTCCAGGGGTGCCTGTGCTTACCTAGGGTTCAGTTTCCTTTGAATGAAGGTCAGAGGAGACTGTGGTGTCTTTAGGATATGCATTTTTATTTACACTTATATACAACCTGAGCATAGGATGGAATACAGATATTTACCCTTTAGGTTTCCAGGGAAGCCCTAAGTTCACAGCCTTGGGCCCAGCACAGAGTAGACATGCCTCCTGTCTCCAGCTTCTAGCATCAGCCCCCAAATTCACACATAAGCAGAAACCCTTGGCCAGGTGTTCCTCCTTTAGGATGAGGTGGCATGTAGCCAGGTGAGGTGGGGAAGGCCCACCCATTTGTTTCTATCACAACAGTGCAATGCCTTTGGAGAGGGTAAATAGCAGTACTTAACTGGCCTGCCAATGCCAGTAGCTTAACAAAGGAAATGATTTTGCTGGCTCAAAAGTTTCTTCTACTTAGACAGGCAAGTTTGTCAGAATTACATACAAAAATGCGTTTCTTAGGAGAAATTTGCAATATAGTGCTGATGAATTTTCACTTGCAAAATAAATGTTCAAAATCACTTCATATGTGCAGTGAAATGAATTTAATTTTAGAAAAATGAACAATGGAAAAGAACCAAAATGGACTGATCCATCCAACCCCATTTTGGAAGAACAGCCCCAAACAGGCTGTTATTTGGGACTATTGCTACAATATTGCGAAGGATCCCCCTTTTTTCTCTTTTTGCATGCTGTTAACCCCAAATGTTCTTATTTTTCACTGTCAAACACTGGAGAATTCTCCCACCACACGAACTGCAGGCTGCAAACAACGACCGTGTTGCAACATCCAGGCATTTTAGTCCAAAATGTTGTGTAACTCACACAGTGTGTCTATTTTTCTCTGCAGGGCAATACGAAGATTAACACCTTCAACTGGTCCAAAATTCGCAAGTTGAGCTTCAAGCGGAAGCATTTCCTGATCAAACTCCATGCCAACATTTCGGTAAGGCCTAGGCAACTCTCTTCCCTCACATAGTTTTGTAGAAACACAAGTTGGCTTAAAGTATAAATGTATTTACCTCTGGTCCTTTCTGTGGTCTGTGTAATGTGGAGGCTGGCACTGCACTGGAATATGTTTCTTCACGTGGGACCATACTTCTCTTGAGAAGTCATTAGTGGCACTGCATTAATTCCACACAACACTGAATAGCCAGTGACATCAAACATACTGGAAGTTCAGCATGACCAAGAGACAGAATTTCCAAAATACCTTTCAAGCATTTTCTATAACCTCACTTAGCCAACTGGCCTGATTTATACCACAACATTTCTAAGGGTTTTCATAAACCTACTGGAAAGAGAATCAAAGAAACAATGGAGTAGACAAAAAGCGGGTTTATTGATCCGGTGCATTTCCTACCCTACTAGTCCTCCTTCTGCAGTGTAATTCAGAGAACAGTGATTCAGAATTCAGATGTTCTATCTCTCTTGTCTCTTAAGAAACAGAAAAGATAGCTATTTTGCTCCACTTTTTACTGAATTTCCCTGAAGAAGGAGGACCAGTAGGGTCTGAAATGCATCAGATCAAGAAACCTGTTTTTTTTGGGGGGGGGGGCTTTTGTTGCTTCATATACCTAGCCTCTCATACACCTAGCCACACCTCCTGTATTTGTGCACAAGATAAACAGGAGAGAGGAGGTTGGCCCACCCACTGCCAGACATTGGTCTGCTTCCCCCTCCCACTGCAATGGCATCCTCAAACTGCAGTGATTTACTTCTCCTCCATAGGGAAATGAATGGCAGCCATTCAATAAAATCAAAGGGGGCACCGGGGTTGCAGGCAGGCCATGAGGATGGAGCTAAATCTGTTCCCTGCTTCTCACAACCATTAAAAATCAAAGGTGCTCCTATCTGCACACCTCTTCATTGCTGATCATGCTACAGCATGACAGGGTGTTGAGTGTTCTGGGGAAATGGGATTTTCCACAGATGCAGCTTCATAGATAAAATAGGCTTCCGCTCTTAACCAGGAGACTTTTGTATCTAAAACATCTGGAAGATTCCACCTAAACATTAGGAAGAACTTCCTGACAGTAAGAGCTGTTCGACAGTGGAATTTGCTGCCAAGGAGTGTGGTGGAGTCTCCTTCTTTGGAGGTCTTTAAGCAGAGGCTTGACAACCATATGTCAGGAGTGCTCTGATGGTGTTTCCTGCTTGGCAGGGGGTTGGACTCGATGGCCCTTGTGGTCTCTTCCAACTCTATGATTCTATGATCTTATAGATACATTCCCAGATGCCTCAGTAACCTGCATCCAGTGTGGCATTTTGGGATCCCTCAGAATCTCACAAATGTGGGCTCAGATTCTGCTTCTGAGAGCCAGTGTGGTGTAGTGGTTAAGAGTGGTAGACTTGCAATCTGGTGAACCGGGTTCGCGTCTCCGCTCCTCCACCTGCAGCTGCTGGGTGACCTTGGGCTAGTCACACTTCTCTGAAGTCTCTCAGCCCCACTCACCTCACAGAGTGTTTGTTGTGGGGGAGGAAGGAAAGGAGATTGTTAGCCGCTTTGAGACTCCTTAGGGTAGTGATAAAGCGGGATATCAGATCCAAACTCTTCTTCTTGTTCTTGGCTAAATTTATAGTGCTGATTCTGGTAGGTTGTGGTCATTGTATATGGAATGGCCTGGCTTCCATCTTACCCGGCATAAAGGCAGCACTTTTGGAAGGTCGGGGTGGGGGGGATTCGGAATGAGGTGCAATTGCTCACATCTTGGTAAAAGTGTTGTGGCTGCCAGAGCAAAGAGGCTACTATGGCCAGCACAAAAATTGGTGACGGTGCTCTGTACTGGTGGGTGCCATCACACAGGAAAACCACTGCATAAATGTGTTCGGAGAACTAATAATCAGTGATTCTAGATTTAGGTAGGTAGCCGTGTTGGTTTGATGCAGTTGAAATAAATAAAAAAATTAAAAAATTGTCCAGCAGCACCTTAGAGACCAACTAAGTTTGTTCAGGGTATAAACTTTCATGTGCATACACACCTCTCTAAAGTGCTACTGGACAATTTTTTAATTTTTATTTATTTATTTATTTAATAAACAGTGGTTAGATTATTGGTCTAGTCAGTGCTTTTTTTTATATAAAAAAACGTTTAGGGGTACTCTCATTTTCCTATTCATATTGAAATACTGCCCCTCCTAAGCGGGGACCCTTTCAAAAATCACAGGCGGATGAAGCCTGTGACCATGGGACTCGGCGGGCACCCTTAGCGCCCCCCCAACCCACAAAGGAACCCACTAACGGGCTCCGAAGTGAAGAGGGGGAAGTGGCGCGGTGCTGTGAGTCAACTGCTATTTCCGTGAAGCGAAGCCGCACAGCCGTTGCCAGAGAGCGCTGCCTTTTTCCTGGGACAATTTGGCTTCTAAAATAATCACCCGTGAGTACTTAAATTTCGGACAATTGGACTTTAAATAAGGACTTGCGAGCAGAAAGGAATTGGACTTAAAAATTTACTTCAATTTGGCACTGAAACGGGAAGGTCTAAACACGAAGTCAGCCTTCCGTTTCTTTGTAGACAGAATAAAGCGAAGACAACGTAAACTAGAGCTCAGAAAATTGCTTCTAAAAGATTAACTTTCATCATTTAAAATTGTTGAACCCCCCTTCGGAAGCAGGAGAGGAAGGGGGATCTTTTTCGGACTGTTTAAACCTGCAGAAGTGAGTTTAAAGTAAAGTAACTTTCCACCGTCCTGATCCTGGAGCGGGGTGTCAGGACTGACGTTTGAAGCTCATTGACCAGAGACAAACACTTTTGACAGATAGCTAAAAGAAGAGAAACATAGTGATTCCACTGTTCCCTTTCGGATTTTAAAGGAACAAATATTGACAAAATATCTTAAAAAGGAAACTTTGTTGCTAGATTCGTCCTTAAAAGAAAGAACAAATAGAAGTTTTCCCCCTAGAGGGAGACTGTGAAACTGTAACTAATTCCAGGGAGTTTGCAGCTGTTACAGATTACAATTGTGGGAATAGACTTGTGACCTTGTAGGACAATGTATTCAGAAGCTCTGTTGTGTGCTCTCTGTAAAACAAATGCCCTACTGGAACAGTTAAATGAGAATACGGATTTGATGACTAATGCGGTCAGAATTTTTGAACAGGCAGTGGGAAACTATATGGAGCCCACCCAGGAATTAAATCAGGAGTGTGCCCTGACAGAACAGATGAGAGAAGAGGATGTTGCTGAATCTTGGGCGCCAGAGATGGAGGGAGCTGTGGCCCTGCAGGAACATGAGCTTTTGGATTTGACAAATGAACTTGGAAAAAGCCAGATTTGGAAAGATAAGGTTTGGACTGGTTTGGAAATGGGGGGTTGGATAGACCCCCCTATGCAGGGATGTTTGGACTTTCCAAGTCTGGCAATGGGCCGTGAGATGTTTGGGGCTGTGGGGGCACTTAATCTTGGAGGGATTCTGAAACATGTTTTTAAATACCACATGGAGTTTAGTCTGGACTTTGGAAAAGGGACTGATTTGTTGAAAAGGGTCAAAAACATTACCAAGCTGGAGTTCCCACGAGTGAAAGGAGAATATGAAGAAGAGCTGTGGAAGGGACATGGAAGAGACTTAAGGGCCTCGGATATAAGGTTACCAGGTTAATGCGCTAGATCAATGGGATAAAAAGGACTGTCAAAACCCGGGACCAGGAGGAAGGGACGCTGGATGAAGATTGGATTGTTTTTATTTATTTCTTTTTATTACTAGGATTGTTTTATAAAATTGATGAATGTTAGAAAAATGTTGGAACGAAATTACTTGGCTCTAGCAAAAATGTCTAAAGAATTAGGTAAGAATATTATGGTTATGAGAAGTTGGTAAAAATAAGATTTAAGTTTTAAGTTTTAAGGTTTTCTATAAGATAAGATGAAAATAGATTAAGGTAATGTACTGACAGAATATTATGAAATATGGAAAGGATTTGCTGCGATAATTAATAACTAGGATACAAAAAAAGGGAGGAGGAGGTCAAAGAAAGAAGGTAATGAGAGTTGAGGATTCGAGAATGACGGATTTGTTTTTATCTGTTTGTGGTGTATTTTTGTTTTTTGAATCTACATTGTTTGATGTGGTTTGTTTTCTCTTTGTTTTCTCTTTTTTCTTTTTCTGCTGTGTTCTTTTCTGTAATTCTAAAAAATTTTCAATAAATATCATTTTAAAAAAAATATGAAATACTGCCCCTCAATGAGGCCAAACTTAGATTCATAAAATGTTTAGGGTATGTGTCCCCCTGGAAAAAAAAGCACTGGGTCTAGGACTTGGGAGACCCAGGTTCAAATCCCTGATCACTCACTCACTCACTGGGCGACTTTGGGCCAATTTTTGTATCTCCACCTAACCTTCCTCACAGAATTATTGTGAGGATTGCAAAGAGGATGTAGAAGCAGAGAAATGTGTGCTGCCATGAAGCGCTTGGAGGAATGAGGGGGTATGATACAATAGCAATTTAGGAACAGAGATGAGGAATCTCCTGATGTTGCTAATTATTAACTGCATTGACGGGAGATGGAGACCCAACAACCTCTGAAGGTGTGAGCTGGTCTTTGACCGTAATAAATTATCTATCTATCTAACCTCCGGAGGGTGTTCTTCCCTTCCCCATTTCATCATCTCAACAGGTAGGCTAGGCTGAGAGAAGTTAGGCTAGAAGTTGGAGAGAAGTGAGCTTCATAACTAAGTGGAGATTTGAACGCTGGTCTCCCAAGTCTTTGTGTGGCATACTAACCACTACACTACATGACACTGTGACACATTCTCTCTCTCTCTCTTTCTCTCTCTCTCTCTCTCTCTCTCTCTCTCTCTCTCTCCCCCATCCCTACTCTCTGCTTCAGGCCTTGTGCAAGGATACACTGGAGTTCACCATGGCAAGCCGAGACACTTGCAAAGCCTTCTGGAAGACCTGTGTGGAATACCATGCTTTTTTCCGACTCTCTGAAGAGCCAAAGTCAAAACCCAAAGCCTTTTTGTGCAGCAAGGGCTCCAGTTTCCGATACTGGTAAGATAGGAAGGACATTCTGACCTACAATCATATTCAGGAACTAAGTCAACTGAAACAAATGCACATTTCTCTCCCCCCCCCCCACAGTTTATCCCACTACCTTGGGGGGGTGTGGAGCCCCCACACACATTGGGGGTTTGGTACAAGTAATGTAAATCACCATTATTCATGTTGCCCAACAGAGGAATCCAGCGCAACAGTTGTGCTAGTAGAAAACTCATTGTGTGCTGCAGATCACACCATCTATTGGGCAGTAAAGTTTCCAGCAACCTGTTTATGCATGTGCATGAGCTTGTGCAATGGCGTTCCGCTGGCTCAAAACATTTTGCCAGAGGAGCAAGTAATACCCCTCATATATCCTGTGCTTCTGAATTTGCTGCTACACCACTGACGTAGTGTAAAAGTGAGCAACAGTAGTCTCGGGGAGAGGATGCCACAACTGTCTTCATATATTTCCTGTCCTTAAAATGGCAGCGGAAGGACTCAGCGGCAGCTGCTGGAACATGGGACAAAAGGAAAACTGAAGAGCCTGCCCTTTGAGAGGTATGATCTTTCCACAATAAGAACTCCCACCTTCTTGCCAGGGTTCTGTTTGATGCCCTCCCTTCAAGTTAAAAGCCTGGCAGTGAAGTTCTCAAGAGCAGAGTTGCCCCATATATAATTCCAGTAGGAGTTTACTCAGAGTTGACTAACTTTGTGAATTTTTCACAGAAGTGAAAAGTATATCAATCTTCTAAAGGCACAAGTGCTTTCAAAGGGAAAGCAAGCATTTTTAAAAACTCTGGCAGCAGCCACCCTGTGTTGGTACCTGCCTGCTTTTTATTGAAGGACCACTCCATTGGTTAAGTGTCACCACCGATAAGGCCCTCCTCCTCCATACCGCAGCTAAGTGAACATCTGTGCAAAGTTACATGGTCTGCAGAAGCTCTCCAGCTGATTGTACTGATCTGGGAAGCCTGCATGGGAGAAGGTGACCTCTTATATAGCCTAGGCCAAAACTGCTCAGTGACTTACCAGTCAAAGCTGGCTCAAAGTGAGCAAATTCTAACATCATCTAACAAGATGGATTCAATACCACCAACTAAATGAAGTGTTTAAAATAGATAACAAAAAAGGTTTTGCAAAGGAAGTCTCAATATTGGACAGAGAACTAATACAAAGTAAGACAAAAATAATTTCTAGGATGTATGGAATCTTACTAGAATGGGAGGTGAAAGACGAATAAGTTAAGGAAGTAATGGTGAAATGGGCAATAGATATAGGTAAACCTATTCAATTAGCAGAAAATTGTGGAAAGAGAATTGGAGATTCATGGCATGTGAGGCAATCAAAGAAAATTTTCTCAAGATGTTCTACAGATGGTATATGACACCTTACAAACTATCTAAAATGTATAGAACAACATCAAAAATTTGTTGGAGGTGCAAACAAGCAGAGGGTACGCTGCTGCGTATGTGGTGGACTTGTGATAAAATTAAGAGTTTTTTGGATATGGTTTGTGAAGAGCTGAAGAAAATATTCAAACAAACTTTTTAAAAAACACAGAAGCCTTTTTACTGGAATATTAGAGCCAGATAGTGCGAAGGAAAATAAGAGAATTTTTCTTTATGTGACAGCAGCAGCAAGAATTCTAATTGCCAAAAATTGGAAAAATGAAACAATCCCAACAAAAAAAAAATGGCAAGATAAGCTATTTGATCATTTAGAATTGGCTAAACTGACAGAGGCAATTAGAGACCAATGCAAACAAAAAAATCAAAAGGAATGGGGGAAATATAGTGAATATCTGAAAAAGCAGTGCCCTCAAAATAATACTTTGGCTTGTCTGGACTAATTTTCGCAAATAAGATATGGTGTAAAAATATAAGCTATAGACGAAAACTAGAGAAGAGGAATTGAGAAAGAAACAGTTTATGAAGTATACAACTGGACTTGCGTTGAGGTTGAAGGAAGTCAAATAGAAATGAATAAAAATTGAAATAGGGGCGTATGTGTATCATTTGTCCTATATGTGTAGTTATATCTTTTTGTTTGTTTTTCTTGTGAGTGATGTCTGTATTGGTGTTGGTATAATAAGTTAATAAAAGTTTTTTTAAAGGGAGCCAATTCTAAATTTGCCTACATCGAGCCTTTGATTGGGTGTGCTAAACCCTTTAAAAAATTACCTTAATATATTAGCAATGCTTGGGGAAATAAGTTGCAGGATGCTTAAATTTCTCTCTCTCTGTGTGTGTGATTTCACTGAGATTTTTAAAAACTTGGGGAGACATATACAGAATGTCAGAAGGAAGGGAAAATAAATATTAGGACTGCTTGAACACTGCATAATATAAGGAAGGCTCATCCAGCCCAGCAACCTGATCTTCCCAGGTGCCTGTGGGAAACCTGCAAGCAGGACCAAAACGCTCCCCCCTCCTGCAACTTCTTGCCCTCCGGATTCAGAAGCGCTGCTGCCTCTACCTGTGGCATCAGAGCACAGCCATCCTGGCTAGAGGCCCCCAATAGGCTTCTCCTCCAGGATGTCCAGTCCTCTTTTAAAACCATCCAAGTTGCGTGTCAAGAAATGCTTTATTTTGTCTGTCTTGAATCTCCAGCTTCCTGGGATATCCCACAGGTTCTAGTGATATAAGGGAAAAACTTTTCTCTGCCCGCTCCATACCACAAATAATTTTATAAATTTCTAACATCACGTTTCCTCTAAAAATTCCCAAACAGTGCAAATGTTCTTCACAGGAGAGTCACTCTCCTTGAGCATTTTGGTTGGATGCTTTTATTTCCTTGCCATCAGATTTGAATTATATTGGACATTAACCATTGTCCTTTAATTTCAACTGCAGGAAACACCATCCCTCTCGGTACCATGAGAGACAGTGCCGGTCCTCACCAGACCTACTTACAGATGTTTCCAAACAAGTAAGTCATTTGGTCAGTGGGTAGGGGGGTGCAGAAGTATGAGAAAAAGAAAGAAAAAGACTGGATCTCATCTATTTAGATTCAGGGTGTATGCTACTTTGGGGTGCAGGGGGGAACATACTTCCCCCTCCCATATAACAGGCAGCAGGGCTCCTGCTGCTTCAGTTAGGCCTCCACTCTTTAGTTGATTAATCCATTAGATCAATCAATGGAAATATTTCAATGAATCAGATGATCTTTAAAAAAACAAAAATGTGTAATATATAAAAGGCAGATTTTAAGTGGCATATTAAAAGATGTACACAAGAGTTGCAATTGGCCAGAAGAAAACGGGTTAATTTAAAAACAAAAGTTTCCTATGATCCCAAAGTATACTCTCACAACAGAGGCATCCAGCCTGCTAGGCCTCTCCAGGATTCTGATTTTGCCTCCTCCTTCTTCCCTCTAACAGTGAACATAGTTGGGTGTTTGATGGCCAGTTTGGAAGTGAAACAAGGCTACCAGAAAACAAAGTGTTATTTCTACGTGTTTGGGGGACTCCTTAGCTATGCAGATGTGCATTAAAAGAAAACAAAAACTTTTTTCGAGAGGAAACCACCTTGCCTGACAAGCATCTTGTGAACATCCAGTTTGTACAGAGTGTTGTCAGCAGACAGGGAAGAGAAGGAAACCAGGGGGAAAGGGAATTGGCCTCAGGCCAAAAGAACTTAGGGAGACTGCTATATGGGTACACAAAGTGTGGGCTTCGTACACCATTCTGTGACTGCACTGCCAAAGAAAGACCATGTCAGCTGGTCCATTGGGGTGAAGGGAGAACTCCCCACCAACCCTAAGCTGCCTGCATTTTCAAAAACTTAAGTTCAGTCCAAGGTAAGGCACTGACTGACAGCTTCCTCCTCCTTAGTCTCAATGTTGCCCCTGCAAAACTCAGCAGGGTGCAGGAAGAGGGGGATAAGATGCAAATTAGTTGGTTCCCCCTATCATTGGCTCTAGCTCCACCTACCGCTTAGGATCCTTGCATTCTGCCCCACCAGCTCCAGGGCACCACTGCCGTCTCTTACGCTTTGCTTGTGATGAAGAGGAGGGTGTTTGCTAAAACAACACTGTTCCTTAGGTGAAATTATGTTCTTCTCTCTCCAGATGGAGGACTTGCGGCTGGTCTACGGCACCATAGGAGGCTACCACAGTGCCAATGGAGTCCACACTTCCGAGCCCATGCTGGACAGCAGGCGGAGGAACTCTGCAGTGGAAGTGATCTTTGCTGATGAATTGGAGCGGTCCAAGCCAGAAGCTGACCCAACGCTGTTGCCCCATTCCCAAAGCAGCTCCACCTTCCCGTTGGTCTACACAGAGCTGGAACACGATTGGGAGGCAGCCGACATCTATGAACAACGGGTCCCGCTGACATCCTTCCAGCCCAGCTACAAGCTGGCTGGGAACAGTAAAAGCACCTCGGTGGGCAACATGAGGGAGATGACCCCTAGGCAACAGCTGACTTATACCGACATTCCCTACAGGGGCCCCATTCACCAGCAACTGTACATGGCTTCTCCTCAAGTCTTCTTTTGTGTGGACAGGCCTCCCCAGATGTCCAGGCACACAGCAGTGGCAGGCCCTGCTGAGGAAACAGCCAGTGGGGTGAACATGCTTGGTGCATCACCCATGAAGCCTTCCAGGAGAAGCCCAGGCATGGCAAGAACAAGGGTGACTGAACCAGAGGTCCTGCCCAGAATGACCTACCTTAGCAGCATTAGCATGGAGCAAGATGATGACGGAAGTGTCTTTGACTACAGCATTCAAGACCAGACTCCCAAGAGGTCTTGGAGCCAGTCTGACATGAAAATGATCAGATTTCCCTATGGCTCAGAGTTCCGGCCTCTAGGACCTTGTCCTGTCTTGAGCAGCAGGAAGGATGATATTTTGCAGTATGTGCTGGCCCAGCAAAGGTTCCCAGAACCTCCCAGGGCCCAGCGAACCCTGGAGCGCTATGTGGGCAGTGGGACAGAATCCAGCGACTCCGATTCAGACATGCTGCCAGATTACTTTTCTCTCTACGGGAGGGTGGTGAAAGCACCCAGGGCACGGGTCCGCCTGTCTTCAGGGAGCCTACAGCTGGAGGGGGAAGATGAAGAGGTTTGTCTCACTACCGCCAACATTGAGGACAGGACTTCACAGGGAGCATCTAATTATTTTACGTAAAACAACAGGACTGAGTTATGCCAGTAGATCTTTGAAGGAGGTCCTTCCTTGGTCCTTGGGGTTATGACTGGTTTTGCAGGAATGATTAATTAAAACTTTGGGATTTGATAACAAGAGGAATCTACCAAAGCAAAGGGCTCTGCAAAAGAAAGTGAGATGTTATAAGTATATTTAAAAAATGGGGGGAGAGGGGAAGTTTACATGCTTTCCCTTTGACACATCCCATACTATTGGGGGGGGGGCGGCGACAGGATATAGTTCCTAGCATAGAAAACTAGTGTTGTAGCAGATATATGGGAATGGCTCATCTTCCCAAATAGATAGCTCATATATCACCAAACAGCTTGGCAGTGTGACATTTTTCTTTTAGGGGAAAGACTAAAAAGGGGGTGATTAGTTTGTTATAATTATCTAAACGATGACATGATTGGGTGGGTGTGTCATTTTCTAGCACGTATTTAAGTATTCCCTTCTTTCTACATAGGTTCCAGCATGGAGATGTATTTTTTTTAAGCCATCAGGTATATGCCACAAGTATTGCTAATAATTCCAAGTGTATCACAAAAAGAAGGGCAAGTGCCATTTTCAAATGCTGAGATCTAGCAATACTAAAGATTTTAGCTAGGGGGTCCCATGGCTAAGTACTACCAATATCTGATTCAAGTTAAATATTGCTTATTAACAGTTCTCAGGCCTGAATGCTTTGCACTTTTACAGCATGATGACTAGCAGTGGTCTTTCAAGTGCTTTTAATACATGAACTGTACCGGGATCCCTTTCTTACTTTCCATATATAAGCAAGTTATAATGCACTAGACTGGGAGAAAAAGTAACCTGTCTTTATCTGGGAATCTCTGCTAACTCCTGGTTCTGCCCAATAACAATAACTACTCAGAATTTCAGGAATCTGCCGGTGGGGTTAAGTGGTCAGTGCACACCACCCAAAGGAAAAGCTAGCCAGGAAGGTCTTTTTGCCTCCTTGTCCTAATTGTTGCCTGGTTTCAAAAATAATCCACTTGCAAGCCTGAAATTTAACTGTCCCTTTGTTGTGTATGCATGCATACTTTTGGGCTACCCTGTGTACATGGGACGCAGTCTCCTTTCGGGGGTGAATGGAGAGAAACCACCATTAAAAAGCCACCTTTTCTACAAAAGAGGCGTTCATGGGGTGTGTGCTTCCTCTGACACCATAGTTCCAATGAAGAAGCAATGGATACAGAGCTTTCCGCACACATAGCTGGGAGGCTTACAAGCTCCAGGCAGCCACTTCAAGGATTCTCCTTTCATCCTTGGAGGAGACCTGGAAGCTCTTATGGCCCACCTGGCCCACCCTCCCACAGACCATATGTAGGATTGTGCCCCAAAGCACGGAAAAAGCAGAATGCTCATCTTCCCCCTTGAGCACATGACGGCTTTAAAAGTATAGCATCACAGAAATGAGGATGAGGACCAAACAAGATTACAGAACTTAAATATTTATTTCTTTAAACCATTCAACCTTCTGCTGCCCCCTTGCCTGCCCTCCCCCCAGCCCCCAAAAAACACTGAAAGGAGCTTCATCTATAAACAGATTTACAGGCCTAATAGCTACAGAGAAGAGCACTAGAGTTCTGTTTCAGTGATGCAGTTATTTTGTGAAGCTTCAGATCAACTGTATATTTACAACATTTGCTGCTTTTACATTTATAAAAATATTTTTATTTAATCCATAACATTATTGTTTTCAAAAACTATGCCCAGACTTTCCCCCCCTCAGATATAAATTTTAATTGTGTTTCAGTTATATAGCGATGAAAGCTTTTTTTTTAAACAAACATTTCTTTAAAATTAAAACAAATGAGTTAAAGTATATATATATATTTTACAGTGTAGGCACCATTGAAAATAATTGCCCTTGGCATTTCTAAACCACCATCTGTCGCCAGTGTCTTTATATCTTTATTTATTTCTTTTTTTTAAACGATGTAATGGCAACTTTTAAACTAAGGGGGGAAAATCAGTATTTGCTTGCATTCCTTTAACGCTTTTCAATATTTGGCAGATATATTTCAAATCCTTTAAATGACTTTTGTGCAAAAACAAAAAATGTGCAGATCCAAACCATAAAATTAAACACATCCAGACTTTTTATCAAAAATAAATTTACACCAACAGTTCCACAGCTAAGGACTGAAATACAACCCCACTTCAAACTTCAGCATAATATACAAACTGGGTTGAAAGGGGGGGGGAGATATTACCCAATCTAAACAGTACCATAAATATATAATTGAAAACAAGTTTATAATTTTAGCTACCTTTTATGAAAAAAAAATCACTCTGTACTGAACAGTACTATCTTTTTGTGAAAGAATATCTATAACTCAGTTATTTGCATATTAACTGGTAAATACGTATTTAAAATACATAGGGGTGGGGAAGAGGAATTAAACATGGTAATGCACTGCATGTAAATGTCTTTAAGAACGTAAGTGTATAAATATCTTACAGGATAGAACACCACCACACAAAACGCTGGTGTCACACACTTATACCTTCTGGTGAGGTATTTCATCGCATGCCACGGTATTCCCATAGGTCCCCTGCCCAAAACAAAGAATGAGCTACTTCCCCCTCCCGAATCTTACTAAAGAATGAAGAAATGATTAAATTAAGCCAGATTTCTATGTGTGCCCATTATTGCAGAAAGCCCCCTGCCCTTCATCTGTATTGCTTTAAAATTTTCTTTACCATGATGAATGACTATTTGAAATCCTGCCCTGAAGGGTAATACGTACAAACTGTACACTAAGCTATATCAGTCACTACATGTTAACTTGCAAAGCTAATGACATATTGCTCTCAAAATGTAGGTGATTACAGAGCTGCCTAAAACACTGTACCCATTTTTCAAAAGAATAGTGTTGCTTGGTGATGCCAACTTGGGTAAAATATTGGGGGGAGGGTGCTCCAGGAAAGCCGTGCCCCCCATCATTGGTCACATGACATGGTGACACCCCTCCATATGAATGGCATTGCCAACCAACTTTGGGGGGCCTGGCCTGCTCAAATATTTTATCAGGGGCGCCGAAGGGACCTCGGCCCCTAGGAGTTAGCTCCTATGTTGTTGTAGGTATTACATTTACAGGGGCCTAAATAAAGACTACTATGGTGTTTGAGCAAGTGCTATAGCCACATCCTATAGGTTAAGGTGCTCTCGTATATTTTCCTGTAAAAAGCTGTTTTGAAGTCTAGTTTTAGTGACTCAGAAGAACTGTATCTTATGTGGACATAAAAAGAAACAAGACTCGTCTCTGGAGAGTAACGAAATGTTGTTGAAACACAGCATGTGCACTTCCTATGAACTCAAGTGCATTCCATTGATCTCTGGTCAACCCAGATCCTGCGTGTGGAGATTGGCATTCCACTGGTTATATCTTGAAGCAAAGCTGCACCTCACCGTTTTTGTTTTTTGTTTTAAACTGGATTAAATAAGTGAAAACTACAATATTAAAAGTTGCTCTTTACAAAAAAGAATGTCCTGGAAATACAAAAAAGCATGTATACCCATCACAAAATAGTGGAATTAAGTCCTGTCAAATCTGCGATCATTATATATGTTGCAATGATCCAAAAGGCACAAGGAGCTCATGAACAAAGCATTGCCAAGCTTATAGTAGGTTTTGGTGGGCTATTACTGGGTCCATATGGAACAGCATCACTGATAGAAAGTTTCTTAGGAGGAGTCATTAACTGAAAACCTAAGGAGACAAACACAAGAAGAAAGTGCTCAGTTATATCCCAGCTAAGTAGTTAATAATTTATTTATTTTACAGACTACCAATCCATGTACACTGTTCGTTTTCCTCACCATCCTCACATTAATCCTCCCAGACTCTTTCAATCCAGTTCCACCTCCTAAGGTTGCTAACAGTGCTTTTTCCACTACCTTTCCTACACTCACACAGAAAGCAGGAAATGAGGTTACAGGCAATGCAGACAGACCCTAAAGAAGAACACAGGTTAAGAAATGAAACCCATATGCTTACTTCTGAAACTTCTCCATAAGTTTCTTCACCATCTTATCAGTGATTCCTGGACATGTTGCTTCTGCCATATTGATGCTTTTTTCAAGTTCTTCAATTGCTTTCTTCCTGCTTGCATTATTGGTGTCTTGCTGCTTAAGCTGAGAGGCAGACAAAAATGGTCAAAATTTTGCAACCTTTACTGTACATGCTTTGGATGTGCCTCAAACTGAAAACTTACCTCAGCAAAGACAGGAGTGATTATCATTGTTAAACAGCTCAGGGTTTTCATGAGATCTTGGTCCTGGAAAGTTAGGAGATACATTAATCAAACACTTGCTGACAAATAACTGAAATAAGTAGGAGACCAAGGACCAGTTAAAAATGGACAAGACTACATGAGGGGCTCCTCATGTTCACATATGTGCCTACAGATGTGTGGAGAAATGCTGGCATAAACTGGGCTGATAAGAGATATAGTCCACAGGGAGATCTGCAGAAGCAACTTTTCTCGCAGGTGCAAACTTTGGTACAGCTTATGGCTGTTTTTCCAAAGGTCAGTCCTGGAGGTGGCCCCCCAAAATGAAGAAAACAACAACTTATATGGACTGAAATAATCAAATTTATTCTCATCACAATGATTTTTGCAACTGGAGGGAGGGTGCGGATCACAGGAAACACTTTAGATGCTCTACAGACTCTTACTTGACAATCTACTGAGAAAAGCTCCATTGGCTCCAAACTACGGTGTGCCCTCCCAATAAATAAAGTGGTGGACATACGGTAGGTTAAACACAATTTACAGAAGTGTTAGATAATTTTACACCACAGTTCACTTTTTTATTGCAGTCCTGATAATCCTAGTCTTCATTAATAAAAGTTGTAAGCATCACCACCACTATAACCATCATTCTGATCCTCGCAACTGCAGAGATGAATTTGACCACCTGAAATGTAGTCAGTATTGCCAGGGAGCAATGCTGTGTGTCTACAGAGGGGTGGGGACATTTCTGACTGCTTTACAAACACCAAGGGTCAGCTCTCTGCCTGTGGCAGCTTCCAAGGAGCTTAAAGAATAGAAAGAAATTCTGGCTGGACGTACTGTTCCGTTCTGCAGTTTCTTGGCCTCTGGCTTCTTCCGAACTGTAGTAAAACTCCATTCTGGGTGGGAATTGTTCTCCTTGTTGCTAGACTCCCTAATGGGGAAGGGAAGAAAATGACGAAGCTTTTAAAGAACTGTGCTACCATACCAGAGGTCTGCCATAGTTGAAACCCTTAAATATAAAATCGTGCCAAATGAGGAGGCCAAAATGCTGTAGGTTTGCTTCCAAAGTAGACGCCAATAAACTCTGGACTCTGGACAAAACTCTAAGAAATACTAGAATCCAAACCTTGCTCTTCCTCCACCCCCAGTCCATTTTATATTATGTATTTCAGTCGATTGCTGAATTTTACATTTTAAGTATTTATATTTTGATGTTGGCCGCCCTGAGCCCGGTTATGGCTGGGGAGGACAATATACAAATAAAATTGATGATGATGATGGTGATGTACTGTAAAAAAGGACAATCAGAAGCCCCATCCAGGTTCTTTTTGACTTGGAGCCAATAACAAAAGAAATTAACCAGTTTAGAGCAGCATTTTTGGTCTTCTTTTGTGGATGTGGAGAGAGGCAGATACAACCAAAAGAAAACACAGCCCAATCAGATCTGTGACAAAAGTGACATTGAGTACAATGGCTGCACCTAAGATCTGCAAGGTCTATGAAAGACACTTTTCAGTCTTAGCAGAAGTATAGTAGAGGCAGGAATGCCTCGCCCCCCCCCCCCACCCAGGATTTATTCTGCAGCTCAACTTACCTCAACAGATTTGTGCCTTATTTATTTAAAAAATACATATTGATGGATGCCAAAGAAGGAGGTGGACCTGCCCTGCCAGACCTTTAAATTTTGCTGTGAACCATCCTTTTTGCTGGTTGAGAGAATGGTTGCTTTTTGAAAACACTGAAGTGTTGGACAATGGCAGATGAAGTTGATGGACTATATGGAATTGGCGGAAATGACTGGCAAGATCCGAGACCAGGGTGAAGAGTCGGTGGAAGAAGATTGGAAAAAGTTTAAAGACTATTTATGGAAATACTGTAAAGTTAAGGAATGTTAGAAAAATGTTGGAATGAAATTATATGGCTTTAGCAGAAATGTCATAAGGAATTAGGTATAAATAGATTAATAGAAAATTAAAGGAAAAGTATGGCAAGAATGTGTTAAGATAATTATAGAATAGAAAACAGAGTAAGATGGAAAGGAATTGCTGAAACAAATAATAGAAGTGGAATACAAAAAGGGAGGTGGGAGGAGGTCGCTGGAAATAAGTGAATGAAATATAAGATATTGAAAATGTTTGAGGTGTTTTTAAATTGTTTTTGTTTGTTTTGTTAGTCCATGTAACGTTTTTGTATTGTATTTGCTTTGTTTTTTCTTTTTTTTTGTTTGAAGTGTTGTTAAAAAAGTAATAAATATCATTTATATATATAAAAAAAAATACAGCCCACAAACTTTTTTAATGGTGGGTCGCACCAAATTGTGGGGGAGTGTCTACCTTTTTTGCAGGCATAAACCCCTCAAATTGATGCCTTTTTATTTATAAATTTACAAATTGCTTCACAACCAAAAGTTACTGAAGTATTATTCCATTAAATAAAAGTTAGCTACAGAAAGATATCAAACAGTAGAACCATTTTTACAACTGTATCAACACCCCATAAGCCTGACTGTATACACTTCACAGAAAGCCTTCTTAACAAAAATGACTTCAACAGCCACCAAATGTCAAAGTGTTAGGTGCTGGTAACTAATTCCAGAGGACTGGAGTTCTAGCACTAAAAGTTCAGTCTATAGTGCATACGAAGCACACCCCTGGGGCATATGATATTCTTAGGAATGTCCCATCTGGGAGAAGCATAGTTTCCAGGCTCCCTACAGGTGACATAATTCTGCAGTAACCTGAAAGTGTTTCAGGAAAAGGAAGAGAGCATAAATGAAGGGGAAACATCCATACAATGTGACAAAGAGACACCACACTCATTGTGCTACAGTGGACAGAGGCTCAGTCCTGAAATTCAGAGAGTGGCCCTGAATGAGATCATGGCCTCTCAATTTAAATTTACTTCATTTATGAAAACAAATGGCAATTAAAAATGAAGTAAGAGGATCTACTGTGTGTGTATGTCTGCTGTTATCATTTGCTGTTCACAAAGTAGCTTTTGACCAAAGTAAAAATAAATCACTTGCAACTGGTTAGGTCATGGGTCAACAAACTAAGGCCCGGGGACCGGTCCCGGCCCAATTGTCTTCTAGATCCAGCCTGCGGATGGTCCGGGAATTGCCACGTGGATCGGCGTAGGGATTCTGATCGTTTGGGCTGCACCATTCCCCCCCCCCCCACACACCATGACAGCGCTTCCTCCCTACCTCCTCCTGGCTTCTCCCCACCCTGCCTAGAGGAGGAAGGGGGCTGGGCTTTGTTGAGCCGTGGTTAGCTGAGGGCCATTTTAAGCAGCCCCTCTCTGGAGCCAGCCCTTTCGAGCCACTCATAGTTCCTTCGCCACTGCCGCCAACCCCTGCCGCTCGCAAGGCACAGGAGCTAGGTGCTGAGCGCTGTTTAAAGCAGAGCAGCCCCTCTCCAGAGCCAGCCCTTTCACGCCACTCATCCCGCCGCTGCCGCCAGCCCCTGCCACTTGCAAAGCACAGGTAAGCAGCCACCAGGGCTCATCTGGTGCTGTGGAGAAGGGAGGGGAGAGTCGTGGGGGTGTATTCCCCCCCCCCCCAAAAATAGTCCAGCCCCCCACAAGGTCTGAGGGACAGTGGACCGGCCCCCTGCAGAAAACTTTTGCTGACCCCTGGGTTAGGTGCTGCTGGAAAGGGTCTCCTGACTTTCTGAGGATAGAGGCAGAAGAATTCAGAAGGTTGCAAACGGATGCTTCCAAGACGGCCACTTGTTTGTGCCTGGCTTTAACAACTATCCATGCAGCATGGCTCTCCTTCCAACTTCCAAGTTGCAGAGGTGGGCAGGGGTATTGATGCAGCTGTATGGCCGACATGCCTGGAGTGCCTCAACCTTGAAGACCAAGCTAGTGAGCCCTCTGACTTTTCCTACTTTGAAGCCAGAAAGGGTGGCAGAGGTTTATTTCCCACCGCTTCTTTGGAGTCTTACTGCCAAGCTGTGGCTAAAGCTGTCATTTCATCTTTCCTCTCTTCCCTCCAGGAAAAGGAGATAGGAGGAGCTGCACCAGTTGTTACTCAGCAGAGAGGTTCAGTGTCCTTATGCCATGTGCCATGCTCCCTGTCTCAACTTCCCACAAGACAGATGGAGGGGAGGGAGGAGTGTGTTCAACCACTGCTTGGTTGTGAGGTTCAGACCTTGTTTGCCAAGCAGTAGCTGAATAACATGATGCAAAAGAGTGTTCACCAAGGACTGCATGCTTGCTGCTGCTCCAAGCCACGCATGCTTCCTCTGTCTGTTTCATGGGGGTAAGGGGATGCTGCTTGGCAAAAGAGCCAAAGGCATACCACTGAAACTTGCCTTCTCTCTGCTTCTCAGGTGTGCATGTGGGCAGGGTTGGCTCTCCAGCCATTCCTCGGCACAAGGGCTTCTCTGCAGAGCACTAACTGAAACCTTGAGTCTACTTGTCTTTTTCTCACTGGAAAAGTGTTTGTGTGCATACGTGCACTTCCTTTGCTGTTGGCTGGAGAAATATGCCTCTATTAAACTAGCTGAGGGGAGGAACCTGGTGAACATAAATGTTAGTTTGGCTAGCAAGTTTAGCCAAATATTGTAGACCCCTGGAATAGTAGTCTGAAGTGGTAGTTCCAACAGCAGACCATCTTGGCGGTGAGTCCTGGAAGACCAGCTCCCTGCCTTGCAGCCCTTTCTTCCACCTGGCCTGGGAAGGCGGGGCCCTGACTGACTCCGGCTACAAAAGCTGAGGTTGCTGAAGAGGCCACCTTGGTTGTTTCTAGGTGAAGACCTAGGTAATTGAGCCTGATCTTCCACAGCTGCTGCCCACCATGAACCACCATTGACAGGACTAGCAGCAACAGCAGCAGATATGATAATATTTTATCTTGTTAATTATGCTATTTAAATGTGCATTTTATATTTGACTTCCCTAAGTAATATTTTCTTTTGAAATGTTTAAGATTGTTTTGGTTAACTTTGCTGCATTAATTGTGCATTCTGTAGTTTACCCCCTTTGTAATGTTTTAATTTGAGATCTTTAAGATAACATTTTAGTTTCCTGTTAATTATGTTGCTTTGAATGTATACTTCATATTTAACTTTATTCAGTAATGTTTTGTTCTGGATTGTTTTATTTGATGTTTTGATATTTTTTCTTAAAAACAGAAAGCAGTATAAAAATAATGATAATACAGGAGCTGAACTCTACCCCCTCAACTCCTGCCACTGGGACAGCTCCCCTGCCCACTCCCCAATTCCTGGCAAATAATCAAAAATCCAGACTTACGAATCAGAACCATCAGAATCTGTTTCATCGCTACTATGTCCTTCTGCTTTCCACCTCTTAAATCTATCAATAAGCTCCGTCAGATATGAAGTCTTCTTGGCATTTTTCAGAATGAATTTGTGCTTTAGAAGTTCTTTCGCTGTGGGACGCTGTAAAAGACATGAAGTGGTAAATTGTTTGCAAGCAGAATGCAAAATGTTGACAATTATCTATAAAGGCCTCCCTTACCAGCCTGCCCGCTCCTTAAGATACACTGCTGAGGATTTTCTTTGGGTCTCAACTGTGACTGAGGCGTGACTGATTGGAACATGGGAAGGGGCCTTCCCTATAGCGATTGATCTGCTGTGCTAAGGATTCCTTTGTGGTTGCCATACTTATTATTTAGATTGGTTTAATCTCAGGGGACAGACAGTAGCTCTGTGACAGTGGATCTGCTAGCATGCAGAAGATCTCAAATTTGATCCCTGGCATCTCCAGGTAGAGATGGGAAAGATTCCCTGCCTGAAACCCTGGAGAGCCGCTACCAACCAGTACTGACAAGATAGAGCAATGGTCTGGCTTCCCATGTTCATCAATCTGTTAGATTTTAGTGTTTTCCCCCCAACTTTTGTAAGCTGCTGAACATTGCAAATGTAGTGGAGTCTCCTTCTTTGGAGGTCTTTAAGCAGAGGCTTGACAACCATATGTCTGGAGTGCTCTGATGGTGTTTCCTGCTTGGCAGGGGGTTGGACTCGATGGCCCTTGTGGTCTCTTCCAACTCTATGATTCTATGATTCTAGTGGAAGGGCAAGATGCAGATATTTGCGAAAATAAATTAAAAATTACAATAGCTATAGTGCAAGTTGGCTCATTAGATCAGATTACATCTACTACCAAGCATTTTGTAATTGGATGGCAGTGCACTATTTGTCCAAACAACTCCATTCTCTTTATGTCTGAAAATTAGGTTTCTTTCCACTCTGCCTCTCCAAGAGCTCCGAGTAATCCAAAACTTTTCCTTACTTTTATGCCAACAAGCATTAGACCAATGAGAACGCTCAAGTTCTCTGCAGCAACTGTATGCATTAAAGCCAGAGCAGGAAACAGGATTATAACACAAACCACTGTGGTGCCTTTATTACAGAAGTCTTTTGGGAATAGATTCCTCTGAAGGAAACTGATGTGCAGACTGGAAGGGTTTAAGCTTGGATGACCTTCTGTTCCCTTCCAGGGTTTTCATTCCTTAACTGAACAGAGCATCCAACAAGCATCCAATTTGCCCCTGCAGCTCCACCCCCCAAAAAACACCCAGCTGATCTGATGCATGGATTTTCTCTATTCTATTGTGTTTTGTGCATACTCTGTACGCTGCCTCCTCAAGTAGATTAATGCCGACCTTAAAAAGTTTGAGAAATCTGGAGACTTCCAGGAGGGAAGATGGCTGGCTAGTCCTCAATTGCTGACAGTCCCTCAACAGAGATAATTATGCAGCGATTAACAATAGCCAAGATGTAAATCTTCATTATTACACTCTCTCTTTGAATACAGGGAGATCAAGGGATTAACCTCAAATGCTCTGAAGAAAGGTGTTCTTCACACCAGAGACCAGAAAAGTTTTTGGATGCAGGATACATCTTTGAGTGAGGAACTGCTATTGTGTCCAGACACCACATAATAGCCCTGAATGTTAGCCCTTAGGACAACAGGTCAGCTAAACCTCCCTTCTTTTAATTACTTTTAAGATTGGGATCAATTATGACTGAAGTGATCTGTCTGCCAATTAATTTTCACCAAGAACATGAACTGAGTGTGAGATAAGAGGCATTAGCTAACATGCTGAAAACAAAACAAAAAGTATCTTAATTATTTGTGATTAAGAAAGATTATAAACGGATCAGAATGCTCTGCTTGTTAAGCATCTTCAATTTATATTACTTTTTACTCTCAGTCCTTTTTGTGAAGTGCTGGCTTCAGAAGTGAAACTACATTCCTGTGAGTGCGAAAGGAATGCACTTCTTAAAGAGACAGACACAAGTTTTCAAGGCAGAGACTTAACATGAAGACTAACTGAACCAAATGTGGCAAAGAGACTGTTGAACCCCTGCAATGACTGTTGTATCATGCAGCAATTATTGGATGAGCAACTGAAAGACCTTAGAACTGAGATGCATAAAATCTTGAACGAAAAAGGAGAGAACGATCAGACCAAAGAATACACAGGACCTTAGGGGAGAGGGGGATACTGATAAAGATCTGCCTGAACGTGAGAGTGGAATGGTAAAGTGGGAAGCAGCAGATGATGAAATGAAAGAACTTCCACATAGGTGTCTGAAGGACTGAAACAGACAAACAATGGAGTTGTGATGCTGGAGAAGTGGAATGAAACCATTGATAAGCAATATCAAGAAACATCTTGAGATGGCAAAGATGGAGCCGAAAGAGAAAGGATCCTGTGTACAAGTTGGAGTGAATTCAGAGGAAAAAGCCATTAAGCCTCTGGTGATTCTTCTTAAAAAAGAATGGAAGAAACAGAAATGGAAGGAACTTTTTTTTTCTTTTCCTAATTTAGGACAGGAAATCATGGCCAACAGGAAATGGGATCAGAAGATCTGGAACTGGATGAATATGGAACTGGCTGTATATTAATGAATATACATTAAATAAATAACTATGGGTTATTATTCTAATAATAGATATTGGAATTTCTTGGAGATAAAAGCTGTCATGCCAGACTGGAGGAAGACTATTCTTGACATTTAGTGATAATAACCGTAGAGCCACTTTTGGACTTTTTGCATGAAAAGGAAAATGAATAAACTTGAGATGCCTGGGGTTGAAGATTGGGAAAACGTCAATAAGCAGGTTGAAGAACAGCTGGGTATTACCCTGGAATACAGCTGGATACCATCCTGAACACTTTGAAAATTTTGAACTCTTTTTATATACATAATTGACAGACGAAGAATCTGAAGTCCTCTTTATTTATTTCTCTCTATTTTTTTATATTTATTTCCAGTGTTTTCTCTTTTTCTTCCTTCTTCTATCTATTTTACTCTTGCTTATGTTGTGCTATGTTTTGGTTTTTGATGTCCTCTACTCTAGGTTAGGGGATGCGGGTGGCGCTGTGGTCTAAGCCACTGAGCCTAGGGCCTGCCGATCAGAAGGTCGGCGGTTCGAATCCCCGTGACAGGGTGAGCTCCTGTTGCTTGGTCCCAGCTCCTACCAACCTAGCAGTTCGAAAGCACACAGTGCAAGCAGATAAATAGGTACCACTGTGGCGGGAAGGCAAACAGAGTTTCCATGCACTGCTCTGGTTTTGCGAGAAGCAGCTTAGTCATGCTGGCCACATGACCCACAAAAACGGTCTGTGGACAAACGTTGGCTCCCACGGCCAGTAAAGCAAGATGAGTGCCGCAACCCCAGAGTCATTTGCGATTGGACTTAACTGTCAGCGGTCCTTTACCTTTACTCTAGGTTAGTGAGGGTACACATAGGGAGGTGATGGATGGAAAGTGAAAGACCCTGTATGAGAGGCAAGCAAGGCAAGGTAAGATCTCCCAGGGTAGGAATCTGGGAGAAGAAAAGAAAGCTCCCAGGTGAGAGCTGAGAGGGCCCACCCCCCCCCCCTTTTGTGTGAGACAAGGGTTAAGATCAACCTCAGATAGAGGGCTTTGTTACCTCTCCCCTTTTCCTTAGTTGTTGTTTTTTTATTTTTATTTAGATTAGTTTTTCATTGTACTGTATGCTGAAAAGTTTAAACAACATTTTTTTAAAAAAAGCCTGCAGCACTTTTCTCTGCCTTTTCTTTTGCATAACAAACAATACTGCAAGCACCAAAGTTTCCTAATGTTGAAGAAGTGAAATGTTAACACTTACAAATGTCGGGTCCTTATTCAGACATGCATCAATAAATTCTTTAAAGGGTTTGCTGAAGTCCCCTATTAGGGTTGGAGGGTTGTTTTTGGGAATGAGAAAGAGAACTCTCATTGGATGCATGTCTGAGTTCGGAGGCTCTCCTTTGGCCAGTTCAATAGCTGTGATTCCCAATGACCAAATGTCAGCCTGCAGGGAAAGAGGAAAGATAATAGTATCATATTTGTACAGCACTAGCTATCTTGAACAGTAAACTGGTAGCAGAAACTTTGTTTCCCCAATCATAGGCTTTAAAACTGAACTGATGCAAAACACACATGCACACACAAATAGGATCCTTGTGCTCCAAAGATATAACACAGCAACACTGAATAAATGTCTATCTGCATGGAGCAAGTATATTCCTTCAAGAGCAAGTGCTAATTGTTCAGCTTTCAATATCCTTTGTGGGTCAAGCTGACGACAAGTTGTGGAAGTGCTCACTCAGGAGGGAGGGGAAAGAACAGTTGGGTGTGATTGTGCTGCGTTGAAAAGAGCTTAACAGGAAGCCCAGAAAACTCAGGAAGTTGCAGTGAAAGAAGAGGAGTGTCTTGTTGCTCTGCAGCCTGAGAACCCTTAGTACATACCATCCTTCTGGTAACAGATTTGCTTAGGCTTTCGGAGGAGAGCTTAGTAGAGTTCTGAGCATAGTCAGGAGACGACTGAAGCTCAATGAACACAGGAGGACAAAAGTCAGTGGAAATAAGTATTAATGCTCCTTTAGTGCTTGGAAGCTCATGAAGGCCCCTCCTGGTTTGTACAGTCCACACAGTTCTGGGCTATAATCACTAGTGCTAGAAACTTGCTCTTTGATCTTTAATACACATTCTCAAGCTGTCCTATAGCTATAAGAATTACGCATTTGGAGGCATACCATACATTCTGTGGCAAGACTGCGGTTCTGAAAATCTCCAAATGTCTTGCACAAAATTAACACATCACTTCTAAGCACAAACCAATTTCAAAGAACTCACTTTTGAATCATAGGCTGATTGCTGAATCACTTCTGGTGCCATCCAAAATGGCGTGCCTACAAAGGTGTTCCTTTTAATCTGTGTATCAGTCAGTTGCCCTGCAACTCCAAAATCCGCAAGTTTCACATCTCCTTGCTCTGACAATAACACGTTGGCAGCTTGAGAGGAGGAGAAAGCAGAAAAAACTAATTAAAAAGCAGAAAGAACTATTGCTTGAAGGGATATGGGCTCTGCATTTATTTAAATTTATACACACCCTTTATATCTCTGTGAATTTTCTTCTCTGAATGTAGATAGTCAAGCCCTTTCAGTATTTCCTTGAGCATCGTAGCAATCTGGAACTCATCGAATGGGCCAGCACGGAGCTTTGGGAAGGAAACAAAGCATAATTCAAATAAAGCATAAACCCTGGCATCCACTGTTTGTTAACAGTTATTTGAAATGTCATTTTTCTTTTTTTAAAGATTTGCAGGAAAAGGTTCAAACACGAATGTTCCACAACAGACACTGTATAAATTCATAAACTTGGAAGAGTAACACAAGTAACTTGAAAACATTGTCAGGCAAACTTTAGGAAGGTTTTACTTTCCTGAGAAGCTTTGACTAATATAGCCTTTTAGAGAAGATGGCAAGAACACAGAACCATGGTATTACCTTCCCAAAAAATACATCCCACCTCACAGAATAGTAATAATTTAATTTATTAGATTTATATCCCAACACCTTCCTGCAAAGGAGACCAGGGCTCACTATTAAACTACACTATGTATGGGCAACTGCCTCCATTGGCAGTAATATACTGTACAGTACAACAGCTGTGAGGATTTAGGTAAGAGGTTCATAAGACTGTGAGCCACAAACTAGGGCTGATTTGCACTATTATCACTCTCTAACACATCACTTGAGGATCTGCAGCTGAACACAAGTCAAATTCTGTTTACTGTTTGTTTCCATTTCCATTCTGCCCTTCATCAGGTTGTAATGTGCTGTTTGAGGTGAAGTGATCTGAATTGTGGGCCATTTACCATGTCATGCTTTAGTCAGTGTTTAGAGCTATAGCAATCAACATACATGGATTTGTGTGTATATGAACCATAGCCCTCAAAAATCTGTTCCATTGTCCCTAGTGGACAACTGCCCCAAAACTCAGCGAACAGCAAGGCTTTTCTTACCTTTCCAAATTCCAGCTGAGAAAATCAGAAGGTGGCTGTTAGGGTTGAACTGAGTGCTACTTATGTGCAGAGACCACTTGTAATTCTATGCTGTTGAAATTCTAGTGGGATTAAGGCACAGTTTGTACAGAGCTTGCAAAAATGTCATGTTGCTCAATGTTAATAATATTTCAGGATCTCATAAGCATAAACACTGAGCAGCATTATCTTACAGGAAAAGGGTGGGTCTCTTATATAGGGCTGTGGTGGAGCTGGACTGGGGGATAGGGGAAAACCACACATCACCACCCAAAGCGCTTTGCTTTTTTAGTCCCTCCTAGGCTGCATCCGTCGTGAACACTGTGTTTGTCATAAGTAAAGGGCCCTTTCATGGCTTAAATTTAAACTGCCAAAAATGGAAAAACCAGGTCAGTTTCAACATTGAATATTAACCATGCTTTTGCTTCCATAGCACACTCCTGGAATCTGCTTCCAAGAAAAACATTTCTGTGTATTCAAAACTGGTAAAACATCTCACCTTTCAGTTTATTAATGAAACTTGTGTTTTGACAGCAACAAATCTTCCTCATACTGAAAAGTAGAAGGTGTGGTACACTTTTTGGTAATATATTGTTTTTTAAGACACAAGGTAGACAACCTGAACTCAAACTCATCTACAACTAGACATAAAGGAACACTGTAGTCATTGCACCAAGAGGAGCATTGTGCCACAAGACAGCCAGCTTCTCTCCACAGAAAAAAAATGTTTGAGTTGGATCAGGGAATCCCAGGCCATGCCCAGACACTGAGTCATTTGGTAGCTTCAGTCAAAATCCTCTGAGCTTCAGTACACCAACTGCAAGTAGAAGGAACCATTGCCTAACTGACAAGAGTCCTATTACTATTACTACTACTACTACTACAACAACAACAATGACGACGACTACTATAAGTGCAACTGGCAATTTACACAAAGCAGTTACAAAATGACATGTCCCCTTCTTGGAGGAGGGAATGATCTACAGAAAAGTTACATAATGCTCTGAACATTAGCATATTAAGGAGATGATCTGGCTTCAGTGTTGAGATTTCAGAACTGTGAATTAAATTTAATGATGACTTCTGTCATAAATTACACTTGAAACCTATTCCTTGACATGGATATTTAAACTTCTTGAAAAAGGAAGTATGTTCACTGAAAAAACTTCAAAAACTATCAACTCATAAATTATAAAAAGAAAGAAGTCACACTCTGAATATTAAGAATGTTATTACTAGATCACTGGATTGCTGTTATACAGTGGTACCTTGGGTTACATATGCTTCAGGTTACAGACTCTGCTAACCCAGAAATAGTACCTCGGGTTAAGAACTTTGCTTCAGGATGAGAACAGAAATCGTGCTCCAGCGGTGCGGCGGCAGCGGTAGGCCCCATTAGCTAAAGTGGTGCTTCAGGTTAAGAACAGTTTCAGGTTAAGAACGGACCTCTGAAACGAATTAAGTACTTAACCCGAGGTACCACTGTACTTTGAATTGCTTTACCCATATTTGATTGTTATTGTAATGATGTACTGAGTTGCATTCTTGTTGCTTTGAAATGAGCTACTTTTGAGCATTTTTACATGGAAAAGTAGCATACAAATTTTAGTAATAAGTAAGAATGCAGAAGCTAACTAGAAAATGAACAAGGCACAAACCATTAGAAGACACTTACCAGATCCAGTGCTGATCCCCCACCTAAGTATTCCATGATTATCCATAGCTTTGTGCCCTAAAAATGAATGCAGATAAAGTGTTAGGCTTTTCAAAAGAGATTAGTAGATCAGCTCACTTCATCATTTCAATGAACTGTTGGGTAGAAGGATCAGTTATAAAGACCACAGCGTGGCAGTCCACACAGTACCTAAAGGAAGGTGCTATATGCAGATAGTAGAATATTCTGATTCAATGGCTCTTCATATTTTGCTAATGCAGGACCTTTGTAAAAATAGAGTTAAGATTACTGAACCAATAACTGTTGTTAAAATAAGGTTTTTTGTTTTAAACAGTATCTATGTTTGAGTAAGGACATGGCAGTAAGCCCTTGTTTGCAGATTATTTTAGAAATGCAATGCCCAGCGTGGTGACAAGGGATGAAGCTGTTGCTGGTTTAATTAGGCTAGAACTTTGTTGAAGCAATGCTCTCTCTGACTTGAGATCATATTACAAGGCAAAGAAGCACTCTTTGGAAATACTGGATGTTATTCTTGATCCCACTGCATTCCTCCAATGCTCAGAATGGTGGCATCCTTTGGCCGATAGATCTACTGTAGCCTTTGCCACAGAAGGTGGAACCTGCCCTAGTCATCTAAGTTTTGTTTACTTTCATTATGGATTATTGTAATGCACTCTCTGTGATCCAAAATATGGTAGCCAGATTTTTGTTTCGTGCTCACTATTCTGTCAGGTCAACTGGCTTCCTATTTGCTTCTGGGTTTTGTTGAAGGTGCTGGTTTACGATTTAGGGTATGACAAAACAAAACAAAACAAAAAACCACACACCTAATTTTTGTTTCGTCTTTTAATTGTTGGCTTTATTATATTTTATCTGTAATTGCTTTTACAAATTGGCTGTTAGTTATTTTTCTACTTTTATAACACAACAGACCGCAAATATACGCACATTTAACTTGTGCACGTTCAGCTTTTAAAAATGTAAAAAGGGGGAGCAGAAAGAGGGTGGGCATCTGGGCGAAAAAACTTCAGTGGCCATACCAGGCATTGCACCCAATGTGTTTTGACTAAATATGATTTTGGCTTTATGCACTATCCCTGAAACCCCCATGTAAGTTGTGGGTCTCCTTTATTTCATTTGGTTTTATAGTTATACTATACAGCCGTACCTTGGAAGTCGAACGGAATCCGTTCTGGAAGTCTGTTCAACTTCCAAAACGTTCAGAAACCAAATCGAAGCTTCTGGTTGGCTGCAGGAAGCTCCTGCAGCTAATCAGAAGCTGCGGAAGCCCCGTTGGATGTTTGGGTTCCAAAAGAACGTTCGCAAACCAGAACAATCACTTCCGGGTTTGCGGCGTTCGGGAGTCAAGGTATGACTGTACAATGATAATCTTAGCATAAGAGTGGAACATCTATCAATAAAAACAGAGTTAGAGCCACTATTCCATTTTCCCTTTGTACCACCTGATCATCCATCCTGAGAGAAAAAAGTGCATCTGAAAAGCTTGCATGATGAACTGTGAATACTAACTAATCCTGAAGAAAGGTATTTTAATCTCTTCAAATACTGCTCCGATGACAAAGTTTTACCACTCAAGATATTTGCATCTGAACCAAATGGGCTATTTATACAGCTATGAGACTGTCAGTTAACCATTTCCAGGTGAAAATGCTATAATGTGAAATTATGCTTCTTCTTTTTAACAGAAGACTTCCTCCACTTATTTTGAACTGTTTCGTTCTCTGGCATCAATATTATATATTTGGCTGTTGTAATGAATCTGGAAAATGCTACATGGAAAACAGGTGAACTGCATTCCACTTATAAAGGATCCTAACAGTATAGTCATTAACAAGTTCCACTGAGCTCACTTGGATTTACCTTCTAATAAGTGGGTTTACAATTGGAATTGTTGAGACTATTTTATTAACTGGCATTTCAAGAGCAAAATATATATACACACAACCCTCAAAAACACTTTTTTGTGCCTATGTGTGCCTATGTGTGTATGTGTGCCTATGTGCACGTGGAGAGAGAAGAGAGACAGAGAGGGAGGGAGGGAGAGAAAACGAATAATCCTGGTCTGATTTTTAAAGTATTATTTGAGGTCTATTTTTAATAATAAAGACCATAAACAAATTGTCATATTAATTCTGCTCATGACATGAATTACATAAACAGTATTACCAACATAGCCATGTGATATTTACCAAAAAAAAAAAGGGGGCAGCTATTAGCAAAATAAAAAACAATGATAACACATGCTACTAAATCAACATTTGATCATCTCCTTCATACACAGGCAGAATATAGATTTTAGAACAAATATAACTGGTCTTAATCAAACATTTCAATTATTAGTTACAGATACTCAGAGCTATCAGCATAGTTAAGGGCTTCAAATGAAGGAAATTAACTGATAAGAGGCAATAGCCTCTCCACAAGAACGTCAGACAAAAGATTTGTCAGCAATTTATTTCCATCTAAGGCTGAATTTTAGCCCAGTTCAATTTTCTGAATGCACACGAAATACGGATGTAATTGAACAAGCAAATAAAGGGGCAGGGCAGCCATACTCCATGTCCAGCACTGAATAGAGCACAGTTTGCTGAGAATCATGAAGGATTAGAGACTGTATTTATACTATGAAGGCTTGTTCCAATGGTCAGAATTAAGAGGGAAGGCATTTGCTACTTTTAGCACTTTTCACAAAGCCCAACTGTGCTAGGAAGAAAAACCTGCAATGAGAACTCATTCTCAGGCTAACACTGTGTGGGCCACACAGATACCTTTGGATGGTTTGAGGGCAATCTGCTTGCAGAGCCAAAGTAAGTACTGTTTTTCCAGGAATGCCTCAATGAAGTCTCTACTATAAACTGTAGCTGAATGTGTATAGTTTTCACCTAGGCATCCAAGAACACTCCTTGGAAGTTACTATAGGACAAGAAAGTATAGCCTGTATACAGAGCAGAGGACAGCGCCTAATTATTGAATTTTGAATGATTTTTAGGTTAAAATTATGACGTGTTAGAGCAGGGACATGGAATCTCCAGCCCAGGGACCTAATTAGGTCCATCAAGTCTGAGAGTTTAGCCTGCCAGGCAGTTTTGCACAAACCATGGCCACTTTCCTCACACCTAATGCCTAATGTCAGGTGCAGAAACATTCCAAGTCATGGCTAAATTGAAAAATGAGCACATACTAAATGTGCTCAATTCCTCCTTTAAATCACCAACTTGAATTGAGGTTGGCAGTGTGAAAGATCTGCCCTTGAAGGGGCTTGCTATAAGCACCAATTAGGTGGCTGGCGCTTACAGCAAACCCTGCTGAGATCTGCTGTGCTACACAGTTCCCAACTGGGAACTCTGAAGTGCAGTTGATCTCTGCCCAAAGCAAGACTTGCCACTTTCAGCAGGTATCTTTGCTTGCAACCTCACTGGACTTCAAGACAGGCTGCAAAGATCTAAAGGAATCAGAAACACATTTAAGAACGTGGTCCCAATTATTTCTTTTGAAGTTGGGTCATCTGACATTAGGGTTAAAAAAATATTTCCATTGTAATTCCTGCCAAAGTGTCCTGGTCTGTAGAACCTTGGCACTTTGTGGTAAGATTGTGCTGTGATGTTTCTGTTCAATATCGTATGTTTGACTTTTCTGCATGTTATAAGTACTTGTGAAACCACACAGAATACCAGTCATAAGCTCCCTAAAGTCACTGACTGATTTTTCATAACAGTTTTACATTTTATTTTTTTTAGTATGGAAACATGGTTTGCTATTTTAAAAATACGGCCATTGAGGAAATGCAATTTGTTGCATTAGTTGAAATGTCTGATCCTAACTGGGGGCAGGACCAGGGAAGGCAGAACAGATTACCCTCTTCCCACAGGCACGCACACCCAAGTGCAGTGTGTTAATGAGGACATTTTTGCTGGCATGCCAATGATCCAGTTCTCCCTTGAGGATGAAATGGCTTCTTCTCTTCTAGCTTAGGCAGTAGAACAACCACCAGACATCTCCACAGAAAAGTCCCACTTTCTGCCAAGCAGGGAGAATGCGGTTCTTCTGTAAAACCTTTAGGGAGGGCCTACTGGATTACTACTGAGTGTGATTCTGAATGTGCTGTTCTAGCAGTGGTGCTGTGTCTTACTAGCTTAATGTATACCAATTTATTTTAATAGTCTTTTACCTCAACTTTATCTTTCTTAGCAGTCTTCTTTAAAGTGAGATGTAGCTATTTTAGAGAATAAATGAAATAAAAAGGAGCAGACTCCTGAAGTCACACAGCAATAGGGTAAAGAATTAAAATACAGTTTGCTTCCTTACATAAAAGAAATAAAATGATTTAGGATGCTTGCTTCTGCTGTATAAGGAGAAGTGGTGTGTGTGTTTGTGTGTGTGTGTGTGTGTGTGTGTGTGTGTGTGTGTGAAGAGAGAGAGAGAGAGAGAGAGAGAGAGAGAGAGAGAGAAATCTGTGTATGTGTTGAAAGGGGTTGAGAGAGTGGTAACTGTTACACAGAAAGATAAACATCTCAGGCTCAAACAAGTACAGTGGTGCCTCGCAAGACGAAATTAATCCGTTCCGCGAGTCTCTTCGTCTTGCGGTTTTTTCGTCTTGCGAAGCACGGCTATTAGCGGCTTAGCAGCTATTAACGGCTTAGCGGCTTTAAGAAAAAGGAAACAAACTCGCAAGAACTCGCAAGACGTTTCGTCTTGCGAAGCAAGCCCATAGGGAAATTCATCTTGCGGAACGACTCAAAAAACGGAAAACTCTTTCGTCTTGCGTGTTTTTCGTCTTGCGAGGCATTCGTCTTGCGAGGTACCACTGTATGTATGAAAATAACTGAGGGGAAGAGGGAATGGATTTGATAGGAGAGAACAAAGCATTAAAAAACTTTTTTAAAAAAAGAAAGACACCAGACAGGTAGCTTTCCACCCCACTTCTTTGTCTTAATATTCTCGAATTCCACATCACCCCTTTGGGAAACTCTTCATCTTCTCACAGTCCGCTCTATCCCTTCCCATATCTGTTGCTCCATGCACAGCGTCTTCATGGAGAGCAACACCTTGGCAAACAATGGGAATTTTTGAAAACTTGTGGATTACTGAGGGTACAAGAGGAGTGCCACTGGGAGGAGCACAGAGAGAAGAAAAGAGATGGTGCACCTGTAGCAGCAAAACCAGACTTCTTCCTCCGCCCCACCTGCAATAAAACTGCTGTAAATCTCCAACTCTTTGACTTTATCCCCGAAGGTGCATTCCTCCATTGTCTCCAGAGACAGATAGATGCCAACAAGGGGAGTGAAATGATTTGGTTTCAAAGTCCATCAATAGAGAGTATTGCTAGTTTGTTTTGGGTTTTTAATCCAAGCTTTAAATGTATTTTAAAATCAATAAAAGCACAACTAAAGAAGACAACTGGCCAGACAAACAACTGGAAGGTGTGAGTTGAAATGTCTTTACAATTTTTGACCACACCAAGACCTTGGAATGCAAACTTCAGAACCACAAAACGAACAGACCGAACTCAAACTCTATCCTTCACCCACAAAATGTGGTACCTAATTTTTTTAAAAAAATCTGATAGCATTCCATGGGTCTGCATCTCACAACATTAATCTTGCTGTTTTCAAAGAAAAGAATTGCATTTTTCCAATAGACATGGAGCAACCATAAGAATTACCTTTAGATAGGAGCCATAGTACTTTGTTACGTAAGGGCTGTCACACTGGCTTAGCACAGTTATCTCTTGCTGGATGTCTTCTATTTCATCTTCTGCCTCCTCCAGGTCTATGATTTTTATAGCAACCACTTGTTGTGTCCGATTATCAATTCCTTTGAAGACTTCTCCAAATGAGCCTTTTCCAATACGTTCCAGTTTTGTGAAGAGTTCCTCAGGATCAGCTCTATGATTCTGAAGGGAGTGGGAGGAGGGCACAAAAAGAAAATACTAAGTGAGGTTTCTGCCTTTTCTCTCCCCAAGACTGAGGATTTTAATTCATATCAAGGGAATTATAATAAAGAAGGGGGATAGACTGACTAGCACTGGGCGATATTATCAATATATCACCCAGGACCAGTATGGGGAGGGGGAGACTGCAACGACAGCTTCACTCAGTGGTCTATCGCTGGTCACAGCTCTTGAGCCCCTCCCTCTGCCTCCAGTGCCTGGGCCAAGGAGCCCCGGGTTCCTGCCAGCCGTGTGTGAGTGGAGCGGGGGTGGGGTGGAGGACTCATAGCTGGCTCCCCTGCCCCCAGCAAAGCCTGGCCAAGGAGCCCCAAGTCCTCTGCCGGGTGAGTGCAAGGGGTGGAGGACTCGGGGCTCCCCCAGCTGAGCAGCAGGCTGGGCCAGCTGTATCGGCCACAGCCCCCAAGGCGTGCAGGGGAAAGCGCCTCAGCTCCCAATGATGAGAGCTACGGCAGTTTCACCCAGCACCTTGTTGGCTGGGGCCAATGCAGTTTTTTACCGCGATGTTTGGCTGCAATACACCGTGATGTTGAAAACTCAACATTGCCCAGCCATAATACTGGCAAGTCCACCCTGACATTCAGCACCAAATAAATCCCAAATTCTTTAAACTAAGCCGAGTGTGTGTGTGATCGCCTAATCTTTGTGTAACATTTCACACAGCTTGAAGGGATGGAGAATGAAATGGTAATAAAAAGTGATGGAAAGTTCTCTCTGACCACAACAGCAAGAAAACTGTCTTGTAATTGAGGCAAGAATCTGCGTAAATTACTAATCCCATTTATTAACATGAACTGCTAATTTCATTATCTGATATTAGTCACACAGATTTCCGAATCCCTCAAAGATAGTCTTTTTAATTACAGTCACCAATTGCAGCTGTGACACTACCCTGCTGAAGGAAAATCAGCAAAAGATTTGTGTATTTTAGAAAGGATTGTGAGGAACCTTAGCAACAACTCAGGAAAGTTATAATAATGAAAAGAAAAGCTTCAGATTGTCACAGCAGCAATAATCTACCATTAACTGGGGGCATGTGATCATTGTCTACAAAAGGAGGGATTTATTAAAATTCTGTCTGTGAACAATAGATAACCACAAAGTACATGCATACATAAGATGGAAAAATCACCCATCATGTCTTTGTGAGGTTCAAAAAACCAAAACCCTGTCAAAGCAATTTATGTAATTTCCAGCAAAACCAACAAAAAGAGAGCCAGCATGGTGTAGTGATTAGAGAATGGGATTGGTACCTACAAGACCAGGGTCCCAGTCCCAACTCTGAGTGACTTGGCCAATTTCTGCTTTCAGCCTAACTTGCCTCATGCGGTTGTCATGAGGATAAAATGGGGAGTGTGTGTATGCTAAGAACCATGAATGCCACATTAAACTCCTTGAAGAAATTGAAAAAGATATATATGTAAAAGTAAGATTTAGCTAGGTAACTCATCTTTTTCTAGTTTAAATAAAAAATAAGATTTTATTAAGATTAATGTTAAAATAGATTAGTGTTATCTTCAACGAAATTCACAAAATAACCAATCAACCCACAGCTGGCTATGAATTTATTTTTGGTTTCTAATAAGAGCATTGATGGTAACAAGGACCTGATACAGCGGTACCTCTAGATACGAACGGGATCCGTTCCGGAGCCCCGTTCGCATCTAGAGGTAAACGTATCTAGTGACGGTGTGTCTGCGCATGCGCGCGTTGCTTTTCGCCGCTTCTGTGCATGCGCGTGATGTTGTTTTGAGCGTCTGCGCATGCACAAGCGGCAAAACCTGGAAGTAACGTGCTCCGTTACTTCCGGGTTGCCGCAGAGCGCAACTCAAACGCACTCAACTTGAAGCAAATTTAACCCGAGGTATGACTGTAGGTCATTTGTTAATGGCAGTATGTCCAACCCTTGCTAAACTACTTCTAAATAAACTGGTATTTAATCTCTTAAAAATATAATTGCAGCCTTTAGTATTATTAATCTTAAATGTCAGTGTTGAACTAGAGTCCCTGAGCCATGCAGTTCAAATGCTTTGTCGTTAGACTATAGTTTCTTCCTACTGGAGGAGAGAGGATAGGAAATGCTATGAAGGAAAAATAATGCAAATGGTTGAAAATGCTTCCTCCCCTTAAAAAAGCTCAGTTGAAGGCTACATCGTGTTACATTTCTAACTGGCCCTTCCTTCAAATAATGGGGATTTGAACCCTGGTCCTCCTAGCCTCAGGTTAACATTCTAAGCCATGGGTAGGCAAACTAAGGTTCACGGGTCGGATTAGGCCCAATTGCCTTTGGATCCAGCCTGTGGATGGTTTGGGAATCACCGCGTGGATCACCAGCGCACGTGCATTCTTTCCCTCTCCCTCCCTCTCCCTCCCACAGCAGTAGCGGCGGCGCCTCCTCCCTCCCTCCTCCTGGCTTCTCCTCGCCCTGCCTAGAGGAGGAAGGGGGCTGGGCTTTGTTGGTGCCAGCAGCAGCAGCGCTCGAGTGGCTGCCATTTTAAGCAGCCCCTCTCCGGAGCCCTTTCGCACGCCGCTCATCGTCCCTCCGCCGTTGGCGCCAGCCCCTGCTGCTCGCAAGACACAGGTAAGCAGCTACTGGGGCTCATGGTGCTCTTCCATCTCCCCCCCCCCCAAAAATATAGTCCGGCCCCCCACAAGGTCTGAGGGAGAGTGGACCGGCCCCCTGCTGAAAAAGTTTGCTGACCCCTGCCCTAAGCACTATCCCATCACACTGGCTATGCTAATAGATGCTAGGCAGTAACATTTTGCAACCCAGGAGTTATCTTTCCCAGGAACTTTACTCAGCCCTTTGCAAATACAGAATTGCAAAGGCCCAGGGAACTTATGCACTACAAACAAGGCCTGAACCTGGAGCATGTTCCAATTTGTACTTTTTTTTAGTACAAGCTGCAGCAGTTGTGCAACATTCCCAGCTTGCCTAATTGTTCCTCTTTAGAAACCAGCTGATAATTGCATAGACTATTTCCTTCAGCGCTAAAACTGTTCTAAAGCCTCATGGAATTTTCCACTTCTAACTCTTCATCCCCAGCTGTACCCCACCCCAAGGACTGGATGCTACCAGAAAAAGGCAAGGGTACTGCTGCAAGAGGAGAATCAGGATGCTTGTAAAAAATCACCTCTCAAAGATAAAGAAACCAGCAGGGATTTTTCTTTTCAAGTTTACAAGGAAACATGTGTCAGTTTCCTAGATGTTTAGAAATAATGTAGGTTTTTCCAAAACTAGATATACTTTTAGAATCTCCCACTTTAGAAATCTGTTTAAAGACTGTTAGCAGCTGTATGCAAACATCATCTGAGTTGAAATAAAAAAGGCAAACATAACCAAATTCAGTAATCCAGCATTTAGCAAGGACTTGTTTCCTTAACCATTACATAAACCAGCAAAAACGTAACATTATGTGTCAGTGATGCTCTTTGCTATTCAATACACTATGAGGGATAAAAGGGAAGCCAGCCATTCTAGGAGAAGACCCCCTGAACGCAATAGACCTAAGTACCTTGATTTCAATAGGCCTCATCTGAGTATGACTTAATAGTGCAAACATCATAGGGTTGTCCTCTTTTTCAGGTCTGGTTGCAACATGAGCTTTTTCCTGGACAGGTCCTCTTTTTCAGGATTAAAATTTCTGTCCAGGCAGATTTTTAAAATTTGGCAAAATGTCCTGGTTTTTTTTGTTTGGTTTTTTGTTTACACTAATCCAAGATTTTTTACAAAAGATAAATACAATTTTTAAAGCCTCATGCATCACGCTCCCATTTCTCACTGTTTTTCATAAATGGAATATACATGTTAAACAGTTTAATAAATTGTTCTGTGCACACTTATGTTCACAAAGGTGTATGTGGCAAGTGAGAGAGAAATATGTATTATTATTATTATTATTAGGTTGAAAGTTAAGAACATTGCTACTAACAATATATCTATCACAGCTTCTATAGCTGTAAGAGCTCTGTAGTTAAAAGTAGAAGTTGGCAAATGTGTCCTCTTTTTTTGCTCTTCAAAATATGGCAACCCTAAAACATCATGATAGTTGATGTCACATGTTCCATGACAAAAAAATACTTTTTTCAGTGGCAAGGAACTCTGAACAAAACAATAAGAAGTGATAGAATTCTGAAAATAATAAATAATCCCGCACTCGCTGTCTAAATTAGCAGCACTTGTACTGAAGAGTCGCTATCTATACTGTCACTTTGAAAATCCTCCGTAAGAACATAAGCAGAACCCTACTGGACCAGAACAAGGATCCATCCAGCCCACCACCCTGTTCTCACAGCGGCCAACCACAGGCCCATGGGAAGCCTACAAACATAACTTGACCACAACATTACTCTTCTCTCCTGCAGTTCTCAGCAACTGGCATTCAGTGGCATGCTGCCTCCATGGAAACTAATGCAGCAGGCAGTTTGTACATGGCCAGAAGCAATGTTAGCAGGAGACCTGCCTGCACTTCCCCATTCCCGCGTTTAGCAGGACCATTCTTTTTGTGCTCCCATTGTTTGAGACAAAATAGCAGGGAAAGTGCCCTCAATTATTCCAGCTCCCCATGGCATTTTCAACTGTGTGAACTCAAGCCAATGATCCCCAGCAGCCAAGAGTGAAAGCGAACAAACATCTTCGTAACTTGCAGGATTAACATTCAGGGGTTCATCATTCTGTGTCAATCCTTAAGCCTAGCAAGAATCATGTATCAAAATATTCTTGGTGAGAAGCAGCCACGGTGCTTCTCATTGGAAAAGCACCCCTCCAATTTGTCATTCCCTTCAGCCTCCAGCAAGAATACTGTTCCCCATACACTCATCCACAAAGAGAACACTTCCCAAAATGGACAATGTTTTTGGGGGATTCTAAACTTGTCCTGGTTCATCAGTGTCCACTGGATGATACCAGATTGTGATTTTTTAAGCTTGATGGGGCTGGATCTCAGAGCTTGTCAATATATGAGACCTTTATTTGTAGTTTTGCAACTGAGCATATTTTTAAAAATTACACAGATGAAAGTCATCAACTAAAGCAGCTAAGTTAAAGAAGATTCTCCTAAGGGTAGAGGTGAGTTTGCACAATTAAAAGTCAAAACAAGAAGTTAATAACTCCACAGCCCAATTTTGCCTTTCAATTTGCATTTTGATCCATCATGACATTCTAAGGATCTCTTAAGAACCATAACTGTAGCAGGACAGTTATTCTTAACTTTGTACTTACAGTACAAGCTATTCTATCTTATTTATTTTGGGGTCGCAGAGAGGCCTGAAAGGCAGCTCCCTAGGGAAGATTAAAATATTCATTTCAGGAATGTTATTTAAGTAGGATAGAAAACTAGAGATGGAAAATTGCCTATAAACATAGATCTCCAGAGAACACATGAACCCACTAGAACTGCCTTCAAGAAGCAATAAACTCTCAAGCCCCATTCCCCTTCTGTAATGTAGGGAGGATACTGACCTAAATTGATCTTACAGCTTGCAAGGAGGTCTGTGAAGCACTTTGAAGCCTTTCAAGTGCAAGATGGTAAACGCTATAAGTAATCATCAATATGCCTTTAGAACATATTAAGACTTTCAAAAAAACAATTCATACATTTTATGATGTCAGTTGAACCCTCAACTTGAAGCAAATCCTAGCTACTTGAAAGCTACTTTATGCCCATCAGCATGCAGAGATATTAAAATAATACTACAAAATTTAGAATAAATTTAACTGTGGATAATGTGCCTAGCCTATAAAGGAAAGTCTTCCTATCAACAAACACTAAGGGAAGTTTGAAAGCAACAAGGAAGCACAACCCATATTCTCTTTTCTACCTCACCCCCCAAAGTATGGGATTACAGTGGTACCTCGGATTAAGTACTTAATTCGTTCCAGAGGTCCGTTCTTAACCTGAAACTGTTCTTAACCCGAAGCACCACTTTAGCTAATGGGGCCTCCTGCTGCCGGAGCCCGATTTCTGTTCTTATCCTGAAGCAAAGTTCTTAACCTGAAGCACTATTTCTGGCTTAGTGGAGTGTGTAACCTGAAGCATATGTAACCTGAAGCGTATGTAATCCAAGGTACCACTGTATGATACTTTTGACAGACAGCAAAATAAAAATTGGAGGATTATCTCTATGTTGTGGACTCTTCTTCATTGGAGGTTTTTAAGCAGAAGCTGGCTGGCCATCTGTCATGGATACTTTAATTGAGGTTCCTGTGTTGCAGGCGATTGGACTAGAAGACCCCTGGGTTCCCTAACTCTACAACCTTTTTCAGCCCAAGGACCACATTCCTGTGTGGACAACTTTCCAGGGATGCCAGTGGTGAGCAGGGTCAGCAGCAGAATTGCAACAGATGTGACTCTTACCTTTTTATGGTAGGTGACATTGCAGCCATGCCAGAGGTTTCTACCCCCCCCCATTCAACCACTACCTCAAGGTCAGTGTTTAAAAATACATTCCATACGGGCAACAGCACCCATGGAGTGTGTGGAACTGGGCTGGTGAGAGGAGGTGTATCTTGGGAGGCACCCCAGGACCTGGAGGGCCACATTTGGCCCCCAGGATTGAGGTTACCCATAACTGGTCTATAGTTCTCTCCATTACAATAAAAAACACAGCAGTTATCTGTAAGCTAGTGAAAGGATCATATCCACCATGTTCAGGGAAGCCTTAGCAAAACAAATATTTACAGAGAGTTTAAGGATATCTGTCATGTCAGTATCTTCACTGGAATGTTCTTGAGATGTGACACTGCCCAATAACCTGGTGATTCTTGTTTGAGATTTCACACCCCTGTCATGAGTTGATATTCTGTTGTTTGCTTGTAACACTCCCATATTCTACCTTAATGTGCTGAGAAACCTTAGCTTGCCCAGTAGAAGAATCCTTTTGTTTAATAAGTTTTTTCTTACAGTAATACCTGCATTGGAGTCATGAATTCAGTTGTGCAAAATAGGGAATACAAACTACAGTAGGTAGCCTCAAAGAAAGAGTAGACAAGGAACTATTACCACACAGGTGGAGAGATGAAACATGAAGTGGTATGACTTGCAACAAGGAAATCTCTTTAACCTTTGTATGTTATATTTCATTGTTTTACTTCCTTCATTAGTTTGGGTCAGGAATACTTTTCAAGATGACGAAATCTAAATCTACATGAAGATATTTACCAAGTATTAGTGCACTGAATAATGTATCCACCTGTTCTGTAAACCAGCAAAGCCTTAGCATTTCCCAGATGCAATGCAATACACTTATCTAGGCTGGTATCTCATAGCTATGAACAACAAGAGTTACTCTGGTAGCAATATACATTTGTGAATATTGTGAAGCAACTAGACAATGATCCAACACTGCTAGAAAAGCTGGACTACCCGTGAGACATGGGTCCAACGCCTAACAGAAAATAATGCCAAACTCAGCGCTGCAAGTGGCACTACTCTAGTGACAGGTGCCTCATTTGCAAAAGGGGAAGAGTCCCTTCTATGCTTCAGAAGGCCATTAGTTACCTTTAATCCTGGCACCTACTCATATAGAAAGTAGATTTAAAATGCTAAAAGACTGGAGGTATATGCTCTTTTACTGACTCTACATGCCATAGTAGGAATCAACCATCTGTGAGGTACTAAACCCTAATAGTTTAAGGCAGTGGTTCCCAATTATCTAACTACTGAGGACCCCATTTTTCAAAAGCAAAGCCAAGGACTGCCTGTTTTTGAAAATTTTGATATCTATAGTAGTTTTTGTTATGTGAATGGTGCCACAGACCCCCTAGATGGGTTACGCTGACCCATTGAGGTCTGCAGACCACCAACTGGGAACCACTGGTTTAAAAAATAATGTAATTTGCCTTCGCTTGCAATTCTACAAGGAGTAACTGAATAGTCCTGAAAAGTGTTTTGCACTTAAAACTACAGCTGTCGTTTTCTGTGAAAAGCAGAAGTTTGGCATGTACATAAACTCTTACATCAGCCCTCAAAACAGGAAGGTTGTTAGCAATATCTGTCTGACACTGAGCAGTCTATGCAAAATTAATTTGTGTTCTCAAGTCTAACAAGTTAGCAGGTCTCAACATCACAGAAACATCAATCAAAAGTTAACATGACTAGCTGCTCCAGGTCATACTGGAACACCGAGCTGCCTTCCAGAGTGGGTTGTCTGAGGCTGCAAATTAAGAACAATGTTTCTACCAGTCTATATCTTTGTGAACACCCACTTCAGTCAACACTGTTTGATCCTCCCTGCTATAATGCTAAATAACCTAAAACTCAAGAGGGAAAACAGTGCCTTTTCTCCTGACAAAGCAGAGTTCAAAGCTTGATCAAGATGACAACAGAGCAGGAATATCAAGAAGCACATAATTATTAACATGAAGCACTTTGCTTTTATAAAACGTACAACAAATCATTACCCTTCATTACACCAAAGCACATAGTCTGCAAGTTTAAATGAATATTGATTTCTTCCCCAATTAACAGTTTTCAAGGGCTCTCTACTCTGCTCTCTATTGTCTTTGGAGCCAATACTGCAACCCTGACTACATCTGTGTTGAAAAGTGTCCCAATAATTTTAAAGGGATTTAAACCTAACTAGGTATTCTCAGGATTACAGCATTAGCCCTCTCACTAGTGTCTGATTGTATGCTAGAAATCCTTTTCTTAGTTCTATTTCTTTCCAAACTAGTTAAAATGTTCCAAGTTATTTTTGTTATCTTTAGAACTATAATTAACCTTTCTAGGTGGAAAAATCAAAATTAGAAACAGAACTGTTAGAACCCAAAACTAAGATTTTGTCAAAGATGTATAACTTGCTGTTGAAATGGAATACACAGGATGAAACGGTGAAATTTGCTATGATTAAATGGGCACAAGATGTTGGACATAACATAATGATGGCTGACTAGGAACAGTTATGGACCACAGGTATGAAGTTTACGGCATGCAATGCCTTAAGAGAGAATATTATGAAAATGATATACAGGTGGTACATGACCCCAGTCAAGCTTGCAAAAATCTATCATCTGCCCGATAATAAATGTTGGAAATGTAAAGAAACTGAAGGTACATTCTTTCACCTTTGGTGGACGTGCCCAAGGATTAAGGCTTTCTGGGAGATGATCTATAATGAATTGAAAAAGGTATTTAAATATACCTTCTTGAAGAAACCAGAGGCCTTTCTCCTGGGCATAGTCAGCCAATTGGTGCTAAAGAAGGATAGAACTTTCTTTATGTATGCCACAACAGCAGCAAGAATACTTATTGCAAAGTATTGGAAGACACAAGACCTACCCACTCTGGAAGAATGGCACATGAAGGTGATGGACTACATGGAATTGGCGGAAATGACTGGCAGAATCCGAGACCAGGGAGAAGAGTTGGTGAAAGAAGATTGGAAGAAATTTAAAGACTATCTACAGAAATATTGCAAAATTAATGAATGTTAGAATGATGTTAGAATGAAGTTAGGTGGTTTAAGCAGTAATGCTATAAAGGTGTATGTAAAAATGGATTGATAACAGGTGAAAATTTAAAGTTATAGTATATTAAGTTAAAGGATTAAGAGAAAATAAAGAGGGAAAGAAATTGCTGAATTAACTAATTGAATTGGAATACAAAAAAGGGAGGTATGAGGAGGTCAGGGAAACAAGGATATGAATGTAAGGCATGGAAAGATTGATCTATTTTTTCCCCTTTTTAAGTGGTTTTTATTCTTTTATTCTGTATTTTGTATTTTTCTTGTATTTTTACTTCTGTCTTTCGTTTTTGCTTTTCTTGTTTTTATGTAATTCTTTTTTCTGAAATTTTAATAAATATCATTTAAAATATATATATAATTAATATTTCTACAGATTAAGTATTCCACATAAACCCATCAGAAGTGGTATCTTTATTTACATCTTATCTGGAGCATGTCATCTTCAAAAGGGTGGGGTTTTTTGGGGGGGGGGTGTCTTTTGTAAACAAGTTTCCCTCAGACTCCACAAACGTCTGGAGTTGTGAGCAAGAAAGAATGGCTAATTTCATTCTGAAGGTTTTGTATTATTGCACCACTTTCTCTAACTGACAATAATTCGACTGCGGCAGACCAACACAGCTACCTACCTGTAACTAGTGCGCATTTGTTACACTTCATATACTTAATATTTGCTGCTTTTACTAAAGGAGTAAGTCTGCCTTCATTTTTTGACTATACTCTTTAAATATTTCTATTGTGACAATTGGAGTGCCCTCTGAAAACAGCTTTAAAAATAGTATTCTACTGACCTGTTCTTCAGTATCAATATTAGCCTCCAAATTCCTATCGGCCAAAATAGGAGTTCCGTGTGCACATTTTTGAGCTATAAACTCCAGTTAAACCTGAAGAACCATCACAGACTGAGAACAAGCTGTGAATTCCATCCCATCACATGCAACACAACTGGAGTGTTGGCCAGTTTCCAAGCACAGCCTTTGCATAGATATGCCAACAAACATGATTTCAATCTGACAGATATTGCTAAAGGTTGAAGGCAAGTTCTAATGTTTCATCCAGGAAAAGTAGTAGCTGTACCTTGGTTTTCGAACAGCTTAGTTCTCGAATGTTTTGGCTCCCAAATGCCACAAACCCTGAGTGTTCCGGTTTGCAAACTATTTTTGGAAGCCAAACATCTGATGGGGCTTCCGATTGGCTGCAGGAACTTCCTGCAGCCAATCAGAAGCTGCACTTTGGTTTCTGAACCTTTTGGAAGTCAAACAGACTTCCGGAACGGATTCCGTTTGACTTCCAAGGGATGAATGTAATGTGAACCAAGGGCTGTGAAGCTGCTACATTTTCTGGGGATGCAAAGTCCCAACACAACTCCCTCTTCAACTGAACAAGTATTCCTGTACTCCTTCAAACCCATCCAGAATGGCATCAATAAGGTTGGAATCTCAGTATCCCCTCATGGGTAGGTGGTTGCCATGTTTACCTGTTCAGGAAGTTACCTGTTCAGGATGGGGCTGCACTGGCTCTGAAGGAACAAGTGCATTGCTTGGAGTACTCCTGAAAACACATTTGCAGCTAGAAGTCCAAGTGTCCTCTGTGGACAGGAGTGCCTTTTATGAGCTTCATCTCGTTCGTCTGGAACTACAGCTGTTCCTGAACAGGGAAAGCCTGACCACTGCAGTTCACCAAGTGTTGGAAACCTCAAGGCAAGATTACTGTAATGTGCACTATGTGGGGCTGCCCTTGGGTCTGGGTCAGAAACTCCAGCTGGTGCAGAATGTGGCACTCAGACTGCTGAAAGGAGCTCCTAGTTGAGAACACATGAAGACATTGTTAAAACAGGAGCACTAGCTGCCCATTTACTACTGAGCTGGGGTCATGGTTCTTGTATGAATTTACAAAGCCTGAACAACTTAGCTGTAGAGTGCCTCAAGAATTACCTGAACCCTTACATCCCAGATCGATCACTGAGATCACCTGCAGGAGCATCGCTGGTCATTCCCTGAGTTGGTAAGGCTCATTTGATAACAAGAGTCTTTATTTTCATTGGCTCAGTCCTGTGAACACTCTGCCAATGGAAATTCAGCAGACACCTTCTGTGCCATATTTTTAAAATGTCTGCTACAAACTTTTCTACCCTGCCAGGCCTAGCTATGCAGGCATTTAAGAACACATTCTTCTACAATGGTTAATTGATGTCTGTTTTTAACTTTGTTATGGTTTTTATTGTACAGTTTTATGTTTTATTGCTGTAACCCACTTCTATATATTTTTATAGCATAGCAGTGTATAAATATTTTTATTTTTTTTAAAAAGAGTACCCCTGATGGGATAAAATGGCAGATAGAAAGGCAGATCTACCCACCCTCCAAATTTTGTAAAAGGAAAACTTATATATTATATTAGTGAACAAGCCGCTTCCAGGGCTTCTGATTGAACTTTCAGTTCTCCACAGCCAGAAACCACATTTATGCTTAAATGAGCCTATTTTTGTTGTTAATCAGCATCTCATTGTCAAAATACTAAGGTAGTTCAGAATTCAGTTAATAACAGGTATGTCAGATCCAAATCACAGACAAAATACATTACGCTACCCAAGACAACTCAGCAGGCTGGAATGATTTAAAATTAGATACGAATTTTCAGTATAAATATGCCAGTAACCTCTACATATGTAAGGAACGCAGGTTCCATGGAAGGGAACTAAGTCAAACACACACAAAAACTCCTGTGGCTCACCACAGAGCACAAAAAAAATCAAAGCAAATACACAATGGAAAGATCAAAGTAAATGCATATACAGTGGTACCTCGGGATGTGAACGGGATCCGTTCCGGAGCCCTGTTCACATCCTGAATAGAACGTAAGACGCAACCGTGCAGGTCGCGTTTTGCCGCTTCCATGCATGCGCGTGAAGTCGTTTTGAGCGTCTGCGCATGCGCGAGGGGCGAAACCTGGAAGTAATGCACTCCGTTACTTCCAGGTTGTCGTCGAGCGTAACTTGAAAACGCTCAACCTGAAGCACATTCAACCTGAGGTATGACTGTAGTCCTGTTCACATACTGTTTGTGTGCACACACTATACTGTTGTAACCAGTCTCAACAATATTTGGAAACTTGAGTACTTTGAGAGGCAAGGGAACCTCTTCAGAAAACTCTTAACACCATCAAACTTACAGTTCCCATGAATCTCTGAAGGAAGTCATGACGGTCTTAGGGTAACCTGATTTAAATTTAATACCACCTTGTTTAGAGTTCTGGACAAGCTAAGCAGGAATTATTCTATTTCAAGCTCCTTCAAACAAGTCCAACATTATGCAGTGAAAGTTGCAAGTACAGGTGTCCAAATATTTTCCATGGTCCTAACTTAAATATACCTATGAGAGAACACTACATTCAAGCCCAGATCTGTTAACACTTCCTGAAATCAAGCTACACGCACTTCCATGCTACATCCATCCTTGAAGAAACATTTGTTTTGTGTTATGCGCCTTCATTTAAAAGGAAAAAAAGTCATCCAAGAATTCTCTGCAGCTATATAAAACCAAAACAGAGAATACTATTAACTCTATGCATATCTAGGTTAAGCTACCAGCTATGAAGTAAAAGGAAGTGTGCTATTACATAAAGTTTATTGCCAACTCTACAAAGTTTTTCCTGGAATTCAGCCCTGCCCAAGAATAATCACAAAATCAAAGGGAGAAAATGGAGGAATATATTTTTAGGTTTGAAAAATGAAAATTCACTTCCAATTTGCTTGCAGCTACTCATGTATGGCGAGAATTGCCTCCATTCAAGGAGGCTAATGATGAAAAATGGGTTCTTCCCATAACCCCTTCAGAAGATCGAATCAGGATTCAATGTGACCAAACTAACAAATGAAAGGCCTGGAAAAAACCCAGAAAAATTGGGGGAAACCAGGTTTCCCCCCGTTTTTTCCCAAAGCCGGTTTTTCCTGCGGGGGGTGGGGGAGTTTGATATACTTTGAATATGCCACACACTATTCCCCCCTCCCCATTTTTCCTGGAAAAAAATGCCTTTGGGGAAAAAAACCTGTCCCCCCACCCCCCATTTTTCCGTTTTTTCCCCAGGTCTTCCAGCACCCACACTTTGGAGCTCCCTGCCGCCTGATACCAGGCAGGTGTTCTCACTGTACTCTTTCCAGCAACTGCTCAAAACATTTTCGTTAGGGCCAGCCCATCTGAACACGTAAAAGCTGCATGCAATTTACTTCCTTTTAACCACTGCTGACTTTAATCATATTTGAATACAGTGGTACCACAGGTTACATACGCTTCAAATTACAAACACTTCGGGTTACAAACTAACCCGGAAGTAGTACCTCTGGTTGAGAACTTTGCCCCAGGATGAGAATGGAAATCGTGCTCCAGCGGCACAGCAGCAGCGGGAGGCCCCATTAGCGAAAGCGCGCCTCAGGTTTAGAATGGTTTCAGGTTAAGAACGGACTTCCGGAACAAATTACGTTCGTAACCCAAGGTACCACTGTACTCTTAAATACCTGCCTTTAACTGTGTTTTATCAGTCATATTAATGTTCTGTTGTATATTTTTGTAAACTGTTTAGAAAGCTCTCTTACCATCATGCAGTTTATAATACATAATAACAAATTCAATTTTAAAAACACACACACTCCTTTTCCTTTCAAACAGAGTTTGAGCCTTAGTGCAACATGTTATTCAATAACTGGATGTTGGTTACTTCTGGGCCTGGCATGCAACAAATTTGCCTTGCGATTAGCCCTGGCTGACCTCAAGTAGAGATGGCAAGGCCTGGAAAAACCCCGGAAAGAACAGGTTTTTCTCCATTAATTCCCAAAGCTGTTTTTTAGAAATCCATGAGAAAAATGACAGAGGAAGAGGAAGAAGAAATGGAAAATGATAGCAGTAGTTCAGAAAATGAGATAGAATAAACTACATGTATATGTTGTGTCTTCTGTTTTTTGTTTTTTTTAAAGCACTACTCAAAGGGTAGACCTTCTATGGAGCTTAAATACTGAGATGGATCTTAACTTTATTTGCTATTGGTGCTAAGGTGCAAATCTGATTATTTTTTATGTTGATGGTTTTTTGCTTTTTTGTTGCTTTTGAGGGAAAGGTGGGTGGTTACCTGTTTTATTGCAAGCGTAATACTTTTATATACACTGCGTTTCATGCAATTTGTAAAACTACTCCACACTGAACTTTTTTTCAATTTTTCCAAAATTTCCATTTTTTCCAGGGGAAAAAAGGGAAAAAATGTTTTTTTCTCTTGGCTTCAAAATTTCTGGAAATTTTACATCTCTAGTCAGGAATTTTAAGACAAATGAACAAATAAAGGATGGGGGATACCTAGTGTCCTGATCAAGTGACATCACAGTATCACTCTATTCTGCCTTGGTCACACTACACCTGGAAAATTGTGTCCAGTTCTGGACATCACCGTTTAATAAGCTGTTCAGTTTAATTAAACGTTTTGCCCAGCGCAGTTCCCTCATTGCGAGAAGTGAGGTTACAGGAAACCAGACAGAGGGCCTTCTCAGTTGTGGCGCACGCCCTGTGGAATGCCCTCCCATCAGATGTCAAGGAAATAAGCAGCTATCCTATTTTAAAAAGACATCTGAAGGCAGCCTTGTTTAGGGAAGTTTTTAATATTTAATGTTGTATTGTTTTTAACACTCGATTGGGAGCCGCCCAGAGCGGCTGGGGAAACTCAGCAAGATGGGTGGGGTATAAATAAAATTATTATTATTATTATTATTATTATTATTATTATTATTATTATTATTATTTTGACAAGCTGGAGCATGTGCAGAGAAGGGCACCCAAGATGATCAAGGGTCTGGAGAACCAAGCCTTATGAGGAACCGTTGAGGGTGTTGTGTATGTTGAAATATTCTTTGCCAAAGTAACATTCTCTGTTTGAAAACCACAGTCTCAAAGTCACATATAGATAACTTAGTTACGTCTAACCACATGGCCAACTTCTAATACCTGCAGGACTTGGACAGTGATCTTATGTATGTATTTATGTGTGTGGGTTTTTGTATGTAAATGTAAATGTATATGTAAAGGTAAAGGACCCCTGGACAGTTAAGTGCTGTCAAATTTGACTATGGGGTGCAGTGCACATCTATCTCTGTGTTCAGGCCGAGAGAGCCGACATTTGTCCACAGACAGCTTTCCGGATCATGTGGCCATCATGACTTAACTGCTTCTGGCACAACAGGACACCATGACGGAAGCCAGAGCACACGGAAATGCTGTTTACTTTCCCGCTGCAGGGGTACCTATTTATCTACTTGTAGTGGTGTGCTTTTGAACTGCTAGGTTTGCAGAAGCTGGGATAGAGCAATGGGAGCTTCCCCCGTCATGCTGATTTGAACCACCGACCTTCCAATCAGCAAGCCCAAGAGGCTCAGTGGTTTAGACCACAGCGCAACCCACGTCCCTCTATGCATATGTGTGTGTGTGTGTGTGTGTGTGTGTGTGTGCGCGCACACACACAAGCACCAATGCAAGCAGAGAAGTCTCTGCCTAGAAGAGCTTATAATTTAACATTCTACACAGGGGAATAATTTGAGAAAAACGTCACGTATGGTAAGAATGTATATTTAGCTACTGCTGAGAAAACCCATACCTTCCTCTAAAACTAGGAACTGAGGTTTGAAGAGCTGTAGAGGGTGGTAGTAGCGTATTATAACCAAGGAGGGAAGAAACATTATCTGTTGTTTCCATTTTTGTTCCTGCTGGTTTTAATCTTACCATGACATTTTAAGTTGTACTTTAAATTGGAGTTTTTTAAAGCATCTCTGTGGACCTTGACTTAGGTCCAAGATACCTTAGGGACCAGCTTCTCCCATGCAGCCAACCTACTACCAAAGATGTGATGGAGAAACTCTTATCTAGGTCCCAACTATGGTGTACGTTCAGCTGCTGGGGCTGAGTGAAAGTGCCTTCTCCATGGCTGCACCTAAATTAACGAATTATTTCCATTGAAAGGCTTGTATGCACCCTGCCAAAAGCTTTTGCCATACAATGAAGCACTTTGCTAGGCAGGCAAGACAAAGACCACAGATACTTAGCAGGCAAAAACCTTGTCAGAATTATTAAAAAGTCTTTTACCAACTGGTAATCATCCATCATGCAGCAACATGTTCCACAGCCTTGGTGCAGCCACTGATCATTTCAATTTCTAATCTTCTACCTACAACATTAGAAACTGAAATTATCAGCGGCTGCACCAAGGTTGTGGAACATGTTGCTGCATGTTGGATGAAGAACATACCATGAAAAAGTTGCAAGCTGTCACCTATTAAAGTCTCTGAAATGTTCTTAGATATTGGGAGTGGGAGAAGGGAAGAAGAGGACTGCACGAAACTTGGAAATTCAAGGTCTGCAACGAAGTTTAATCTTAATGATATTGGTAGAAAAGTTTCAAAGATCACCCTGTCCCAACATGAGCAAACCATGTAAAAAAACCAGAATCACAACAGGATCAGCTGAAGGATCACTGTGCCCCTTATCACAGAATTCACAGAAGAATTCAGCAACAACTACAAAAGTATTTGTTTCAACAGCTGAATGATTCCTCTGGGCCCCATCCAGGAAGGCAGATTCTCTTACAGTATACGCAGCACCAAGATCCTTCGTCACTTAAAACTCCCCATGCATAGCTACCAAATACATTCTGCGAGTATAGACCTATGCTTTAAACATAGAACTGTGAAAGGCAGCTTCCAAGATCCACATTTTAGCACAGAAAATCAACAAGCATTTGGCTTTTATTAGACTGTGGGTGAAGCAAGGTGAGATGGGTTGTATAATTCTATTCTTCATGGAAGTACTGCCATAATAAGTCTGTGGAAAGCAAATTGTGGCAAGAACCATGGATGAAGCCAATAAATCTGATTTCAAGTCACTTGAACAGCATTCATTAAATAAAGGTATGTTTTGGGTATCAAAAAGTACTGGATAGTTTCTACAGTCACCACAAAGCTAGGTGTCTACAACAGGGGTGGAGAACACACCAGACCTCTTTACCCAGACCTCAGGAACCCTCCCCAGGCCACATCCCTCACCAGTTCTGCTTTGTGCCCCTTTCTACTCTTTTAATATGGTTGAAATGTGTTCTTCAACTATGATAATACTTTGTTTGCCTGGACAGAAAGATGGTTTTTGTATGGCTGAAATTTAGCCTACTGAACAAAGGGTTTACCCTGTCTTCTTTTATGTCTGGCCCAATGTTAGAAACTCATATATGAAAGCTATGAGCCACAATAATCCACCAACACCATACAAATCAATATGGCTAACCTGATCCAAAACACCCACCCACCTCACTCACACACGAAAACAAAGATCACCACAGCCAATGACAAACAAACAATCACACCCTAGGTCAATCCCAACCTCTCTCACCACCAAAGGAACACAAGTGAACAACACAAGCAACGCTGACACCAAACTCTACATACATTAAGCATAATAGAAACATTGCCACCCGACCCCACCCCCATCCATCTCCCCTCCCTCCACCCCCCTTTCTTTTTCCTTCCTTTTCCCCCCTTTCTTCTTTTCCCCCTAATGCCTCAACAAATGAAACGGATTTGTAAAAATGTTACATGGGAAAACAAAACAAAACGAGGCATTACACTTACTTCTGCAAAACAAGAAAATCCTTAATAAAATATTTTTTTAAAAAAAGCTATGAGCCAAATGGCTCCTGGAACCTGGGTTACAGGTGCAAAAACAGAATGGCTAGTCGCCATTTCTGCCCCCCCAAAAACTATGGTTTGGTATTACATCTCAAGGAGCCCATTGTGTCCCACTGTAATCTTTGAGATATAGGCAAAGCAAGGAAGTCTGAAATAGTTAAAACAGACTGAACATTAAACTAGAGAAAGCAAAAAGGTATAATTATATCATTAACAACTAATAACTCCAGACTCAAGACAACTTTGGTCCACTGTACCCAAATATACACTAACTTGCAAACTTTCAAGCTTATGGATTACTAACTGCTCATCTTTTTAACATAAAACTTACAACACAATCCTATATGTGTCTACTCAAAAGTTAAATCCACTAAAGTTCAGTAAGACTGACTTCCAGGAAATTGGGTAGAGGGTTGCAGCCTTACCATGAAATCTAATGTCACAGGAACAGAGGATGTTACTTTATACTACATCAGACCAAGGGTCAATCTGCAATATTATGAATGCTGACTAGTTCATCTAATAGATTTCTCTACCTGGAAGCACCACAGACTGAACCCAGTAGCATATGGTGGTGTGGGCCACCAGTGCTTGCTTACTTGACCTTCTGGCAGGTAGGCTATCTCTGTTTACTGTGGGGAAGAGTGGGAGGGGCAAAGCAGTTGAGAGGTTAGAACTGCCTAAATGTACTGGAAAGAGCATCTTATTTGGCTCTGCTGGTGTGCTTGTACATAGCCAAACTACCCGCTGCTTTGTCCCTCCCAGGAACCAGCAGCAACCCACCTGCAAGGTCAGGTAAGCCCCACTCCCCTGTCTGCTAGCGAATGAACTAGGAAACTTTTGTACGTGAGGCAGGTGCTCTATTACTGAGCTACATCCGTTCCTGACTTACAATTTGAAATGCTACCTAATATACTGGTTCAGTAAAAAATAGTTACCATATACAGTTAAAGTTGTATCTAAGCGATACTGGGTGGTTTATGAAGGAAGATTAAAAAATCCCACTCCCCCACCCCTCCCTCTCTCTCTCTCTCTCTCTCTCTCTCTCTCTCTCTCTCTCACACACACACACACACACACACACACACTATTCTTTTAAAACAAGACATGTAAAGAAGATGGATCTAACTATGACAAAACTGAGACACGACATTAAATGGTTAAAACAATTGGAAACACTAAAGTTCTGAAATTATGGATTTGTGGGCAAGTCAGAAATTGTTGGGCAGTAATCAATTTTATAGTAGGTTAGAAACCAATTACCTTGCCAAAGTACCAAAATCTAGAGCAAGATCTTCGAGCTGTGTCAGTTTCTAGCCACCTTCCAAGGAGCTCATGTGATTTTTTTTTTTTTAGATTAATTTATAGTGGCCAGCTCCTTGATGCATATGATGGAATTAGAGAAGAATGAAAGTAATTGGAGGGTTCATTGACCTTTTGAGATATGCTAGATTTAGATGATAAAAGAGCGCAAAGGAATCAGAATCTTTTGATCCATAAAGAATGTAAAGAGATAAAACTGGTCAACAAAAGGGAACCCAAAGCAATAAAACCTACTGGTCCTACCAGAGCACCCTTGTTGTTTTAAAAAAACCACAGGTCCTTTTGATGGGTTTAGTGGCATTACACAAACACCCAACAGATTAGCAAATAACTAGTGGGAAATGCATCACACTCAAGCACATCCATCCACACGTATACAGTTCCAGAATACTAGCTGCATTCGTCTGTGACAACAAAATGACAAAAAGTACTTCCTTTATTTAAATTCATGCAAGCACCACGGACAGACAAGTATTACTTACAGGTATAAATCTTGACCCAGTTGTAATGTTCCCATTATTGAGTGCACATTATGGAATGCACAACTTCCATATTAGCACCCCCTCCCCAAATTCCTGGTTCCTTAACTGGGAGTCTATCTAGCAATAGAGACCAAATAATGCTTAATGTTCAATAAGACTATCAAAACACTTTTTCATGATCAGAGGTGGTGCATGCAGCAGTGAGCTGGCCACATAAATCCTACCTTAGCATTAGTAAAAGTGTAACTATTTTATAATCTATTTCAGTGCTCACAACAAGACATGGCACTTAAAAAGTCCAAAACAAAGCACAGCTTTACTTCCTCCACTAGGGAAAGTGAGTAAAAGAACAAGATGGGGTCAGTTGCTGCAAGATAAGGTGCTAGTAACTCTACTGAAACATTCTGGGGTTGGCCAGTGCTTGGTGCAAACAAGCTTAAGCGTGAATTTGGCAGGAGCAGCTCAGCAGCAGTTTAAGGCTGCTGACAGAGATGTTCCATGGCCAACAGCAACTCCTCAGATGTTTCTGCATGTTTCAAGCATGAAACAAAAGCATGCCACAAAGAAGTAACAGCTTGCTCTTCACATCCCAAACCTCTTCTCCCTTCAACAATGATAGTGAATGTTGAATGTGCAAGTGTATGTCTAGAACAAACACCATTAGATGTACTGATGGATAAGTGTTTAATACTTATTGTATTTGTTTAAAAATCAATTTTATTTATATATAGTGGACCCTTGGGTTACGTACCTCTCTGGATACATAATCTTTGGGTTGCGAAAGCGGCAAACCCGGAAGTATTTTTCTGGGTTTCACCACTTGTGCATGCACAGAAGCACTCTATCACGCTATGCATGTGCGCAGAAGCGGCGCCGCTGGTTATGGATTTTTCGGGGTACGCACAGACCTCTGGAACTAATTAAATCCCTATCCAGAGGGTCCACTGTGTGTATACAGAGCTCTACAGTCATCATGATGTAGGCAGAGCCTGTTGGAATTTATTTAATAAAATGTATATACCATACCTTTCTTATTTAATAACATGTATATATTTGGCCAAACTGCGGGAGGCAGTAGAAGACAGGAGTGCCTGGCGTGCTCCGGTCCATGGGGTCACGAAGAGTCAGACACGACTAAATGACTAAACAACAACAATATACCACTTGGTAAAGCTTCTAAGTGGTTTAACAAGAATGAAAAGTGGTAAAAACGTAGAGTCACCTCTCAAGTGCTCCTGGACTGAAAGAACATCCCCACTGAGACTTTTCCCAAAATCGCCCTCAAAAATATATACGCTCCCCCCTCTGCCATGTCACTCTTGGACTTCTTGCAGATTTGCTCAATGGTCAGGCTGAAAGCACATTAGCGACACCTAAGAGTACTAACGGCAAAAGGCAAGTCAGAACCTGGGATGCAGCAACTGCCCCAGTGTAACCCACCCTCCCCCACCCAGCATGCTTTTCACCACAGCCCTCTCTCACCTGCATACCAGGCACCTGCATGGCGACGGGGGAGTGGGCCATGGTGATCTCAACCCTTCCTTTGGTCTCTCCTCTCCTCCTTGCAGAGGCCTCTCCTCCTGCTGCCGGGTAACCACCGCCTCTGCTATTACTGCTTCAGCTGCAACGGAGCCTTTGGGTGGAGGGTAGGGGAAGGAAGCAGAGCATTAAAACACCTTCAGCTGCACCTTCGCCAGCTCTGCGGACCTCAACACACTCCTTTGCTGACCCGCCACCATCCTCCAGCCCCTTCTTTGGCTCTCCCCCTAGACTACTGGTGCCAGGTGGAGGTGAAGCAATTCACCACAAACACACACACTCCGTTTTAAAGCCACCTCTCTCCCCTACACCCTTCCGCCCCAACCAATCCCCAGATTTCTTCCCTCTAGGTCCGCTCCTATACCTCACTCTTTCTTCTCAGCCGCCAGCTGCCTCTACTTTGGAGCCCCGGGTCTATCGCGGGGGGAGGAGGAGGAAGACGAGGGAAAGGGCACCCCCCCCCGCACTCACTCAGCTGTCAGATTTTCCACTCTGAGGCCTCTATTTTCCCGCCCCCCCCCGCTCAGCCTCAGCCCCATCCTGCCCCCCGCCCCGCACCCTCCACGGAGCTTCCCCGCTTGTGTCGCGTCCCTTCCGCGGCCCACCTCGGCTCTTCTCCGCGCTCCTCGCGCTCTCGCCTTCCGGGCTAGCGGCGTGAAGGAGCCATCGGCCAGGCGGCGGCGGCGGTCGCCCTGCGGCTGCTGCTCCTCGCGGCCTGCCCGGCTCCGTCGGCGGGTGCTGCTGCTGCTCCTCCTCCTCCGCCGGCGGCGGCGCAGCAGCCCATGACCCGCGCCCTCCGCGGGGAAGCAGCAGCGGCTCGGCGGCGGCGGCGGCGGCGAAGGAGGTGGGCGCAGGAGGAGGCGGAGGCGGAGGCCCCGGCGGGCGCCAGGCGGAGTCGCCTCAGGAGGACGCCGCCGCGGCCATGTTGGCGGGGACGGGGGAGAGGAGGAGGCGGCGGCGGCGGCGGCGGCCGAGGCAGCGACCGGAGAGGCCGAGGCAGCTGCCTCCGCGGGGCCCGAACCCTCGCGCTCTCCCGCAGCTCCCTCTCTCCCTCGCTGGCGGCGACGGCGGCGGCGGCGGACTCCTGCTTCCCAGTCGGCCCAGCGAGGCAGCGGCAGAGACTGATCCGCGGCCTCCGTCTCCGCAGCGTCACCCTCCGCCCGCCTACGGGGAGGGGACACCCGCGGGGAGGGAGGAAATTGGGCCGCGGGGGAGGGAATCGCGAGGTGGGGGGGGGACGGGGTGCCCCAGTGCGTTTGGGGCGCGTGCGAGTCCTGGGCGAGAATGGTGAGGGACGGGGGGGTAGGGGGGTGTCCGAAATGGGGGCGGGGAGGCAAGGAGGCTGTGAGGCGAAGGGTGAGGGAAGCGGGTGGGTGGGGGGCGCTGAGGGGGAAATAATGGGGTGCTCTGGTGGAGGCCGAGGAGGATTGTGAGCGATGTGAGGGGCAGCTGGAGTGGGGGGTGGGGTGCCCATAATGGGGGCACCTTGGCGCGGGTGGGGGACGCTGAAGATGGATGTGAGGAGGATTATGAGGGACACGTAGGACTGGGGGGAGGGGCAGCTGAGGGGAAAATGGGGATCCCTAGGTGTGGGGTGTCCTGGTGATGCTGGGGGGTCGCTGTGGTGGATCGGAGAGCGAAAGGGGCTCAGGTAAACGGGTGGGGGGAATTGTGAGGAGCAAAGTAACTGAGGGGAAATGGCAACTTGGGCTGAAGGGGGGAATGCAGTGGGGGGTCAGGTAAGAGAGAATATTGTGGGGGGGGGCTAATGGAGGCCTAATTGAAAATGCACTGGGGAAATCGAGGAAGTTCAGGGGTGGGGGTAAGCAGTGTTCCAAAGGAAAGTGGGGCGCATAGGCGTGGGTGAATTGGGGTGCTGAGAAGGACCAGAGGTGCAGGGCATGGGAGCTCAAAACAACAAGTTTTAGTGGGCTAAAGGAGAAGCCATGGGGGATGTTGGGGGAGTTGCAGGGTGAACTTCAGGGAAAGTAGGGGACACCCATGGGGAGAGGGAATCTTTGATTGTGATTATACTCATTGCTTTGTCCAGAGTTACACTGGAAACATAGAGAGAGCCGTGCCCTCAAGGAGCTTACACTCTAAGATGCAGGGAGGGAGACAAGGGTATGAAATAGAAACGCTGAGAAGCGGTCCACTTTGTGGAGGATGGTGAAGGGACAAAGCCTGGTAAAAGCCCTGTTGAAAAGGTGGGTTTTGAGGATGGGGGCTAATGGGGAAACTGGGATCCATAGCTGAGTGAACTTGGCCTGAGAGCAGTATGGGAGGAAGCTGAGAGAGATTTGGGCCTTTAATTGAGTGAGCTGGAGGGAAGGTGCAGAGCCTGAACTCAGGAGGAGCATAGAAAAAATGGGGATCCAGGGGGATCGAGTGAGGGAAAGCTGAAAGTGTGGGAGCATGGATGGGAAACCTGTGGCCTTTAAGATGTTGGACTCCAGTTCCCATCATCCCCAGCCACAAGAGGCCGTAGTCTGGGATGATGGAAGTTGTAGTACAGCTGGAAGGCACCTTGAATGGTACTGAAAGGGAACACACATCTTCCATTTTTTTTTAATTGGTACCCACAGTGATTTACATGTGCAAAGGATGATTGCATCATATATTTATTTATTTATTGCATTAAAAGTTGTTTCAGTTATATATTCCACGTTGCTCAGGTGGGATACAGGCCTTCCATTCTCACAACAGCTCTGTGTCATAGGTTAGACCAGGGGTTGCCAACCTGCTGGGCGTGAAAGCTTCTGTTGGTGCTCCAGACTCTGAGCTTTCATTTAAAATAGAATTAAGCCCTCTTAGAAAGAAAGTTATGGGGCAAAATTTACAGGTGACTTCCAAGTGATTTCTGTGAGATGAGAGTGGTATGGCTCCCTTCTATGTTTTTTTACTTGTACTGAAGAATGCTCTATTGTTATTACATAGCAACAGCATCGGTGTGCATATGCAATCTCCATAATTAGGAGCAGCAGGGTATAGCTGACTTCCCATGGTAAGCAAAAGGTTGTCAGAGGTAGTTGTCTCTGTGATTTTGTGTAATGTCACACACTCCACAGCAGCTATTTTGTGTTATGCCATGCCCCCTTTGTGGTAGTAATTTTGTGACTGGTGCCTCAGCACTCTCTCAAAATTTGAAATGTTCCCAGTAGTCCAAAAAGGTTAGCGACCCCTGGTTAGACAGAGAAACTGGTTACAGTCACATTGGGCTTTATGGCTGAGTGAGGATTTAAACTGCGGTGTGCAAGAGACTTAAATAAGAACAGGAAAATCGACAATGGTTAAAAAAAAAACTTGCCCTTTCCACTTTCGTTTCGTTTCTGCCTAGAAGTAGGGCTGTTGTGGCCCTTGGATACAAGAACATAAATTCCCAATTCCAACCCTTACTCCACCTTTCCTTTCTGATTAATACTAAATGTTGATGGTGCAACATGTTTACTTAGGAATCACTCCCAAATAAGTATGCACAGAATTGTTGCCCAAGCCTAAAAAAACCTGACATAATCTGAGAGGATGCATGAAAATTTGCTTCCTTTCCTTTTTTGCCTGACAAAAAAACATTCTGAATAACTCGAAAGGCTTATATATTATTTCACCAATGTAAATTAAGCAAATAAGACATCTTTTAAAAAGTAAAAAGAGCCCTGCTGGATCAAACCAAGGCAGGTCCATTGTCTTGCTTTCCTGGGTCATAAACCAGATGCCTCTTAGGTTTAAGCAGCATACACACAATATAATCTACATTCAATGCGCACTGAGATTTCTCTCCCCCCCCCACCTAATCCACACACAATCTGGACCTTTTGCACATTTTATGCCCCTGAAAAGCACTTTTTCACAAACTAGTTTCATTTCAAAAATAAAAGCTCAATGCAGATTGATTCTGCAATTCAGGTAGGTAGCCATATTGGTCTGACACAGTAGAAATATATATATATATATATATATATTGTCCAGTAGCACCTTAAGAGACCAACTAAGTTTGTTCTTGGTATGAGCTTTTGTGTGCATGCACACTTCTTCAGATACTTTTTCTGAAGAAGTGTGCATGCACACGAAAGCTCATACCAAGAACAAACTTAGTTGGTCTCTAAGGTGCTACTAGTCAATTTTTTAATTTTTTAATATATATTTCTATTGATTCTGCAATGCATTTGAAAATGGACAGAGGTGGTCCCAGTATACTTTGCCCAATGCTGTCGTATGGAAGCATGTACCAAGATCGCAATTGCCACTTCTTCACATGTGCAAAGAAGAAAGGGGGAGGGTTTTCAAATGCATATCAAGTAACCACACACATCTTTGTGGACAGCATGATCTATAATGGAAAGAAGCACATTGTGGACAAGTGTGCACTCAAACAACTAGTTTTTGCTTTAAATGGATAAATATGTACACAGACTTAGGGGACCATTGTTTGGATGAAGCCTGCAACCTTTTTTCTGTAGCAGTTCCTCAGCAACTGGTGCTCAGTGGCATACTGCCTATGAACCAGGAGTGTACCACAAAATTAATCTGGATATCTTTTAAGAGGGCAGTAAAAAAGCAACTAACGCCTGAATTCTATCAGCAACTCATGGCTTAAACCAATACTGTTTACATATCTCAGAATTATATCAGTTAAGCCTATGCACTACCACACAGGATTTTTCCAAGTTCTCAAAGGTATTAAAACTTTCAATTTACTTTGCTCCCTTGCCATCCTATAATAACAAATTTGTTTGCAGTCTGACTGAACTAAAAGCATAATATCCCTTAGTCATCTGACAAACTGTCCTTATTTCTCTCTCCCAGGTAGACCATTTTGTGATAAATGGTTTTGAGGGCTCATACTATATGCAATATTTACACATTTTTAAAATAATGAAACCATTGAAAAGTAGGTGTTTCTAAAATAAAACCCAGTCTTAATTGCATTCTGCAACATTTCAGGAAATTCAAAAGTACCCATTCATTGGATTTCTGAATGTCCATTGAGCTACTGAACAGTCCTTGACTGCTTTGAACCCAGCAATCTTCAGCTGATCCAGACCCAGAACCCACCTCGGACACCCAACCTACAACATAGAACTTTCACTTTCAATTACTACTAATAACACACATTGCTAATCCTAAAATGGCAGTTAAGAGGAATACTGTATACATAGCGTTACCTTGGTACTACTATTACCAGGGATATTTTGCCCCTTATGTCACCTTTCCTGTGTATATAACGGGATACATAATCAAAGGAACGGGGGAGGACAGGCAAAGCCCGCCTTGGGAAGCAGTCTCTGTGCCACAAATTATTTTTGTCCAGTAGAAGTGTTGCCTATCTAACCCTCTTTCTGGTACTGCAGCGCAGCAGCACAGGCAGCTAGCTTCCTTGGTGAGTTTTCTGTTGGCCTCCTTGTAGCTTCAGGTTAAAAGCAGCTTTAAAAGCAGCAGGAATGCTGTGTTTATTACTTTTTTTGGGTAAGGTTTTAAATTATTATTTCATTTTATAATGTATATCAAACAAAGAACAATAATAATAATAGACAAAAATTAAAGGAACAACCAAAACTATAAAACAGGCACATAGAATTAGTAGTTGCACGTCTTAGAAATAACAAGTCTTTATTGCTGTTGTCAATGCAATAGCAAGTTGTGAGAACATAAGAGCCCTACTGCATCAGGCCAAGTTTTTGATTTTTGAACAGATGTAGGCCATCACAGTCCAGTGTAAAAGAATAATTATAAATATTTCAATGAACAAACAAATGTAGAACAATGCTCTGAATTTACACATCAGCTGCTAATGCAGTATCTTGGTCCTCATGATGGATATGGCATTACAATATAAAGTTTGTATTTCTATTCTCACTTTGAAAAACTGCATTTTAAATTATAGAGTTGTGTCCTCCACTTTTCTACCAAATTTAATTCTGATATCTGATATTAGAGGGTGTTACTGCATTGTGAACAGACACACAAATAGAATGTGCTATAGACAAATTAAAGGCCACTTGCTCAGTAATGTTATTTGGGGATGAAATAGGAGAATCAGGAAATACTGATCTAGCCTATTCTGATCCCACCATAATCCCACACTATTCATTAGTTGGGGGTATGCTATCCTGGAACCTTAATTGTGGACCAAGGACAGAAATTGTCATCTTTCAGCCTTGGAAGGAAGTGACCATGTCCTCTTGGGGTTCATTATGCAGAGGAAAGGGAAAGCCGAGTGTAAGCAGATGTATACTCTGGAATTTAGGAAAGCTGATTTCAAAAAGCTTAAGGAAATGCTGGGTGTGATCCCATGGTCAAAAATACTCAAAGAGAAGGGAGTTCACAAAGGATGGGAGTTTCTGAAAGGTGATATATTGAATGCAGAATTGCAAACAATTACAACAAGAAAGAAAGTTTGGAGGTATCTAAAGAAACCGGCGTAGCTATATAATTAGTTTTTAGATGACCTGAGATTTAAAAGGGGATTTTATAATAAGTGGAAGAAGTGGCAAATCATGAAGGAAGCATATAAATGAGTATCCAAATCTTGCAGGGAAAAGATCAGGCAGGCTAAAATTCAGAATGAGCTCAGGCTTGCAAGGGGTGAAAAATAATAAAATGTGAAGCAAGAAGAAGAACAAGCAATTAGGTCAGGCTTCCTCAACCTCGGCCCTCCAGATGTTTTTGGGCTACAACTCCCATGATCCCTAGCTAGCAGGACCAGTGGTCAAGGATGATGGGAATTGTAGTCTCAAAACATCTGGAGGGCCAAGGCTGAGGAAGCCTGAATTAGGTCCGCTGTGTTGAGAAGCTGGAGAAATGCTGAGTGATGACAGAGAGAAGGCAGAAGAACTGAATACCTGCTTTGCCTCTGTCTTCACCTGAAAGGAAAACAGTCCCCAACTTGGTGATAATACAATAAATGATGCAGGCAGGGAGCTGCAGCCCAAGATAGGAAAATAGGTGGTAAGGGAACACCCAGCTACTTTAAATGAATTTAAACCTCTAGGAACTGATTAACTATATGCAAGGGTACTAAAAGAACTTGTAGATGTAATCTCAGAGCCCCTGCAAATAATCATTGAGAATTCTTAGAAAACAGATAAGGTCTCTGTGGACTGAAGACGGGCAAATCTTGTCCCCATCTTTAAAAATCGGGGGTGGGGAGAAGACCCTGGCAACTACTTGGTGTTGATACTAAGAAAAGTTTTTGAACAGATAATGAAATGGTGCATGATGGCTTAGAAAAGGATACTGTGATTTCTAAGATTATGAATTTCTCAAAAGAAGTCATGCCAAGCCAGTTCATTTCTCTCTCTCCCTCTAGCGTTACAAGCTTCCTGGACCAGGGGAATACTATGGATGTCGTGTTTGTTGATTTCACTAAGACTTTCAACAAAGTCCCCTATTTTCCCTTGGAGAAGCTGATAAAATGGAGGCAGTGGAAGACAGGAGTGCCTGGCGTGCTCTGGTCCATGGGGTCACAAAGAGTTGGACACGACTAAACAACAACAATACATTGTTACTTTTAGGTGAATTTGTAGATGGTTGACTGAGCAAGCCAAAAAGTGTTCACCAGAGGTTCTGCATCATCCTGGGAAAAAGTGACAAATGGATGCTCATCAAATTTGCGGGTGACACCAAACTGGGTGGGGTAGCTAATACCTCAGAAGATAGGATCAAGATTCAAGATAACCTTAACAGACTGGAGAACTGGGACCAAACTAACAAAATGAATTTCAATAGGGACAAATGTAAGGTTCTAAACTTAGGCAGGAATAATCGACTTGCACAAGTACAGAGTGGAGTACAGCTGACTTGCCTTGTGAAAAGGATCTAGGGGTCTTTGTAGAGCACAAATGTAACACGAGTCAACAGTGTGATGCAGCAGCAAAAAAAAGTTAATGGGTTTCTAGGTTGCATCAATAGAAGTCTAGTCCAGATCCAGTAATAGTCCTGCTCTATTCTGCCTTGGTCAGACCACACCTGCAATACTGTGTCCAGTTCTGGGCACCACAGTTTAAGAAGGATCTCGTCAAGCTAGAACATACGCAGAGAAGGGCAACCAAGATGATCAAGGGTCTGGAAACCAAGCCTTATGAGGAACAGTTGAGGGAGTTGTGTGTTTTGAGAAGACTCTGAGGTGGTAAGATGCCTATCGTCAAATACCTGATGGGTTGTCACATGGAAGATGACGCAAGCTTGATTTTCCCTACTCCAGAGGGTAGGACTGGAACTGATGGCTTCAACTTTCAAGAAAGGAGGTTCCAAGTAAATATTAGGAAGAACTTTCTGAGGGTATGAGCTGTTTGACAGTGGGAACAGACTACCTTAAAAGGTGGTGAACTCCCTTTCATTTGATGTCTTTAAAGAGAAGTTGGCCATCTGTCTGGGATTATTTAGCTGTGATTCCTGCATTGCAGAGGATTGAACTAGATGATCCTTGAGGTCCTTTCCAACTTTACAATTCTATGATCTGTCAACGATCGCTCAAGTCCAAGAACTGATTACAGAAAGTTAGACTAGATTATCATTGAATGCTTCTTGAAACTGTTCAGTTGTGGCAGACCTAACACTAATTGCTTCTGAGTATCGGTGATAAAGAGGGTGGATTTAACTACAGAATGATGATTCACCATGGTGACTAACAATCCAGAAGCCTGACCAGGAAATCAAGTCATAATTTTCACCTGCCTTTAAAGACGTATTTACAGTAATAAATTATGTGCAAATTGTCTCCAAACCTTTCTTAAATGATCCAGCAGTCAGACAATGGAACTTACTACAAAAGGGTCTGAATGTGGATAAAATTTTGGCATAAATGCAATATATTAATAGTAGATTCCAAGTCTGTTCACAGCCCCTACAGCCTGAGACTACTTTGTGGAAGCATGATTTAGACATGAAATATTTACACACCAACTCCAAACAGAACCAACTGATAAACATTTAATTTTTGTTAGGTGACTTTAAAAATATGCTTCACAAATTGAAACCTCAGTTCAATTTATTCATTGCCAGGAGGCTTGTACCGCAGTGGGTTTAAATAAGTTGTTTCAGGATCTATATAATATATTTTACTGGGTCACTTAGCACTGAAGACCATAGGAAGCTTTTTTATTTCATGAAGTTCTTTGCAACTTAGAAGCTTGCCACTTTTACCAAAATAATTGTTTCAATAAAAATTGAGACATATAATTTTAACTATATTAAGTTTGATAACTGAGGCCAGGAGAACAGCTATACACAAAACAGATACAGTTTTTGTATAATGGGAAATTACAAGGGAGTATTGGGTTTTCCCCCCAAATGCCTATTTAAAAACTCAATGTGAAAAAAAAATTGATGGAATTCTCACCCCTGTTCACAGATGGTGACACCAAACTACAAAAGTGACTTGAATGTTGATATTTTACCTCTAGAAACACCTGCTCCAATCCTGCCCAAATGAAAGCTCATTATATCTATTGTATAAACAAGGAGATAAATGCCTACTTGAGAACTGGTGAGTCAAAATGAACTTCAACAAATCAGCTCTTCTTCCAATATCGTACTATAGCTTGCCTTTTCTTCCCTCATCTGAAACTAGGAGGTGGCTGAGCTAGTATTTGAATTTGAACGACAGAAGTATGCCCTGAACATGCGTATCAGATTTTATTTCAGTGCCACATGATAGCCAGCAGAATGTGCAACTGGTCCACAGCTCTCTTGAAGACAATTAAGTTTTCAGTGAACCAAAATCTAGGTTTTCAAAAGTTTCCAGTGTTACGGAAATGACAGGGGTGGGGCACATCTTTAAAGTTGTTACAATGTTACAAATATTATGTCAATGTATCTTTTTAACTTGACAGCTCAGGAAAGATACCTAGTTTTATAAATTCATATAAAATCAGTATTTTGACCGATTCTCTTCATTCCAATGCCATTTTGGCGTTAGAGGAAAGGACTCCTTTACCTTTCTCTCCTGCCATAATCCCTCAAGCGTGAGGGCACATACACAACACCCTGGGTGCTCTTATACAACAAACTACAAGAAGGAAGATAAACAAACTGGACTTTTTTTGAAGTAAGGAAAGTTATACAAAAAAATGCACAGGGAAGTGGTGGGATTACAGTTGCAGCATCATATAACTCCCAGCCAAAAATAAATTGGGACACTCTGAACAACAAGCAACACGCCAGCTAATAATATACTGACAATATTTTTATAACACTATACTGTTTCAAAATTCATAAACAGAAGACATATAATATGTGCATGGAGTCACAAACTAATAAGAATCAAATAAATGTTCCATGAACAGGAATGGTAGGAGTGGTAGGTTGCTGTCAAAGATCACTGAAATGGAGGCAAAATGCCTTTCCACAGTCAACATCCTACAAACGTGAGATGCTGGGTGATGCAAACTTCGCAATAGGGTGCTCCAAGCACAGCAGCAGACTACACTTCTTCCAGGATAATGAACTGTTTCAATGATAAATCTTCACCAGCAAATTAATAGTCCCCGAAGTACATCAAATGGCCATGGATCAGCTATCACTAAAAAATGTAGTAAGCTGATGGTGTAAAAATAAATTGGAATCAATATTCAATAAACAACTGCTGTCATGTGACCTCTCTGCAAACCAATTGCAGTGAATGCTTAACATGCAGGTCATCTAGAAGTGACCCTTGTGCAAGGCTGGGCAGCCTCAGGCTTTGGGACCAATGCAGCTTCACCAGGCCTTTTTACCTGGCCACACAGCCTCAAAGGCCAAGCTTTGCACCCCAAGTGGTTTTTTGCTGGGGTGCAACATGTCCTTCAACTCTGATGACTCTTGCTTACCTGGATGGAAGATATACAGGGATGTGCAACTGTGTATAGAAACTACTATATTGCATAAATGTAAACTTTATATTCAAGCTCTGAAAAAGCTTGTGTCTGGCCCTGCCCACCTCTGGCGCATGGTTCCCAGAAGGTTGCCCAAAAGGGAATTCATGTCTTGGGGCTGAACAGGTTCTTCACCCCTGCCTTAGTGGAATGTATTGCTGGGTCAATGTCTGTGGGAAACACTGTGTGTGCATGTGCCTCCCCAGTACATTGTGTGAAGCTTTGGTGATGCACGACTGCCAGAAATTCCTTGCTGGAAAAGTCGCACCCTTTGAAAGTCCTCTTTCTGGAAAGGTGGCGGGGGCAGGGAATCACCAAATTTGAAATTAAAGGTGAAGATTCTTTTTGAGTTAACCATCTGCTTTATTTTTTTCTCCTTGTGCAAGGTCTGTGAGATTTAGACCTGTCAGCAGCCTCCAACATGGTTGATCACGAACTTTTGGACCACCGCCTTGCCGACGTGGGGATTCAGGGTACAGTTCAACAATGGCTGTGCTCCTTTATCTCAGGTCGGGGACAGAGGGTGGCGCTAGGGAGGGAGTTGTCGCCGTGGCACTCCTTGGTGTGTGGAGTCTCGCAGGGTGCAATCCTTTCCCCGATACTTTTACATATCTTTATGCATCCCCTTGACCAGATTGTCCGGAGCTTTGGGCTGGGTTGTCATCAATATGCTGATGACACCCAGCTTTATTTGTTGATGGACGGCCGCCCTGACTTGGCCCCGGACACACTGACCAGATGCTTGGAAGCTGTGGCTAGATGGCTGCGTGGGAGCCACTTGAAGTTAAATCCTTCGAAGACAGAGATCCTCTGGACGACATGGGGTTGGAGGGCGAACTCTCATCTTTTGCGGGGGGCTCAATTAGTGCCAGCACCTTCTGTCAAGAGCTTGGGTGTAACCTTCGATGCCTCCCTTTCCATGGAGGCGCAGGTTGCACCCACAGCAAAAGTGGCATTTTTCCATCTCCGCCATATTAAGCAGTTGGTCCCTTACCATTCTCGCCCTGATTTGGCCACAGTGATCCATGCGATGGTCACCTCCAGGCTTGACTACTGTAATTCACTCTACGTGGGGCTGCCCTTGAAGCTGACCCAGAAACTCCAGCGGGTGTAGAATGCCGCAGCAAGGCTCCTTACGGGGTCCTCGCCGCAGGATCACATTCAGCCACTGCACTGGCTCCCGGTGGAGTACTGGGTCAGGTTTAAGATGCTGGTTTTGACCTTTAAAGCCCTATGCAGCCTAGGACCCATGTACCTACGGGACCGCCTCTCCTGGTATGCCGCACAGAGGACCTTAAGGTGATTAGATTGGTCTCAGCTAGGGCCATGGCCTTTTCAGTACTGGCCCCGACTTGGTGGAATGCTCTTTCACAAGAGACTAGGGCCCTGCAGGACTTGACATCTTTCTGCAAGGCCTGCAAGACAGAGCTGTTCTGCCTGGCCTTTGGTTTGGACTCAGTCTGACCCTTATGTTTCCCTCCCCTTGTGGTTTTGATCTATGGGCTATTATTAAAATGAGGCTGCATTTTAAATTGTATTTTTAACCTGTATTTTAAATTGTGTTTTTTTTCTCCTCCCCTATTATGTTTTTATTGTAATTTTATGGGTGTTAGCTGCCCTGAGCTCGGCTCTGGCTGGGGAGGGTGGGGTATAAATAAAATTTTATTATCATCATCATCATCACCATCATCATGGCACAGAACTGTCTACATGCAGGACACGTTTAGTCACCCAGGGCTTCCTGCTTCAGAAGCCACTTTGTTTTTATGACAGTTTAACTCTCTTCCACTCCTCCATTTCACTTTCAGCTTCCTCCAGCTGCATTTCTGACTCACTCTACAAAACATTTTGCACAGTGGCTGCCTCGTGTTGCGAAGCAGGAAGTATAATCATCTTGACACATGTCTTGGGGTTCCTCCTCTGCTCCCACTTCAAATAGGTGGTGCTGTTTCACACTCTTAAGAAGAAGGGGCTGGGGAAGAATGTTCCTCTGTTGTCTTAGGGCCTCATGCGCTCTGGTAGGCTCACCTTGCTTCCTCTTGTCTTTCTCACTCCATAGCTTCCGTGTGTCTACTCAAGAAATAAAACTCTCATATTCTTGAGTGTTTGAGGCTCTGCACTTCCCTGCCCTGCAATGCATTTGTCTGGCTTTCAACCCCATTTTACATCAGATTAACCGGTGAAAGATGCAATTAAGAAGTATAATCAATCCACTATCAATATCAAAACCAATATTAGACCTAGTTATTAGATTAGATCTAATCACATTTTCCACTTTCTAGTAGAATCTCCCCACCCGCCTCCAACTGCCATCATGAAAATTGCTTGTGGACTATGGGAAAGTATATGCAAGCAGTATCTGCACCACACAACTGCAATAAAAATATAAAGAAAGAGCACTAACATTTACTACATCAGAATTCCTGAATTACTGTAGTATGTGATCAAAGAAACTGGCAATATTTAGTGGGCCTCTTCTGCCCCCTGGTGTCTAATCTTTATACAACAATGTGCAACAAATTGCCTATTTCTGACTTGGGGGATTATTGTATAAAGTAGCTTTTGGAAGCTTTGTTGTTGTTGTTGTTTAGTCGTTTAGTCGTGTCCGACTCTTCGTGACCCCTGGACCAGAGCATGCCAGGCACTCCTGTGTTCCACTGCCTCCCGCAGCTTGGTCAAACTCATGCTGGTAGCTTCGAGAACACTATCCAACCATCTCGTCCTCTGCTGTCCCCTTCTCCTTGTGCCCTCCATCTTTCCCATCTTTCCCAAGATCAGGGTCTTTTCCAGAGAGTCTACTCTTGTCATGAGGTGGTCAAAGTACTGGAGTCTCAGCTTCAGGATCTGTCCTTCCAGTGAGCACTCAGGGCTGATTTCCTTAAGAATGGATGGGTTTGATCTTCTTGCAATCCCTGGGACTCTCAAGAGTCTCCTCCAGCACCATAATTCAAAAGCATCCATTCTTGAGCAATCAGCCTTCTTTATGGTCCAGCTCTCACTTCCTTACATCACTACTGGGAAAACCATAGCTTTAACTATATGGACCTTTGTCAGCAAGGTGATGTCTCTGCTTTTTAAGATGCTGTCTAGGTTTGTCATCGTTTTTCTCCCAAGAAGCAGGCGTCTTTTAATTTCGTGACTGCTGTCACCATCTGCAGTGATCATGGAGCCTAAGAAAGTAAAACCTCTCACTGCCTCCATTTCTTCCCCTTCTATTTGCCAGGAGGTGATGGGACCAGTGGCCATGATCTTCATTTTTTTGATGTTGAACTTCAAACCATATTTTGCACTCTCCTCATTCACCCTCATTAAAAGGTTCTTTAATTCCTCCTCACTTTCTGCCATCAAGGTTGTGTCATCTGCATATTGGAGGTTGTTGATATTTCTTCTGGCAATCTTAGTTCCTGTTTGGGATTCATCCAGCCCAGCCTTTCGCATGATGAATTCTGCATATAAGTTAAATAAGCAGGGAGACAATATACAGCCTTCTTGTACTCCTTTCCCAATTTTGAACCAATCAGTTGTTCCATATCCAGTTCTAACTGTAGCTTCTTGTCCCACATAGAGATTTCTCAGGAGACAGATGAGGTGATCAGGCACTCCCATTTCTTTAAGAACTTGCCATAGTTTGCTGAGGTCAACACAGTCAAAGGCTTTTGCATAGTCAATGAAGCAGAAGTAGATGTCTTTCTGGAACTCTCTAGCTTTCTCCATAATCCAGCGCATGTTTGCAATTTGGTCTCTTGTTCCTCTGCCCCTTCAAAATCCAGCTTGCACGTCTGGGAGTTCTCGGTCCACATACTGCTTGAGCCTTCCTTGTAGAATTTTAAGCATAACCTTGCTAGCGTGTGAAATGAGTGCAATTGTGAGGTAGTTGGAGCATTCTTTGGCACTGCCCTTCTTTGGGATTGGGATGTAGACTGATCTTCTCCAATCTTCTGGCCACTGCTGAGTTTTCCAAACTTGCTAGCATATTTAGTGTAGCACCTTAACAGCATCATCTTTTAAAATTTTAAATAGTTCAGCTGGAATACCATCACTTCCACTGGCCTTGTTATTAGCAGTGCTTTCTAAGGCCCATTTGACTTCACTCTCCAAGATGTCTGGCTCAAGGTTAGCAACCACACTACCTGGGGTGTACGAGACATCCATATCTTTCTGGTATAATTCCTCTGTGTATTCTTGCCACCTCTTCTTGATGTCTTCTGCTTCTGTTAGGTCCTTACCATTTTCCTCCTTTATTATGGTAATGTTTGTACGAAATATTCCTTTCATATCTCCAATTTTCTTGAACAGATCCCTGGTTCTTCCCATTCTGTCGTTTTCCTCTATTTCTTTGCACTGCTCGTTTAAGAAGGCCTTCTTGTCTCTCCTTGCTATTTTTTGGAAATCTGCATTCAGTTTCCTGTATCTTTCACTATCTTCCTCGCATTTTGCTTGCCTTCTCTCCCCCGCTATTTGTAAGGACTCGTTGGACAGCCACTTTGCTTTCTCGCATTTCCTTTTCATTGGGATGATTTTCGTTGCTGCCTCCTGTATAATGTTGCTAGCCTCCATCCATAGTTCTTCAGGCACTCTGTCCACCAAATCTAAATCCTTAAACCTGTTCCTCACTTCCACTGTGTATTCATAAGGGATTTGATTTAGATTGTATCTTACCGGCCCAGTGGTTTTTCCTACTTTCTTCAGTTTAAGCTTGAATTTTGCTATAAGAAGCTGATGATCTGAGCCACAGTCAGCTCCAGGTCTTGTTTTTGATGACTGTATAGAGCTTCTCCATCTTTGGCTGCAGAGAATATAATCAATCTGATTTCGATGCTGCCCATCTGGTGATATCCATGTGTAGAGTCGTCTCTTGTGTTGTTGGAAAAGCGTGTTTGTGATGACCAGCTTGTTCTCTTGACAGAACTCTATTAGCCTTTGCCCTGCTTCATTTTGAACTCCAAGGCCAAACTTGCCAGTTGTTCCTTTTATCTCTTGATTCCCTACTTTAGCATTCCAATAATGAGAAGAACATCCTTCTTTGGTGTCATTTCTATAAGGTGTTGTACGTCTTCATAGAATGGGTCAATTTCAGTTTCTTCAGCACCAGTAGTTGGTGCATAAACTTGGATTACTGTGATGTTAAGAGGTCTGCCTTGGATTCGTATCGAGATCATTCTATCATTTTTGAGATTGCATCCCAGTACAGCTTTCGCCACTCTTTTGTTGACTGTGAGGGCCATTTCTTTTACGGACCATTTCTTTTACGGGATTCTTGCCCACAGTAATAGATATGATGGTCATCCAAACTGAATTCACCCATTCCCATCCATTTTAGTTCACTGATGCCCAGGATGTCAATATTTATTCTTGCCATCTCATTTTTGACCACATCCAACTTACCCAGGTTCATGGTTCTTACATCCCAGGTTCCTATGCAATATTTTTCTTTACAGCATTGGACTTTCCTTTTGCTTCCAGGTATATCCGCAACTGAGCGACCTTTTGGCTTTGGCCCAGCCGCTTCATCAGCTCTGAATCTACTTGTACTTGTCCTCCGCTCTTCCTCAGTAGCATGTTGGATGCCTTCCAACCCGAGGGGCTCATCTTCCAGCATCATAACTTTTATATGCCTGTTGTCTTTGTCCATGGAGTTTTCTTGGCAGGGATACTGGAGTGGCTTGCCGGTTCCTGCTCCAGGTGGATCATGTTTGGTCAAAACTCTCCACTATGACCTGTCCATCTTGGGTGCCCTGCATGGCATAGCTCATAGCTTCTCTGAGTTATTCAAGCCCCTTCGCCACGGCAAGGCAGTGATCCATGAAGGGGTTTTGGAAGCTACCTAGCATGATAATTATAAAACTAAAGAGAGGTGATGTGTCCAATTCCAATTTAATTACTGTAAATGGTTCCTAAAAAAGAATGACTGATATGGATAGTGAAAATAATTGAGGGGTAAAAAGGTAAAAAGAAAGCTAGGTAAAGGTAAAGGACCCTTGGATGGTTAAGTCCAGTCAAAGGCAACTATTGGGTTGCCGTGCTCATCTCGCTTTCAGGCCAAGGGAGCTAGCATTTGTCCACAGACAGATTTCCAGGTCATGTGGCCAGCATGACTAAACCACATCTGGCACAATGGAACACCGTGACGGATGTCAGAGTGCACGGAAACACGGTTTACCTTCCCGCCGCAGCAGAAGTTATTTATCTATTCACACTGGTTGGCTTTCAAACTGCCAGGTTGGCAGGAGCTGGGACAGAGCAACAGGAGCTCAGCCCTTCGCGGGGATTTGAACCGCCAATCTTCTGATCGGCAAGCCCAAGAGACTTAGTGGTTTAGACCACTGTGCCACCCATGTCCCTAATTGAGGGATAACCACTATATCTGCAGTGCAGTATGCAAACTGTCAACTTACACTCTGAAGTACACTTTTGCTACTTGCTCTTATGGTGCTGCACCCGTCTAAACCCTCCAAGTAGCCAAATATTTATTTTAATGAAGAGCAGCACCATGAAATATCCCCTGCTGTTATGGCAAAGCATAAGCAACTCCAAGGGATTTCAAAACAGCATCAAACATTTATAACTCATCTATTGTCTGGGGACCCAAGCAACTGGTTTATATCACCACCCAAAACTGCCATCAGCATGGTGTGCAGTTACTGTATTTGGTAGACTAAAATGAAACAAAACAGCGGAGAGATGAATTGGCTGGACAGACAAGTGAAAACATGGATAATTTCACTAGGCCAATATGGCACTAGGCAACAGACACGTACTTGAACATCTGTCCCTAGAAGTACATGAGACGCTGGCCCACTGATACAGAGTTATTTTAACCCTTGGTCCTCATGTCTAGCTGATCTTTGCACTTGGCATTATGGTGCAGGAAAGAGGTGTATAGCTCAGTACACTTCTTTCTTTTCTTTTTTTTACCTATGAGGAAATTTGGAGTGTGTCAGTTTATCTCTTGTTAAAGGGACTGCCCTGCATAACCATGCTTCTTAATGTGCACTTCGGGAAGGGATGTGGGGGATGTGCACCTTCTGTTTAAGCAGCTTCTTAAGAGTTGCAAGGCACAAATGGGGAGAATAACTGGGGAAAGTTCTGTTGCGCAAGCAGAAATCATTGTGCTGGCAGAATTAGTTGATGAATACTGATAAGAACCTCACTGCCGCCACCTTGGGAATCCTCATGTCGAGTTAGGTGATGATATCTTGAGAGTAGGGCTGGACAATACCTCGGGTACCTCGGGTTACAGACACTTCAGGCTACATATGCTTCAGGTTACAGACTCCGCTAGCCCAGAAATAGTAGCTCGTGTTAAGAACTTTGCTTCAGGACAGTTTCAGGTTAAGAACAGACCTTCAGAACGAATTAAGTTCTTAACCCAAGGTACCACTGTATCTCAATATATATCCAGTTTAAAGTCCATATCGTGATATCAGTTTCATAATTTTTGACCTGGCAAAATATCACAAATCAAGATGTTTGTGCACGCACTATGCAAAATTGCAATTTGGGGAAAAACATGAAGCTAGCCAATGCTTCTCTCGATTCCTCCAGCCCAGGGCTACAATTCATCCTCAGGATCGCAGGTGCCCCCATGCAGACATGTGACGTTGCACGCTGCGTTGTGGCGGCTGGCGGCAGCTCCTCTTCCTCCTATCTACAGCGAACAAAGCACCCTTTTCTGCTGGAGGGGCTCAGACACAAAAACAGAGACTTAGCCTCTGGGTTCGAGCCCCACCCCCTGGAAAAGGATGCCTTGCTGCAGAGGTTGGAGCCTTACTGCTTCTCTCTTGGAGGCAACGTCACTGCCACCTGCTGGCTTTTTTCATTTGCTTTGTGGGTGCCCAGCCCCCCCCATTATATTATTGTGGGTGCCCAAGCACACCCCCCCCCGGAGTTGGCACTTACAATGCAGCCCGTTAACTCTGCTGGCTCAGCTCTCCCCTGTCTCCTGCAGGGGGCAGCAAATCACCAGAACAGGTGCCGGCAAAAATCACAATGCAGGAAAAACCGTGAAGCCAGCCCATATACAAAGCGCCATCCTTATTTCAGACATTGTGATATATTGGTATATCACAGTGTTTAGCTGGTGATATATCATGATGCTGTAAACCAGATATTGCCCAGCCCTACTTGAAAGGCAGCCAAATCTTTGTCAATAATGGGTGAAGTAATGTGAAAGTGACGCTTCAGTCCACCATCTTGAAAATGTTGAACAAGATCACCGCTTCCATCTTGGGAACCTTCATGCCAAGTTTGGTGACAATATCTCAAGGTGTCCGAACCTATAGGGACCCAAAGGGACAACCCACTTTCAAAAATATATAGCCTTGTGAATTTGTTGAAATGAGAATGCAGGGTATGTTATATAAATAAATATCTGCCCAAATTTCTCTTAATAGCCAGATCCACTGGCAAACAGAGGAATAGATAGATCAGTCACTGAACAATGAGTTAATCAAACTACCAAGAGCAAGTATCTGGGCCAAAGGAGGCAGGCGTGGAGGCTGCTGTGTTAACACTTCATGGGCAGAGTCAGGAGGCAATAAACAGCCAAGGAAAAAAAATTCCACAAACTTGCAGGGACACAGAAAACAGGGTTTTTTAAGCAACAGAGACATCAGTCTATTAAAAAAATGTATTTATTCATTCTTTATATAAATAGATCTTTATAAAAAAAAACACCAGAGCACACAAATATTCCAAAGTGTACAACGCTTGGGCAAAAAGGTGCCTTGAACTTGTCTAACAGTTTGCAACAAAAGGACAATTTAAGCATCAATTCAAAGATGCTACAGGAAGTCCTTGACACGATTTTGGCCAGCATAACGTCAGAGGGCTCAGTCCTTTGGGTTGTGCATTTGTTGCAAAAGGAGTTGTGTGGGCCTTTGCATTCATAAACCGTTTGCAAGTCTTCTACCATGACATGCTTGTGACAAACACGACAGGCAAGCTAAGACTCCAAAAGCAAGGCATCAAGCCCTGAGCCAAGAATGAAAGCAAGCATCACCAACCGAGTCATTCCACTAAGTTCTCTCCTAGCCACAGTGGAAGGGACATAAGTAGTTTTTGGTTTAGCTTGGAGAAGCTCACTAGAACAAAGTTTGACTAGGCAAAAAGACAAGCCTTGCAAGATTTGTTGTGAACATTCCTGCTGTTCAAGTGTCAAAAAAAAAAAAAAAAAAAAAAAACAAGCAAAAAAATCAAAACACCTGATAGAAAGAAGTAGTCCTTCAGAATTGAAGCTGCTTCACAAATGCCAGTGTAAGATTTTTTATCTTCACAGTTTTCGGTTGAAAACATCGTCAAATGAGGAAGGCCATTTGATTCCTGTTGTCTGGTTGGTCCAACAAGTTGTTGTTGCTATATATATATATATATATATATATAATGCTTTAATGTTGTCTGCAGCAGGGCATTGCCAAGAAATTCTCCAGCATCTAGAAGCATCAGTCCCTGCCCCAAAGACCTCTGGTTTACATTCAAGAGTCATCTGATGTAGACGGTCCCCTCGTTTCCTCAGTTCTCATTACAAGAAGGCTGTATGAATACCAACAAATGGGTTTGCTCATCCTTGATTGGGTCTTCGGGGGGAGGTTTCTGGAGACGAAAGAGAAATAGCAGTCTCTTAAAACAAATTAATGCAGTGTTTCCCAACCGGGGGCTATATGGCCCCCTGGAGGCCCCAGGATATTCCAATGGGGCCACAGGTGAAAATCATGCAAATGGGGGGGGGGTCATGTCACAGCACGAGGCTAGGGGGCCACAGAGGGAAGTGAGAAGTGAAGGGGGGAAACCATTATAGTTATTTGTTTAAAATCCTGTTTGGCTGGCTATCTGCTTGGCCAATCAGAAGTGGGTAAGGGGGCAGTCCACCAGGGCCTAGTGCTCCTTTTTTGCCATGTGTGTTTTCTTGGAGCAGTCCTGGTTTGTTTCCGGTGGGAGAGAGCGATTGCTGAGGCTCCCATTTTGACATGTAGAGCCCATGATCCAGAACCCCCAGGTCAGGTAAGTGTGGTGGTTGTGTGACAATGGGTAGGGCTGGGTGAGCCGGAGCTGCTTATTGCTGCCACCAGTGTTGGGCCTAGTAGCAGCCTGGGCCTCACTCAGCAAGGAGCAGCATGGTGCAATCTGCTCCAGCGCCTAGTGGATTGGGGCCTTTGGATGTTGCCGAGGGGTGCAGAACCCGTCAGCAGCATCGGCCTGATTCTGCAAGCCACTGGGTGAAATCTACCCCAGCGTCTAGCCAAGCAGGGTCATCTGGTGCTGCTGACTTTCATCTAGTAAATAACTAAGTGTCTACTCAGAAGAAAGCCACACTGAGTTCAGTGGGCCTTATTCCCAGGTAAGGGTGTGTGGGCAGCCAGGGCTCCTCCGCATGACAAGATACGCTCGTACCTTGGTTGACAAACGCTTTGCAAGTCAAACATTTTAGCTCCCGAATGCCGCAAACCCGGAAGTGCATGTTCTGGTTTGTGAACATTCTTTGGAACCTGAACATCCGATATACCTTCCAATTGGTTGCAGAAGCTTCCTGCAGCCAATCGGAAGCCATGCCTTGGTTTCCAAACATTTTGGAAGTCAAACGGATTTCCATAACGGATTCTGTTCAACTTCTGAGTTACAACTGTCTTTTTGTCCCAGGCCCATGAGAACAATTTGCTTTTTCAAATTCTCCCATATATGTAGAACTCCCTGTGCGCCTTTTGGACTGTATCTGTAGGTGTCCCCCTCTGTGTCAAATGACTGGGGTCACATTAAGTGTTGTTTACCTTTTTATAATACATGGAAGATGGATCTCCCCCGGGAGGTTCTGGACTCTCCTTCTTTGGAGGTTTCTAAGCAGAGGTTGGGTGGCCTCTGTCATGGATGCTTTAGCTGAGTTTCCTACGTTGCAGGGGGTTGGACTAGATGACCCTCGGGGTCCCTTGCAGCTCCATTATTCTATGTTTTTCTGCTTCAACAATATTTCATTATGTTCCTATCGTTTTATGTTATTGTATTTTGTATAAATTATAAAAATTATAAACATGTTCTATTTACAAACAAAACATTTAAATAGCTACCTTTCTACTTGTAGGACGGGGGGGCGGGCATGGCCAGGATTTTTGTTGAGGGGAGGCAGAACCTCATATTTGTATTGATTTTTTCTTATGGGGGTGCAGCTGCCCCCCGCTACATCCGGGGCAGGGGGCACAGGAAGGAAACAAGGTTGGGAAACACTGATGTAATGAATCAAATGGTTGTCTTTTTTTAGGAGAGAGAAAAAGCAACACAGAAATAAAATTGAAGGAGACTTCAGAAAGTAATCTGTTACCCAATACATTTTAAGTACTATAAATCTTCCTTACGGGCAACTCTGATTAAGTTATTTCAAGGAGAAACTAGAACCATCTGCCACACCATTAAAAGTGTGTGTGTGTGTGTGTGTGTGTGTGTGTGTGTGTGTGTGTGATTCTGAGCTTGTGCTTCTCACTCACACATTAGGTTGGCCTTAGACAGACTAGGATTGAGTGGCCAGTACTCACTTGAAGATCTTCAATGTGTTCTTCAAACATTTGTTTCAGAAACTTTCCAGGCTCAGGAATTGTAGGAAGAATCAACATTTTAATCCTTCAGAACATTAAAAAAGAAAAGAATTAAGGGGTTCTAGATACCAAATTTTGTTTAACTCATTCAACAGTATTTCATAATTGTTCTCATGATTTATTTAATATTCTACAGCCTTTTAAATGTGTCTGTGGGAAGAAGGGGTTTTGTTTTAATTATTTACTTGTTTTTATCCTGTATTTTGTTCTGGGAACCACCCTGGGATCCTATGATGAAGGGCAGTATATAAATCATAATCATAATAAATTTACACAAAACTGCACCAAGCCAGAACAGTCATATTCTCCCATGTTTCATACCCCTATTCCAGGAACCTTTTAAAGTGAAAGCAGAGCTTTTTGGAAGATAGATATACCATATACAACACACTCAAACAGAAGTCATTAATAAGTCTCTTACCTCTTCAGGTGTATGAGGAATATGATAGTCAGGACTGCCACACATAATGGAAGGAGAATGTATAGAAGGAGAGAAAATGGAAAGTCTCTCTCATCTGAAAAAACAAAGAATGAGAAGTAGTCAGGCACCTGACTCCCATTTAGGAATTTAAAAAGCTGTAATAGCAACAGAGTAGCTTTCCTTTATATTCCATTTCATGTATATGATTAATATTACCCTTTAATCTCATTTTCTAATTCCCTTCCAACACTATTTCTGGCCTTCTCCGCTCAGAAAAGGGGAACTTGATGGAGAAAATTATAATCATAATTACCATTATAATCTCTTTCCCCAGCTGTTTGCTAAACGCATGCATGTTCTATCAAAACCTCATTCCCTGCCTGAAAAGTTGAGTGAGCACCAAGGGGTGTAAGTGCCCAGAATGTTTGTTTTCCTCATTCCCTGCCTGACCTTTTCACCATTAATCTATAAAAAAAGAAATGCTCTTCTGCTGGTATTTGTGTTGAAAGGCCAACAAGAAAACTTTTGCTGTTCGTTAACTCTATGTTGGCTAGGATTAACATTCAACATTTGACAGTGACCAAGTTCTCAAAAACTGCTAAGTGAAAAATTTGCTGCTTCTTTTCTATAGAAACAAATTCCTGCCCTGCTTGTCTTAGCATGTTGTTTTAAAGCAATGGATTTTGAGGGTTGTTTTGCTCTCACAATAAGTAGCAGTTGTGCTTTGAAATAATAAATGTAAAAATGCTTTCATTGCTTTGTCTATTTTTGGATTTTCTATTAGAAGATGATCATGAATAAAATTTTGCTGTTTCTGATGCAGCAATGTATTAACTATTTGGAATGAAAAGTTGCATTCTATAAAACTAACCTTGCTGTTTCTTATGCTGTGCAAGTTTATTCAATGGAACTAGATTCAATATATATTTCCAACCAAAGGCAAAACTAATTAAAAATAATTTTAGATCTATTGAAAAATTTCCTCCATGAAACTTTCATGAATATTCATTTCCTTATTTTTCCCCCAACCCTGATTTGATTTATATATTAATAGCTCCTATAAAAGTAACAAACACAGCTGTGTCTCCTTCCACAATTCGCTGCCACACCAGATCTTAATGATATTTCTTTCTTCGAACCTGACTTGATTCTGTATATTGATGGCTCTTGTAAAACAAATGACCGTGATGATTCATGCCTGATTATGTTGTGGTATGTGATTATGAAATTCCTGAAGCTTATTTCCTTTCAGTTATTGAAAGGTGCCCCAATTTGCTAAGCCCAGATGGCTGAATCCTTTACAAATAGCTGTTTGGAAGATAGTAGGTATCAGAGTGCAAGTGCTAGTGATTTGCACACTTTTGAGCATTCATGCCCACCAAAGAAAAAGAAAAAGCCTAGAGAACCTGATTCCCTATTATTTATTTATGTTCATGAAATACCAATGTCGTTTTTGTATTCCAGTGACTGATTCCAGGCCGCTATTGGATATGTAAGAGAGTGTGTCTGACTGTTTTCCCCATATTAGTATGGTACTTGTTATGTGGGATCAGTACTTTCTCCTTTGTGAGTAACAAATATTCTGCCAAAACAAGGTACCATGTTGAAATGAATCCGGAACTATCTTCCTTTCAAAAAACAGAGGGAATGTTGGAGAAAATAGTAATTTCCTAAAACTCATCATTTTGCTGGTTCCATTTTCTTTTGAGTTTATGACCTAGCTAAAATGAAAAGAATTGTGCCTGCCTACCTTTTATGGCAAGTCCTAGGCTCTGTGGTTTAACCCACAGTGGCACCCGTGTCCCTTTTTTTTTTTTTTTGCCAATCAGAAGGTCGGCGGTTTGAATCCCCACCATGGGGTGAACTCCCGGTGCTCGGTCCCTTCTCCTGCAAACCTAGCAGTTCGAAAGCACATCCAAGAAGTGCAAGTAGATAAATAGGTACCACTCTGGCGGGAAGGTAAACGGCGTTTCCATGCGCTGCTCTGGTTCGCCAGAAGCGGCTTAGTCATGCTGGCCACATGACCCGGAAGCTGTACGCCGGCTCCCTCGGCCAGTAAAATGAGATGAGCGCCGCAACCCCAGAGTCGGTCACGACTGGACCTAATGGTCAGGGGTCCCTTTAATTTTACCTTTTATGGTACACTGTATGTAGTGACTGTTTGTTCCAGCACATTTGGATATGGTTCTTTACAGCCTCCTCCTTATTTTTGAGGCTGTCCCAAAGCACATTTGTATTTCACTTGTATTTTCTTTTGGGTTTCTGGGAGGGATAGCTCCAGCCTAGATACCCTTTTAAATTTATCCAGCAGACCTTCCCTGCTCCAGGTTCTCTTTACTCAACATGCAAGGGGTTGCTGGTGCCAGCACGGGACCAACTAAGAGGCAGTGTGTGGTACAGCCACGGGGGGGCGGGGAGAGTATGCAAGTGAGGAGGCCCTGGGAAGGTTGCACACAGTGGCTCATCTGAAAGCGGTCTACTGTTTGAGATACCCTGGGTTAAGACATTAGCAATTTCAGGGAATTTCAGGGGTACAGGAACAACAATTTTAATTAAAGGGTTTCCAAAGACAGCTTTGCCAGATGTCAGCAAATGAAGTTGTACCGGAGGAAAGAAACTTGGGTCTTTGCCAAGTAGCGGGATGCACTGTGAAGCACTGACCTTCTACCAGATTAGAATTTATTTGTAACCTATAAATATAAAATCTGTGCAGAGATCTAGTTCTTTTGATTTGGTTCATACAGTCAGCTCAGCAGTTCATTACCAAGAGTCTTACAAAGTTTCTTCTCACCTACTTCTACTGCCTCGCTCCACTCGCTCCAGGGATCATGTGTGCGCTTACAGTTGGTCTTAGAAGTCCTGGCTCTCACCCGGAAAGTGTAGTATTGTTTACTCTTGAGAGTGAGTGTTACATTGTTACGTGACCTGTAAATCTTCAAAGAACAACAAAAAATTGTTTGTATAATCTATTGGTGATATTGTTTATTTTATTTTAATGAAAAATAAACTCACAACATACCGTAATACAAAAATGAAAACCAACAGCCTAACACATCTAACCCACTAAATGAGTTGATGTGCTGTAGATTTAAAACATACAAGAGCTTTGAAGAATTGCTTTTGATTGAAACGGATTTCACATATGATACTTCTGACAGGCCTGCTTTAAAATATAAAACAGGAATTCTCTGTTTGCCTATGTGGCAAACGTGTCAGATTCCTGCCCAGGAAGTTGAACAAAATCATATCCACAGAGAGGCAGCTTGAAAACGAGTCTTTGCGAGCTTAAAAATGGAGCACTGGCCTTAATTGTGAGTATTCCTTCCACCTGAAAGTGGGAGGGCGTCCTGCAAATTGTTAATTGGCCCTCTGGTCTCTGGGAGCAGGGGTGTCACTACCACGTTTTCGTTCCAATCCCACCCGTCCAAAGGAAGGAGAGTTGCGCATGCCGGATGTGCGTAACCAAAGGTGCATTCTATCTAAAGGAAATGACACAGGTTGGGTGACCACCCTTACTCCTTGTGACAAGCAGTGAGATAAGTGTAGAAATCTGCCATTAGAGAAGCTTAAGTAGTTCTTCTGTACCAGATTTCTGTTTGCTGCCTGTTTGTGCCTGCAGCACCATGAGAATGCCTTCCAAGTGGTTTCATAGATTTTGTTGGTAGACTGATTCTGTGAGGCTAGGATTGTATTGATCAAGTGTGGTCTGTAGCCTTAAAGATAGTTGGTCATGTGTTTGAAGGTGGGGGATGAGTGCGCTTTGTTTCGGTGCAAAATGTCTGAGTACCAAATTAATAATAATAATAATAATAATAATAATAATAATAATAATAATTTCTTATTTATACCCTGCCCATCTGGCTGGGTTTTTCCAGCCACTCTGGGCGGCTTCCAACAGAATATTAAAATACAATAATCTATTAAACATTAAAAGCTTCCCTAAACAAGGCTGCCTTCAGATGTCTTCTAAAAGTCTGGTAGTTTTCTCTTTGACATCTGGTGGGAGGGTGTTCCACAGGGCAGGTGCCACTACCGAGAAGCCCCTCTGCCTGGTTCCCTGTAACTTGGCTTCTCGCAGAAGAATTGTACTCAGAAACGTACTAGGAGCCAGTGTAGGTCTTTCAAGTGGTCTCGGCAGCCGCTCCCAGTCACCAGTCTAGCTTACGCATTCTGAATTAGTTGTAGTTTCTGGATCACCTTCAAAGGTAGCCCCACATAGAGCACATTGCAATAGTCCAAGCGAGGGATACCCAGAGCATGCACCATCCTGGCCAGACAGTCTGCGGGCAGGAAGGGTCTCAGCCTGCGTACCAGATGGAGCTGGTAGACAGCTGCCATGGACACAGAATTGACCTGCGCCTCCATGGACAGCTGTGAGTCCAAAATGACTCCCAGGCTGCGCACCTGGTCCTTCATGGGCACAGTTACCCCATTCAGGACCAGGGAGTCCTCCACACCTGCCTGCCTCCTGTCCCCCCAAAAGAGTAGTTCTGTCTTGTCAGGATTCAACCTCAATCTGTTAGTCGTCATCCATCCTCCAACTGCCTCCAGACACTCACACAGGACCTTCACCGCCTTCACTGGTTCTGATTTGAAAGAGAGGTAGAACTGTGTATCATCCGCATAGTGATGAACACCCAGCCCAAACCCCTTGATGATCTCTCCCAGTGGCTGCAAGTAGATGTTAAAAGCATGGGGGAGAGGACAGAACCCTGAGGCACCCCACAAGTGAGAGCCCAGGGTTCTGAACACTCATCCCCCCCCACCACTTTCTGAACATGGCCCAGGAGGAAGGAGCGGAACCACTGTATAACAGTGCCCCCAGCTCCCAGCCCCTCTAGACGGTCCAGAAGGATGTTATGGTCGATGGTATCAAAGGCCGCTGAGAGATCCAGCAGAACTAGGAAACAGCTCTCACCTTTGTCCCTAGCCCACCAGAGATCATTGACCAGCACGACCAAGGCAGTTTCAGTCCTATGATGAGGCCTGAATCCCGATTGGAAGGGATCCAAATGGTCCGCATCCTCCAGGCGTGCCTGGAGTTGTTCAGCAACCACTCGCTCAATCAGCTTGCCCAAGAATGGAAGATTTGAGACTGGGCGATAGTTGGCCATATTGGCTGCATCTAAAGATGGTTTTTAAAGAAGCGGTTTGATAACCGCCTTTTTCAACGGGTCTCCCTCACAAAGAGAAGAATTCAACACCCCGTGAAGCCCACCGCCCAGCCCTTCCCAGCTAGCTTTTATAAGCCAGGATGGGCAAGGGTCAAGGAGACAAGTTGGTTTCACTTGTCCAAGCAGCCTGACCACATCCTCGGAGGTAACAGATTGGAACTGATCCCACGCAACTTGACTAGACAGGAGTCTAGCACTCTCCCACCCCGGCCCTGCTCCCACTGTGGAGTCTACCTCTTCCTGAATCTGAGCGACTTTACCTGCAAAATTTTTTGCAGGAGATCATGTGGCCTGTACTGGGCCCCAATGTAGCAGGTGGTTCCGCTAAATTGCGAACCACCTGAGTCTCCTGCTGCTGTTTTCTGCAGATGGAATATAGGTGGTGAAGAAAGTCTTCTTCGTTGTCACTACTGCCACTTGGTAGGCTCGACATTGAGCTCCAACCCATGTCCGGTCAGCTTCAGAATAAGTCATCCGCCACCGGTGCTCTAGCCGTCTCAGTGATTGTTTCATTGCCCTCAGATCCGTGGAAAACCACGGGGCTGTCCAGGCTCCATGCAATTGGAGAGGGCGCATCGGAGACAAATATTATGTATCCTGTGTTGTATGAACTTGTTCATGGGTAGGCAAACTAAGGCCCGGGGCCCGGATCCAGCCCAAATGCCTTCTAAATCTGGCCCGCGGACGGTCCAGGAATCAGCGTGTTTTTACTTGAGTAGAATGTGTCCTTTTATTTAAAATGCATCTCTGGGTTATTTGTGGGGCACAGGAATTTGTTCATTCCTCCCCCCCCCCAAAAAAATAGTCCGGCCCACCACATGGTCTGAGAGACAGTGGACCGGCCCTCTGCAGAAAAAGTATGCTGACCCCTGAACTTGTTCATTTGAGATAGAAACAAAAACAAGGAATGTTTCTTTCTCAGATACTTTCTGTTCTTCTTGTTTCCATTATTTCATTAGTCTATTATTCCAGTAGACTTAAAATAGATATTATTCCCTCCACTAGTGGAGACAAAAAGTTTAATTTAGACCTTTCCCCAGAAATGATTGGGTAGATTAATCCTTCACAAGACATCCCCCCACCCCAATGTAGAATACCGAGCTATTCATGTGAAGCTGACTAAGAAAATGATTAAATGTAGGTTACCAAGGCAAGGCTATTTAAGTCCAAGAACAGCTATAGCGGGTGAACCAGCTGGAGCTGGGCATAGGCACTGCTTGCTAATAAAGCCAACTGATCCTCTAGTCACCGTTTCAAATCAAGGAGAACCCCTAAACCACATTTCTCTTTGCTCAGGGGAAATGCATCCAGCCTACCACTGTCCCCAGACACTGGCCCAGAACTGCCTACCCTCTCTTGACTCAGACAGAATGCAGAGAGGGAACTGTGTGTCATCTATATGTGAATGACACTGCGCACCAAGCCAGAAATTAGGGTTTATTTGTCAATGCTCACTCACATCAGATCTAGTTAACTTTTTTAATAGTTTCCAGAAGTGGAACTGCTTTGGTCTACTGCAGCAATACAGTCATGTCACCTTAAAGAACTTAACAAAATTCTCAAGGCGTAAGTTTTCATGGACCAAAGTCTGCTTCACTAATGCATGAAGTGTGATCTTCAGCTGGCAGGTAGGTGCACACACACACACACACAAATGTAGAGGGGGAAATGGAACCAATGTCATGACAGGGAAATTAAAAAAATAGACAGACTTGAAGCTTAGATGTTTTAAAATAAACACAGCAACCACTCATAAAGCACTACTGAGGACTACAAATATCCTGGCACTGGATATATAGGTGTTAATTATTACAGTCATACCTCATGTTGCGAACGCTGCGGGTTACATTCTTTCAGATTATGTCCCACGGCGACCCAGAAGTACCGGAAAGGGTTACTTCCGGGTTTTGCCGCTTGCACATGCACAGACGCGCAAAATGACATCATGCACATGTGCAGAAGCGCTGAATCGTGAGCCGCACATGTGCAGACGCGGGTTGCATTCTGTTCAGGTTGCGAACGGGGCTCCGGAATGGATCCCGTTCGCAACCAGAGGTACCACTGTATATAATTATATATGTGTGTGTTATAAGAAATCTCTTAGCCTTCAAGGTGCCACCAGTCTGCTATCTAAAGTAGATTACATGGTGGATACTAGAGCAACTTACTTCTGGGTCCAGTTTGTTATTAATTTCTAGTTGATAGCACATGTCATTCAAGCCCCTTGGTTCAGTCCACTGTAGAATAACTCCTTCATTGCTCCTTTTGGGCTTTACAATCAATGGAGGATCAGGTTTTACTAGAAATTCTGAAGTCAAAAAGAAAACACACATACAATTATATATTTTTAAAATCCAACATTAACTCAATGGTAGCATATTTGTGAGCTGTAAAATAAAACACACTCCAAATATTATCTACGAGGTGTAACCCACCTAGTACCACGGTGAGAGAAGACACAATCTACAAACCATTGGGGTCCATCTAGCTTGATATTTGTCTGAGAGCAGCTCTCCAGGGTTTCAGCCTGGAGTCCTTCCCAGCCTTACCTGGAGAAATAGGTGAGCCCTTTCCCTGCGGGGAGTTCTAATGTAAGTATATCCTCTACTCATCCAGACTCACCCAAGTCTTGCCTCTTGCATATACCTTATCTCAAGCTCTTTCCTCCTAACTACGGTGTTTTATTGTGTAACGGTCACACTTTCTGTGCAGATTATTCGTTTGCAAAAAGGGGGGTGCAACTATTACACAAGGAAAAACATGATGTCGGGGAAAAACCTGTGAGGCATGGCCATTATGGAAACAAGTTTGTTTTGCGGGTTAATCTATCCACTGTACAGTTCAGATCCCAGTTTCTCATGCCTCACTGATGGCAGCTTCTCCCACCCGCTTGCCTGACTGCCTGCTCCCGTTGCCTTTGGCCAGTAAGAGAATGCACAGTGAAAATACCTCTGCAACTGTTATGCAGGGAATGCTCTGGGACCATTTTGGGGGCCAGAAAAAGGGGGATGCGACTATTATGTGATGGTGACTTGTTTAGTGTGGAAGTATGCCAGCAACTCCCTCAAATCAGGGGGGATGATTCTTTGGGATGATTCCCCTGCTCCTGGTTATTTTTTCCCCAAAAGCTCTGGTTGCCCGTTCAGTATTTTGACATTTATACCCCACCTTTCTTCCATGGGACTCAAGGTGGCATACACTGGCTTCCTAAGTAATCTCAGCCAGGCCAGAACCAAACCTGCTTAGCTTCAGCAAGGCTGCTGCATTGTGCTGCCTTTGGGCCATGTTCTGGGAGTTAAGGCATAGTAAATTAGGGTCATCCAGGAGCTCTATTGCTTATACTTTCAGTTGTTTTGCGGGCTCAGAGTGAGTTAATGGCAATGACTTATTGATAGCCTGAGCCCAATGCAACTAAGAAATGATATCCTCCACCAAGTTCCATCAGAACGTAAAGATAAGGAGAATTCTTCTCAATCTACTAGTTGGAATTCCCGGTGGAGAATGGCCACCACAGCATCATTCAGAAGCCTTTTAAATGGGGAAAAGAGGCTATTTTAAATATGCCAGCAGACCATTAGAAACTGCAACACCATTTCCAATCCCAAGCCTTTTCACATGAAACAGACCTATAGCCAAGCAGCTTGTAAACTTACCATATACTTCTGGTAATTTATTCATTATACACACAGGCTGAATGTCTCTGGAGTTGCCCTGGATAGAAATGCTGAGTCCTGGAGGCCAATAAAGGTTTGTGTCGAAAGTGCATCGAAAGTCATCGCCTTTTTTAGTGTAATGTGTGCATGGCCCTCCTCTATCCTGATCAATATACCTTGGGGGCAAGAGGAAGCAACATCAGCACACCTAAAAGTCAGGATGGTAGCAGGTCAACATGTTTGCACTCCTGTACTATTAAGGCAACAGAAAACAAGGATGAAGTGCAGTGATGCTTTGTGGTAGTCTTAGATTTTGGATTGTTATTGGTGCCACCTAGTCCTCTCCCCCACCTTTATATTCAAGGTAAAAGGAAGCTGTAAAACAGCCACTGTATCCAGTCACTCTCCATCTACTTGAAAAGGGAAACTCCATTTTTTCACTGGCCATTATTACTCCCCCCCCCCCCCCCGCATTATTATTAGCTTAAGGAGCTACTGGGTAAAATTCCATGGTCAGAAATACTCAAAGAGAAGGGAGTCCAAAGTAATTAGGAGTTTTTTAAAGGTGAAAAACTGAAGGCTCAAATGCAGACAATTCCAACAAGAAAGAAAAGATGTCTGGTGCGGCTGCATGAGGAGCTTACAGTTGAGTTGAGACAGGGGAAATCAAGAAGGAAGCGTATACAGAGTAGCCAACAGTTACAGGGGAGCAGTTAAGTTGCAGAAAGAAGGCTTGCAAGAGGTTAAAAATAATTAATAAATGTTTCTTCCACTATGCTTGAAGCAAGAGGAAGAAAAAGAAAGCAGTAGGTCCTCTGCATAGAGAAGATAGAAAAATGCTGATATCAAAACAAGTGACCTTAGGAAGCAAAGCGGCAGACTTCCGGAGCAGCATGTTCAGTGACCGGGTGAGGGACTGCGCTCCTGGCAACTCAAGGCAGGCCCAACACCGGAGAGAGACCATGGGGAACGAGAGGCGTAAGTTACCCCGACCTCAGGTGGGGATCCTGAGGGCTGAGCCCAAAGCATCAAGGGGTTTTCCCAAGTTTCCGCTCCTTTGTTATTTAAAACATTTACCAGTGGAGATGGCATGGGGGAAAACCTCAGCGCAAACAGGCAGAACCACTCTCCAACGCTGGCACCTCAAAACCCGGCGAGTCAGCGCTGAACTCTCCATTAATTTAAAACTGACAACGAAGAAGGTCCCCCCCCCAATTTAATATCGAGAAAATATTTAGAATAAGAGTGAACAAGTCAAAAAGCAGGAAAAGACCATGGGATTGTCTAGTATTTTTGAACTCGAGGCTACACAGAGTAAAATATTGCTAAAGGGTAGAGCAAACCCCTTGTATATAGATGGGAAACATATTGAGATCATGAAAGAAGTCCCAATCCATCTGTTAAAAAGGAGAGACAATTATAGATTTACATTGGCGCTTAAGAAAAACAAAATATTATTCAAATGGGAATTCCCTCAGGGACTCACCTTTATATATAAAGAGAGGAAAAGAACTTTCAGATCGGTGGAAGAAACCAGAATCCTCTGGAAGAAGTACTGGCAAGAGTTAGGAGGAGAGAAGCTTCAAGAGTGAGAAAATAAAAACAAGATAAGACTAAGACTTTTAATTACGATTTGTATTTTCTGTTTTCCTTTATCCTTTTTTTCTTCTTTCTATCACCGCTTGATTACTTAAGTAAGACTTGACAAATTAAAAAAATTGTATGGCATTTAAATGTATCTCCTGGAAACTGAATGGGCTGAACAGTAAACTAAAAAGGAACAAAGAAGAATGTATATTAAAGAGGGGGGAAATGGGATATTATATGTTTACAAGAGACCCATATATCTAATAAGCATATAAGGGTTTCAAAAAATAAAAATTTGGGTCTAGAGTATATAGCATCAGGTATGGAGAAAAAGAGGGGAGTGGTCATCTACGTAAAACCAGTCCTAAACCCGCAACTGTTATTTCAAGATGAAGAAGGCAGAGTCCTAAGGGTAGAGATACAAATAAATGAAGAAAAAATAATTTTGGTGGGGATTTATGCCCCAAACAATAACAAATTAGAATTCTATACAAACTTAGAAGAGAGACTCTGGGACTATGCCAGTGAAAATATAATAATTATGGGGGACTTAAATGGAGTTGCATCCATCAAAATGGATAGAAAGGACAGAGATAGACTATCTAACTCAGGTAGATTACCATTCTTCTTCCAAATGACAGAAAAGTTCAATCTTTATGATACTTGGAGAATTAAACATCCTAACGTAAAAGATATCACACATTTTTCTGAAGTTAAAAAGTCAGGTGGGAGAATTGATGTGATCTGGACTTCAAAAAAATTGACACTGAGCTTGGAGAAAGCAGAAATTTTGAATAGATCCCTGTCAGACCACAACGCAGTAACGATACATAGGAAATTTAAAAAACGTACAAGGGGGAGGTGGAGGATGAATGATGAATTATGGAGAGATGATCAAAGGGTAATTAAAGCCAAAGAAATGCTGAAAGAATTCTTTGAAATAAATGAAAAACAAGTCACAGATAGGAAAATAATCTGGGATGCAAGCAAAGCCTATATGAGAGGCTTTGGAATACAACAAATGGGGAGGATTAGGAAGAGTAAAGAGAGTAATATCATGGAAATAAATAAACAGATTAGAGAAAATGTAAAAGAGTTGGTAAAAAACCCTAAAAATGAGAAAATACTCCAAAACATAAAAATTTTACAATTTAATAAATAAAGAAGTGGAAAACAAAATCAAATGGACTGACAAAGATAATTTGAATCGGCCAATAAACCTGGCAAGATGCTGGCCTGGTTAACAAAGGAAAGACAAGTGGAAAGAGTTGTAAATAAAATAACAGACCAGGGAAAAGAAATTATCGACCCGGACCAAATTAAAGATAAATTTATGAATTATTACAAAAAACTATATGAACTAGAACACAAAGATGAGAATAAAGTTTAAAAATACCTGATAGAAAACAAGTTGCCAGAGACTGAGGAGGCTGAACATAGCCTACTAAATTCAAATGTAGAAACAGATGAACTTAAAGAAGTGATAAGGAAAATGAAAGTTGGAAAATCGCCAGGTCCGGATGGGATTTCAATAATATATTATAAAAAATTAGAAGAAATAGTTATCCCTAAGCCTAAAAAAATCATGCATGAGATACTGGAGAAAGGGAAAACCCCAGAATCCTGGCATGAAGCACTAATAACACTCTTACCGAAACAAGATACGGATCTGAACCTTATTAAGAATTTTAGACCAATTTCACTACTAAACATGGATTATAAAATATTTACAGGTATCCTGGCTAACAGGTTGAAAAATTTCTTAAACGGGGTAATAGGAAATGATCAAGCTGGCTTTTTGCTGGGGAAGCAAATAAGAAATAATACAAGGATAATTATTGACTTACTGGAATATACAGAAATGAAACCAAGCAAAAAGGTAGCAATGCTACTGGTAGATGTGGAGAAGGCTTTCGGCAGTGTGTCATGGAACTTCTTAATTAAAACTTTTGAGAGCTTGAGAACAGGAAACAACATCATGAATGGAATTAGGGCAATCTATGACAACCAGAAAACCAAAATACTTATAAATAATGAAATCACTGAAGAATTTAATATAGAAAGAGGGATTAGACAAGGTTGTCCCTTGTCCCCACTCTTATTTATCAAAACGTCAGAGACTCTCTTAATAGCAATAAGGAAAGATCAGGAAATAAGGGGCATTAATTTAGGTAGCCGATATTACAAGGTGAAGGCATTTGCTGATGATGTGATTATTACTACTGAAAACCCAAATGAAGGCATACAAAAAGCACTAGTCAAAATGAATGAATTTGGCGAGGTTTGGGGATTTAAACTGAATAAAGATAAATCTAAATTATTAACAAAAAATATGGGAGAGAAGGAACAAGAAGACCTAGCAAGAATAACAGGTCTAAAGACCACAAACAAAGTAAACTATCTGGGGGTATGGATTACAAATAAAAACACTAATTTATTTAAAGGCAATTACATCAAAAAATGGAAGGAAATTAAAGGAAATTTAGAAAATTGGAGTCAATTGAAGCTGTTATTATGTGGCAGAATATCAATGATTAAAATAACAGTACTTCCCAAAATCCTCTTTCTCTTTCAGACAATTCCAATAATTATTGGGACAAAATGTTTTAAAGACTGGCAGAGGGACCTGGCCAGTTTTATTTGGCAAGGGCAAAAAAGCAAGAATGAATTTTAAATTGTTGACGGAACTCAGAGAAAGAGGAGGTTTTGCAGTCCCGGACCTCAGAATGTACTTTGAGGCCGCATGCTGGACTTGGTTGAAAGACTGGATGTTGCTTAGGAATACCGATGTCCACCTAGTGAGGAAGGCCTTATTCGAAGTTTGGGAGAGGAATAAATCCAAAGTTATAACAAAAACCCCTTGGTGGATATCACCTATAGAGTCAACTGCCATTCATAAGAATAACATGAACAATAACTGGCCAACTTACAGAGACTTCGTGGATGAGATAAATTATTGTCCCAAACTGAAAAGGTTTGAAGAACTCAAACAACTAGGGGTAAATTGGCTAGAATAATACCAGTTTAGGGTGACCTTTGAAAAAGATAAGACGTTAAAAAGGTTTGATAATAAAGCATAGATCTTAGAGGAGATTTTACAGAACAACCAAAAGACTCTCTCCAAAATATACAAACTGTTACAGAATGCTCAAATAGAAAAAGAGGAAAAGGGAAAGGCCATAATAAGATGGGAGCAGGACTTAGGTTATGTAATTGAATATAAAGAGTGGAAAAAACTGTGGACAAAAAAATATTAATTTTACAGTATGTTATTTAATAAGAGAAAACTACCTGAAAATGCACCATAGATAGTATTTAACACCGGAGAGATTGGCTAAAATGAACAAATCACTTAGTAATAAGTGCTGGAGATGCACAAAGCAGAACCCTTTACCATATGTGGTGGACATGTCCATAGATCAGAAAGTTCTGGGACATGATCCAGGAAGAAATAAAAAAGTTACTAAGAACTTCACATAGCAAAAGACCAGAAACATACCTCTTGGGAATATTGAATAGGTATATTTCTAGAGAAAATACTAAATTCTTTCTGTACACGACATCAGTGGCGAGAATCCTAGTGGCTAAGTACTGGAAGGGTAACCAGGTACCGACCAAAGAGGAATGGTTATGTAAATTATGTGAATATTTGGAACTGGCCAAATTGACGGATATAATAAGACTAAAGCCAATGAATACAGTCAAGAAGGAACAGAAGTGCTTGAATGATTATTTAGAAAGACAAGGTTCTAATGTAAAAATTTGGCTGTGTCTAGAATGACCCTTGTGAATGGAAAAGGGGAAACACACACACACACACACACACACACACACACACACATATATATAGAGTGCACATTAATGATTCCGTGTCATCCTAGAAAAAGTGACAAGTGGGGTGCAGTGGGGTTCTGCCCTGGGCCTGTTGTTATTCAATGCCTTTATAAATGAATTGGGCAAAGGAATGGAGGTGACGCTCATCCAATTTACAGACAACATCAAACTCGGAGGGGTAGCTAATGCCTCAGAAGACAGAATCAGGATTCAAGATGACCTTAACACATTGAAGAACTGGGCCCATACCAACAAAATGAATTTCAATATGGACAAATGTAAGGTTTTGCACTTAGACAGGAAGAACTAAATGCACAAATATAAGTTGGGGGACCCCTGGCTTGCCAGTTGTACATGTGAGAAGGATCTAGGGGGCCTTGGTAGACCACAAACTTAACATGAGTCAACAGTGTGATGCAGCAGCAAAAAAAGCTAATGACATTCTAGGCTGCATCCACAGAAATATAGTGTCCAGGTCAAGGGAAGTAATAGTACCACTTTATTCTGCCTTGGGACGCGGGTGGCGCTGTGAGTTAAACCACAGAGCCTAGGGCTTGCCGATCAGAAGGTCGGCGGTTCGAATCCCCGCGACAGGCTGAGCTCCTGTTGCTCCGTCCCTGCTCCTGCCAACCTAGCAGTTCGAAAGCACATCAAAGTGCAAGTAGATAAATAGGTACCACTCCGGCGGGAAGGTAAACGGCGTTTCCGTGCGCTGCTCTGGTTCGCCAAAAGCGGCTTAGTCATACTGGCCACATGACCTGGAAGCTGTATTGGCTCCTTCGGCCAATAAAGCGAGATGAGCGCCGCAACCCCAGAGTCGGTCACGACTGGACCTAATGGTCTGGGGTCCCTTTACCTTTATTCTGCCTTAGTCAGACCACAGTTGGAATACTGTGCCTAATTCTGGGTGCCACAATTTAAGATGGATGTTGACAAGCTGGAGTGTGTGCAGAGGAGGGCAACCAAGATGATTAAGGGTGTGGAAACCAAGCCCTTATGAGGAACGGTTGAGAGAGCTGGGTATGTTTAGCCTGGAAAAGAGGAAACTGAGAGGAGACATGAGAGCCATCTTCAAATATCTTGAGAGTTGTCACATTGAAGATGGAGCAAGCTTATTTTCTCCTGCTCTGGAGGATAATACTTAAAGCAATGGACTCAAACCAAGTTACAACAAAAGAGAAGAAAGAACTTTCCAACAGTATAAGCTGTTCAACAATGGAACAGACTACCTTGAAAGGTGGTGGACACCCCTTAATTTGAGGTTTAAGTAGAGGTTGGATAGCCATCTGTCATGGATGCTTTTGTTGAGATTCCAGCATTGTAGGGGGTTGTGTTAGATGACCCTTGGCGTCCCTTCAAACTCTACAATTTTATGATTTTATGATTCAAAACAATTTTCATCATGTTTCCCAAAGGGATTTCCAAACTGAGGAATGTTTGATTAAAATCCCTCACAGCTCTGCGCTGAAAGAGAGAGGGCCGAGTTCCCAAATTCCCTACACAATGGAAATAAAAGAAAAAATTAAGTACAAACCAGTAATTCAATTTGTAGGTTGTGTTAGGACTTGCATTCTCTCCACGCTGCCATGAGCACATCATGTACTTCATATTGTACCACATACATAGGATTTTAGTGGCTCCTGTACCTGCAATACCTAGGAAGCAAAAGCATCAGAAGCAGGATTGGTTGCATCAAGTACCTGGCTTTAACTAAGCATTCCTCCTTCTTCAGTGAGCTTCTGAAACTGTGGCCCTAACTTGCCTGCAAAGCAGTACTGCTGGAGCCCAGAAATTGGGTTTCAAGCACAGCAAGACTCAAAGGCTTTGAACTAGCAAAATTCCACAATTCCTAATTTAGGCTAGGTCATGCAAATTAAACCCACCTGAAAACATTTACTTTGTGTACTTCATTCTATAGTAATGATTGGTGCTTGAAGGCTTAATTTAGGGGTGGGGCAGGAAATTATCAGATATATGGAATGGGAAGGTTCAACCATCCCCAGCCCTTTCTTGCAGCAGAGAATTCACCAAGTACCATCCATGTATTTCAGAGCATTTTGTCAATTCTGAAAACGTGTTGGAATGTTTTAGTCTTAACCATCACACCCATGCCAACCCCTCGGGCCCCCAGGATGACTGCTGACTGAAATGGAGATCAAAATGGGGCAACGGAGTAACAAAAGGGAAGCATCAGCATGCCAGGGAAAACTCCTGTGTTTGCAGAACTTTGCAAAAAGCCCATGAGGGTTGAGCACAAAGCACTTTCCTGCTCATACTTCCCAGCAACTGATATTCCTACATGACGTAATACACAGCCATCATGACAAGTAACCACTGAGAGCCTTAATTTTCCATTCATTTGTCTAAGCCCTTTTAAAGGCATCTAAGTTGGTGGCTACAACTGCATCTAGTAGTAGCAAGTTCCATAGTTTACCTAGGTGCTGTATGAACAGTACTTCCTTTTCCCTGTCCTCAATCTCCCACCATGCATTTTAATTGAATAATCCCAGATTGTTCTATTGAGAAAGGGAGGAACACGCTCCATTCTACATTTTCTCCATACCATGCATGTAACCTGCAGTTTATCTGCAGCGCTGCCAACCAGAAGGGGTTTAAAGAGTGCTATCAAACAGTGTCCAATCCCTGCACGTCTAATGCACATGATACTTCTGTGGCTGGTCGAGAATGAGCAAACTCATGCTGAGAATGAAAAGGCCTAAGGCAATGTCTCTGAACTTCATGGCCTCCAGATGTATTGGACTACATTTCCCACAGTCTGTTTAATAGCCTGAGTGGTTTAAGCTGATGGGAGTTGTAGAATGAAACATCTGGAGGCCACCGGGTTGGGGAGGACTGGACTTAGGGAAATGTAGCACTGGGCGTAAAACTTGGGCAGGGGATCTCAAGAAGCTTTCTGGTTTGGAGTACGAATATGGATTTGTTAAGTTGATAATTTTTGATAAATAAATGTCTAATACAAATCTGAAGAGACAATGCATGTACTTTTGTAAACCAAGAACTTCTTTAATAAAAATTATTTTTTAAATCTATAGAATGCAGTGTCTGAAAACTTACCATTTTGACAAAGAGTGATTTTAACATACTCTCCATCACCCTGTCCTTCACATGAAGTGGCGACTCCAAAAATGACTTTTTTACCCAGAGGTATGAACACTGTCCGGGAATTTTGAACATTCCATTCCTATGTTTGGAAGGAGGGGAAATCATATATACATGTATTAAAAACTACTAATCTCAAACAAAGTAATTTTTAAACCCGATTCCATAGGATAAAAATCATAAGGCTTCTACTGGTAAAACATTCTATGTGTACAACTATACTAGTAGCAGTTTCCTTGGAAGCCAAAGGCTGCATTTCTAAACACACTCACCTGGGAGAAAGCAAAGTAATTTAAGTCACTGAGGCTTACTTTTGTGGAGGCATACACAAGATTATATCTATTTCTGGTCTCAATTATTCTGCTTGTTTTTCTTTATGTTCACTTTAATTAAATTACATTCCTATATTTCCCCCCGTTTATTATTTTGTATTTGTATTTTTTATCTGTCTCCGTTGCTTTCTCTCTATGCTCCTGACAGTCCATTTATGGAACACTCATCTATTAACCCTTTACTCCCTTGTGCTATTTATGATCTCTTTTTCAAAATCATCATAATACTTTCCTACTCTTGCTAATTATTGCATTCTCTTTTACTCTGTCTTCTTGCTAGCACACAATATTCCCCTTTCCCTCACTGTCTTCTTAGATTTTGAGCCTGTGGGAAAGGCCTTGGAATTTTTAATTTCTGTACAGCACCCGTTAGGCTGAATGTGTTTAAGTAGCAGCAGGAATTGTGGTACTCCCCTCGTGTGCTTTTCCTGCTATCACTAGTCTTTTCTAGTTTAGTTTTCCACATCTTACTTGAAATGCACACAATCCAATCACAGAAATCACTCCAAAGAGTTAAATGTCCGTGAAGTTATACAGAAGCCTTTCCATAACTGTGATGGCAATAGTACACTGCAGGAGTCACACAAATGCAATTCCTATCAGTATGGTCAATGGTCAGGAATGATGCCAGTTGCAGTCCACAACAATTGGAGGGCACCATGCAGGATACTCCTGATTTAGATGATTTTGCTATCTTTGTTATTGGACTGCCTAATTTTACCATTTGTTTTAGGCCGTGTTTTGGAAGTCATCTTGAGTTCAAGCCATGGAAAAGCTGGGCATACTACTTGATCACACTTGACTTGCATGTGCAAATGACCCACCAGAGCTCTCTAACCCCACAGGCAGAATGTTGGCATTACTTGCAAGATAGCATGTTGCAGAGAAGTCAGTGACACCAGATATGGGGAACCTCTGGCCTGTAGGCCAATCTGGCCCACCAGTCTTCCCTATTTGATTTGCAAAGCCATTTTGAGCAAGCCACACCCACCTGCTATCTATGATGTCAGGATGTGTGGCAGTTAAGGCTTGGCTGAAAAGGGCTTTGCAGGCACTGATAACATAGTCTCCTCAAGGTCCTTTGTGTGGTGCTCCCCAGGTGCCCAAGAACCAGCTGATCATTACGTGTTTTGCAACCCCTGTGGTGTACTGGAAGCACTGAACACTGGGCTTGCAAAGCACTTTGAACTAGGATTGCCATATCTTGAAGAACAAAAAAGAGGACAGCCTGAACTGCTGCCAGCCCAAGCCAGGGAAAGAGGCATGTGGGAGGGCCACAGAGCCTGTGCACCTCTTTCCCTGGATTGGGCTGGCAGCGGCCATGGTGTGCAGAGCAGCTTGAGCAAGCCTGAGGCCAAGAAGCCCTAGGAGCCTGAGCCAAAAACCCCAGACATTTCCTTTAAAATGTAAAGCTCCGCTCGGATGGGCATGTTGGTCCCTCAAAAGAGGGCATGTCCAGATTTCCCAGATGTAGGACAACCCTATTAGAACACCTCTTCTCTAATGTCCAACAGCCAGATGATTGTCAGGTGTTTGAGAAGAGCTGCACATGGACTGAGCCAGCCCTTTGAATTATCTCCTCTCAAAGGCCAACTTTCACAGGTGGCAACCACCCAACCATGGGGGTAGGAGGGATAAAGATCTTGCTCAGCAGGCCAAAAAAACCTTCCCCACCCCTAGCTGACACACTCAACTGCTAGTTGCCAAGTTTGGTGAGAGAGGGAGAAAGAAAGGAGAGCTGGAGTATCAAAAGGTGCAAAAACATTCAGCAGCAATCTAACACCTGGAAATAAATTCCACTCGGTAGGTCTTACTTCTGAGTAGACATGTATAAGAATGTGTTGTTAGTGGCCCATCGCTTTCTAAGATATCCCTTCTCAGAGGCACAGTACTGTGTAGTATTTGGTAAATGAGAATGATATAGGACTCAGTGTGATGCATCTAGGTGCCCTGGGGAAATAATATATTTAAAATGTGTTGGACCATTAAATCTTTATTTTTGTGTCCCTTTAAGACTCTTCTGTGTTACCCCCTGCTCGTATTGGTGTTTTCCCTGCTTCAAGATTGCCAAGTGTTGAAAAAGATCATGCCACTTGTGTGTTTATGCATATTTGTGTATATGTGTGTGTGTGTGTACACGCACGCACGCGCACACACACAAATGCATGTGAGAACACCACTCAGGACATCATGCCAGTTTAACTTTCCATGGTTAAAAGAGGAAACACCACCCATGCTAACCCATAAAGACTGTATTTAATGCAGCATAAGCGGCTGATTGACCCTCTTCTCCTTATATACCCCCCCTTGGCAGAGCTTTAGTGTCACGCCACCATCAATTCAAACAGATCAGATTTCTAGATTCCACAAGTCTTGTCTGAAATCACTGATTTGCTTCTCAATTCCCAAAGCCCTACTTTTCATCACAATTCTTGTATGTGTAATAATTCAGCAGGGCAATTTCTGACTTGGAATCAGAAGACCCTGAAAGCTTACCTTTTGGCCCCATTCTCCACTGGTGGTTATAGCAGTTACATACCGTAGATTGCAGTCATCTTCTATTTTTACAGGAGCCCATGTCACATTCAGCTGGCAGTTATTTTCATTGATAGTATATGTGATGTTAGTTGGGCGAGGCAGATCCAACACGACTCCTATGAAAAAAAGGAAGGGAAATGGGGGAACCATCACTTTCTGTTCTTTTAAGTTGTTGACTTTCAGGACGAATCCAAGCAGCAACTGGAAATGCAGCCAGGTGCACACCCACTGCCACAGAGTTTCAGCCCTTGAGGTCTAAGGAATGCTACTGCCTTTGGGTGACAGTTTAAGGAGCACCACAATATAGGCAGTTGTCAAAGGCTTGCCATCCCTTGGAATTCCATCCCATGCACTGTGCTCAGCTTATTGTGCATGTATGTCATGCACATAGGGCATTATCTGAGAGGCATCATTATCCCCACAGCTCAATACTGCACACCCTGTAACTGCCAACAGCTCCCCAGGCTTTAGATAGGACTCTGTCCCAGCCCTACCTGTAGATGCTGGGAACTGTTTAGGGAGGTTTTTAATGTCTGGTGTTTTATTGTGCTTTTAATTCTGTTGAGAGCTGCCCAGATGGGCGGGGTATAAATAAATTACTACTACTACTACTACTACTACTACTGGACCTTGGGTCCTCTATATGCAAAGCATGTGCTCTACCAATGCCCTATAGCTATAGTCTGAAAAAGGAAAACAACAGCCAGAAACTTGTCAGTACAGCAAGGACGCATCTGATAGGGGAGTCTCAGGCATGGAGAAAAGTGGGTCAAAAGACTGAGAGCTGGTGTGTTATATCACAAAAGTTAAGAACAAGATAGCACAGGATGACTAAGTAGTGATAATATACCTGCCCCTGTACCAGATTCCTGTAATCAATGAATGCTGCCAAGCTCCTCCACCAATGTCCTTCACTACTTTCAAGTTGCACCAAGCTCTTTGAACGCATCACAAAGAAATATCAGCTTCTCCTTCCAGATGTATGCAACTAGCCAACTAGTTTAGAAAAATAACCTTAAATGCACAATTCAAGATCAATGGTACTGACCACCCTGGCATTTGACAAAGCACCTACAGTATTTTTAAAACTTCATTTTAACCTTTAATTAATAGAAGATTCAACCCATTGATGCTTCTAGCTGGATTATGCCCATGTAAGTTTTGCTGCCTTTGTATGCCATCAAAAAAGTCTTGTTTGGAAATTATGCTTCCACTTCTCTAGTTCCTGCAGCAAGCTTTTGGTGATTCACTAGGTGCTACCCACACACTTTTAAGCTTTCCCCCTCAGCCTCAAAGGAAAAACTGAGAGTGTCCAAGATTCTTATTTCTTCACCAAATAGCAAACTATGTGGAAATGCAGTGTAACACAACTTATGCTGTGTTGCTCAAAATCTCAGACTAGCTCTCTTAGGTAGCTAAGCTGGCTTCAGCCTACTGCATACTGACATGGAAATATCACATACCAGGTATCTGAAAGTTAATTTTTAGAGAATGTTAGTTTTGTATTTGTTAGCTAATAATGAAGGAAGGGTTCATATTTACGCCAACTGAGTTATCTAAATAAATTATTGGGTTTTTGTTTTCTTTACGCATATGTATATTTCCTTCTTTCTTTGTAGATTGCATTTAAATTGGAGGTATAGCTATGCCAATCATTTAAACTTCCCTTCCTCAGTCTCTCTTTTATTATTTTTTGATTGCATGTGCCTGAAGAAAAGTTTCTTCTACAACAACCCTAAACTAGCAGCTCCAGGATAGGGGAGATCTCTTGGACAAGGTATTCCAAGGGTCCCCTTAATGTAAAAGAAAATTCTCTCATCCTGCTGCCTCAGAACATTGCAGGCATTCCATGGAAAGCAAGGGTTCTGCATCAACAGGTCCTTTGGTAGTCTTACCTAAGGTCATCCTACAAGGGCTTCCAGTTGGTTAGTCACAGTGACCAAATGTAGCCCTCCAAATAGCTTGTTGTCTTGCAAATATGAAGTACATGGTGTCACAAGCATCTCACTGTGCACATAATTACTAGATTTCCTCTTGTTGCAGCCCGCAATAGTATTTTTGTTAGCTTGCTGCACTAGTATTTATTTTGCTTGCTGAAAGTACATCAGGAGGGATTACATCTGTAGGTCAACAACTGAAGCCAACCCTGAGTTTCCCTGGGCAACAAATTGCCAGCCGACCTCTTTCTGCCCCTGCCTTTTAACAAATAGAAAATATACGGGCACGCATGCAACATACTCAACATGTAACATACTCAGGAAACATAGAAAAGAGGCCACCTCACAAATGGCAAAGGACAATCCTTTTTCTTTTTTTCTTTTTTTTAAATGATTTTTATTAAGATTTCAGTAAAAGATTAAACAAGAAAACATAGAGAGAAAAAAGTACACAAATACACAGTACATAATCCAAAGAAGAATAAAAAACACGGAAAACAAAAAACGAAAAACAAAGATTAAAAAAAAACCCCAGAACAATTAAAAACAATATCACCTTATCATTTCCGTTTTTAAATTTACTTATTTTCTGGACCTCCTCATACCTCCCTCTTTTGTATTCCAGTCCAAATTGTTTGTCCAGCAATTTCTTTTCCACTTTTTTAATCCCAATCTTTGATCTTAATATAATATAGCATTAAAATTTTTACCTCTTAAATACCAAATTTCCATTTCCTTCAACTTCTTTAATCCTAATCTTTAATCTTAGTCTATCTATAAACTTTAAATCCTGTACAGCTGGAAACCACTTATTTTTAATAATAAGGACAATCCTTTTTCACTCACACATAGGCATGTAGGCAAGGGACACTAGGGTTGATCAGTAAGATTGGCAGCTCCTCCATCATGCCGCCAGGCAGGCAGGCAGAACAAGATGGCTCTGATGGGCAAAGTAGGTGGGCAGCTGCTGCTGAGGTGAAGTGAGCCTGCTCAGAATGCTAGATTACCATTATTAGGAGAAGAGGCCCAAAGCTTCAGCAGCACACAGACTGAGTTATGCTCATATTGGGCTGGGCACGGAGGAGTCAAGGAAACCAGCCAGCCTGCATGCAGTGGAAGACGTCTGGCTAGAGACTGTTTAAACTGTTCCCGTGCTAACAGAACAACAGCAGAAAACCAACTTAATTAGGAAGGTGGAGAAAAACAAATCAAACCCACTGTCCTCTTATAGAGGACACTAATAGAGCAGGAAGTTAAGAAGTCATCCAGCTACTCCTTCTGGACATAAGTCTACTTAAGCCTCCCTAAACATTTCCAAAATGTTCCTTATTTGGTTTAAGGTCAAGTTATGCAACTTTGCCAAGCTTTGTTCCCAAGCACCTAAAAGAAATTATGAAAATGACAGTAATTTGGGATCCCCCCAAGTGTAGTAGTGATCAGCGAGCTGCAATTTGGACAGCAACCTGGCCGCAGATCAAACAGCCTTGCTGTTGACTTGAAGACCTTTGTATGTTAACATGCCTTTGTAACTTATTCTTTTTTAAATTAGCCAGTCACTTGAATGATTGTCTGTATTGTTTTCAATGGTGTTTCATATTTGAATGTTGTACACACGCGCACCCCCCCTCCCGATATTTTACGACGTGGAAGCACATCAATACTTTTATAAATACAAAGTAAATAAACGGAAGGATGGGGGAAAGGGAACTGGGATTTTCTTCAGCACAACGGGCTTCTGTGTGCCGAACTACCATTAGGAAGGTGAGCAGCAAGGAGCAAGAGAGGGACCTTGGTCGGAGGGCATGAGGCCCAGCATCGTCCGGCTTCTGAGGAAATTTAACTCTTGTCTCCTTCCGAGGAAGCAGGCGTTTATCAACACCATATTCGTATCTAATCACCACGAGATAAATTCCCACCCAAACAAACCCGCGCACCAATTTGGGATGCCCACTTTTAACGAGAGACCACTTCCTTCTCCAACTTGGAGCGGGATTACTTGTGAGGAGCCAATACTTTGGGGAAACAGAGCTCCCTCTCCCTCCTCCGCTGACTTCTGGGAAGGAGTTTCTCTCCCTCCGACCTTAAGGGGTCGGCCCCCCGCCACTCTGCCCTCCAGGGACCCTCGCCCGAGCAGGCCTTGCTCTCGAGGGGCCGCAGAGGGCGCCCCCCGCAAACCCCCGGGGCTCCCAGCCCGGCAGGAGGAGGAGGGGGCGCCCCGGGGGACCGCCCCCCCCGAGGCCCCCCGGCCCGCCCCCCCGGCCCCTTCCCCGCCGCCTCACCTCCGCGCACGGCCCCGGCCAGCAGCAGCAGCAGCAGCAGCAGCAGCGCGGCCCTCTCGGCGAGCAGCGGCTCCATCACCCCCCGAGGCTGGAGTGGCGGCGGGGGCGGGCGCTGCCGGGAAGAGTGCCGGCCGGGGCGCCTCCTCCTTGGCCCCGCCTGGCGGAGGGAGGAGACGAGGGAGGAGGCCGGCCTGAGGGGAAAGGGGAGGCTGCGCGGCTCTCTCCTCTCCGGCCCCTGAGCGTGGGCAGAGGGCGCGCTCTCCAGGCGGGTCACAGCCCTTGCTGTGGGCTCCACTCAGAGGAGACCCATTTGCACGAAAGTGGCTAACTTAGGTGCAGTCAGTCAGGGCGCCCCAAAGAAGGTGCCGGGGCATTTCTTCCTTCCTTCCTTCCTTCCTTCCTTCCTTCCTTCCTTCCTTCCTTTCTTTCTTCCCAGTGTTGCTGCTACCATCAGAATCGAACCTAAATGAATGGCCGTGACTGACAAAGTCCATTAAGTTATATGTATGTAGAGAGAGAGAGGCGATGAGGTAATTTTTTAAAAAATCATTTCTTCACTTTTTAAAATAGGCATTTTAAAATAGGTGCAATTACATATGGGTTAAGTAGCAAAATCCAGATCAAGACAGGAGATAGAGAGATAATTATTTATAAAATATTCATTTTTTAAAAAAAAATATGTAAATATTTGAATACCCAGTAGACCTTGCAGGGCGGAGGAACTTTTCTTTCCTGGTAGCATAGAAACAAACAAAAGGATAAAAGCAGCCATGCAGTCAAAATTATAAAAGACTGTCAGAATGTCACATACGTAACCTAACTCCCCAACCTAACTTACTGGAAGGATAAAAATGGGGAATACAAAACTCAGTGTATGTATATATATATATATATATATATATATATATATATATATATATATATAGCAAATGTGACTAAAGAAAAATGGGAGTCTTTCGTCCCTCTTTCCTTTTTATTACTTTTTAACAGCTAAAAAAAACTTAGAAAAATAAAAATAAAGCAAAGGATATACTAAAATATATTTGTTGCTGAAATATAACAAAAGCTGACAGTAGCCCTCTCAAGCATGTCTGTCTCATTGAGTTAAATAGAGTTTACTCCCAGGAAAGTGTGTAGAGGTTTGTTGCCTTAATGAATCTTGTTCTGTTATACAACTGAATCATTTGCAAAAGGTGTTTTCTTCCGTTAAGACAAAAATAGCCCAGACCTCCTGCACACACAAAAACACACCCTCCCTAACCTCAAGCAACCAAGCAACCAAAATCAACACTTAAAATTTTAAGATAAAACAAACAAAAAAGCCCTGTTTTTATTAATACTTATTGCCTTCACATTTTTCATGAATAAGTAGGAATTTATTGCTGCATCAGTGATTTGATACTTAATATTTTAAAGTTTATGTTTTAGTACATTTGCAAAAGCTCCAATTGTAAATATAAAAATATACATAGTAATCAACTTATTTGACAAAGAAGAGAGGGAGAGAGGAGGGTTAAAAGAGGATTTTTAAGAAATGGTTCAATGGCTCACTGTTATCCTGCATTTTATCACACCAATGCATAATAAAAGGACTCCATCTCCCAACAAAATAATTACCCACTTGCCTCCTGTCAACCTAGCAGTTTGAAAGCATGCCAGTGCAAGTAGGTACCGCTGCAGTGGGAAGGTAAATGGTGTTTCCGTGCGCTCTGGCACTCATCAAGGTCCTCCATGCGCCAGTAGTGGTTTAGTCCTGCTGGCCACATGACCCAGAAAGCTGTCTGCGGACAAATGCCGGCTCCCTCAGCCTGAAAGCGAGAGGAGCGCCGCAACCCCATAGTCGCCTTTGACTGGACTTAACCGTCCAGGGGTCCTTTACCTTTTTACCTTACTCTTATGACCCCTGGGCTCTCACTTGTGGGGTGCCTCAGGGTTCTGTCCTCTCCCCCATGCTTTTCAATATCTACATGCAGCCGCTGGGAGAGATCATCAGGGGGTTTGGGCTGGGTGTTCATCAGTATGCGGATGATACCCAGCTCTACCTCTGTTTCAAATCGGAACCAGTGAAGGCGGTGAAGGTCCTGTGTGAGTGTCTGGAGGCAATTCGAGGATGGGAGGATGGATGGCGGCTAACAAATTGAGGTTGAATCCTGACAAGACAGAAGCACTGTTTTGGGGGGACAGGAGACGGGCGGGTGTGGAGGACTCCCTGGTCCTGAATGGGGTAACTGTGCCCCTGAAGGACCAGGTGCGCAGCCTGGGAGTCATTCTGGACTCACAGCTGCCCATGGAGGCGCAGGTCAATTCTGTGTCTAGGGCAGCTGTTTACCAGCTCCATCTGGTACGCAGGCTGAGACCCTTCCTGCCCGCAGACTGTCTCACCAGAGTGGTGCATGCTCTAGTTATCTCTTGCTTGGACTACTGCAGTGCGCTCTATGTGGGACTACCTTTGAAGGTGACCTGGAAACTACAACTAATCCAGAATGCGGCAGTTAAACTGGTGACTGGGAGCGGCCGCCGAGACCATATAACACCAGTTTTGAAAGATCTACACTGGCTCCTAGTATGTTTCTGAGCACAATTCAAAGTGTTGGTGCTGACCTTTAAAGCCCTAAACGGCCTCAGTCCAGTATACCTGAAGGAGCGTCTCCACCTCCATTGTTCTGCCCGGACACTGAGGTCCAGCGCCGAGGGCCTTCTGGCGGTTCCCTCCCTGCGAGAAGCAAAGTTACAGGGTACCAGGCAGAGGGCCTTCTTGGTAGTGGCACCCGCCCTTTGGAACGCCCTCCCACCAGATGTCAAAGAGAAAAATAACTACCAAACTTTTAGAAGACATCTGAAGGCAGCCCTGTTTAGGGAAGCTTTTAATGTTTAATAGGTTATTGTATTTTAGTGTTTTGTTGGAAGCCGCCCAAAGTGACTGGGGAAGCCCAGCCAGATGGGCGGGGTATAAATAACAAATTGTTGTTGTTGTTGTTGTTGTTGTTGTTGTTGTTGTTATTACTTGTCAGTTTTAGCATTTGAACATTTCCCCACACACTTGTAATCCAGTTGGAGCAACAACAATTTTATTATTTATACCCCGCCCATCTGGCTGGGTTTCCCCAGCCACTCAGAGTGGTTTACAGAATAATAATAACAGAGAGATAATAAAGCTTTATTACTTAAATTGCAACGGTTGTTGCCAATTATATTTGTTGTTTTTGTGAGGTTCCTGGTGTCCCATCCACTATTCTACTACTACTACACCACTTACTTACTTCAGTAAATAAAGTTCCCCACCAGAAAGATTGTATTTCTGGAAGGGGCACAAGGAGACCCAGGGAGATGGCCGCTCAACTTTATAGTCCTTGTTTTATAGACCAACTAGCAATGGTTGTAAAGTTGTGCTAGCCAGCAGATTCTGTGCATCTTTACTTAGAAACAAATCCCACCGAATTCAAAGTAAGTGTGCATCGTATTCCAGCATTACTTGCTATTTAGGTTTGCAGCTTTCCTTTACATGTATTATAACGACATTGGGGTTGGACTAAATGGGTTTTTGGGGTCCCCCCCCCAAGTCTAGAAAAAGAGACTGCTGAACAGGTAAAACATGGTGGGCAAATTTCGCCTGGTAGATTCCTTGTTTTAACTAACCTTTGCGTAACTAACTAGATGGCCAAGTACATGTGATGTGTTGCCACAGAAACTAAGTAACTGGAGATCCTGCTAGGAGGGGCATGTCTTTCACCTCATCCACCTACTGATCACAGTTGTCACCAGCTTACGATAGCTGCATTCACAAGTGGCATGAAGCCAAGCCATGGTTTAGCATGAACACGTGAGCTCCCAAGGAGATCACAGTTGCTTTGCTTCTCCTTGGTCCTTTTAGAATCATAGAATCATAGAGTTGGAAGAGACCACAAGGGCCATCGAGTCCAACCCCCTGCCAAGCAGGAAACACCATCAGAGCACTCCTGACATATGGTTGTCAAGCCTCTGCTTAAAGACCTCCAAAGAAGGAGACTCCACCACACTCCTTGGCAGCAAATTCCACTGTCGAACAGCTCTTACTGTCAGGAAGTTCTTCCTAATGTTGAGGTGGAATCTTCTTTCTTGTAGTTTGGATCCATTGCTCCGTGTCCGCTTCTCTGGAGCAGCAGAAAACAACCTTTCTCCCTCCTCTATGTGACATCCTTTTATATATTTGAACATGGCTATCATATCACCCCTTAACCTCCTCTTCTCTAGGCTAAACATGCCCAGCTCCCTTAGCCGTTCCTCATAAGGCATCGTTTCCAGGCCTTTGACCATTTTGGTTGCCCTCCTCTGGACACGTTCCAGTTTGTCAGTGTCCTTCTTGAACTGTGGTGCCCAGAACTGGACACAGTACTCCAGGTGAGGTCTGACCAGAGCAGAATACAGTGGCACTATTACTTCCCTTGATCTAGATGCTATACTCCTATTGATGCAGCCCAGAATTGCATTGGCTTTTTTAGCTGCCGCGTCACACTGTTGGCTCATGGCAAGTTTGTGGTCAACCAAGACTCCTAGATCCTTTTCACATGTACTGCTCTCAAGCCAGGTGTCATCCATCTTGTATTTGTGCCTCTCATTTTTTTTTGCCCAAGTGCAATACTTTACATTTCTCCTTGTTAAAATTCATCTTGTTTGTTTTGGCCCAGTTCTCTAATCTGTCAAGGTCGTTTTGAAGTGTGATCCTGTCCTCTGGGGTGTTAGCCACCCCTCCCAGTTTGGTGTCATCTGCAAATTTGATCAGGATGCCCTTGAGTCCATCATCCAAGTCGTTGATAAAGATGTTGAATAAGACCGGGCCCAAGACAGAACCCTGGGGCACCCCACTAGTCACTCTTCTCCAGGATGAAGAGGAACCATTGATGTGCACCCTTTGGGTTCGGTCAGTCAGCCAGTTACAAATCCACTGAGTGGTAGCAGAGTCAAGACCGCATTTTACCAGCTTCTTTACAAGAATATCATGGGGCACCTTGTCAAATGCCTTGCTGAAATCAAGGTAGGCTACATCCACTGCGTTCCCTTCATCTACCAGGCTTGTAATTCTGTCGAAAACGAGATCAG